CTTGAATAAAGGCTTGCTTGCTGTGGAGTTTGCGGTGTCTGCGGACTGTGGGCGACCACAAAGAAAAAGAGTAGCCTTGGATTTGTCACGTCTGTGCAATGTTTCTTAGATGCGCGTCTCAGATCCAGTAACCCTGAATTGGGGGCTTGGATCATTGGTGGTTGGGGATTTGAACCCCTTCTTCCAGAGGGTATATACATGGGCGAATCTCAACCAGCAACTAGAGTGAAGCTGATCAGAGTATTGGCATGGAAAACCAAAAACGGGTTCATTCGCCGCAGGCGATTCCTCCACAAATGGACCGGGTTTTCTGGGTTCAATGTTGGTTTGCAGGTGAGTACGCATCTCCGGCGGATATTGGCCCACCCAGCAGCGCCGCTTTCCCCTTCATGTTGGAGGCTCAAATCAACGGCCACAAAAATGTTGGTCAACATATCACAACGTCATTGCAACGCGTTTACGTCCACCCAAAGTCAAGGTTCCTTTCAGGGGTTCATTTAAAGTCGGCTTGCGTCCCTTTGTCCCAAAATCCATGGCTGGTCTTTGGTTGACCGACTGCCCCTTTGACCTTTGGAAACCAACAGCTTTTCCGCCAAACCCACAAAAAGTGATTGACCTTTTGCTTGTTCTGGGCAGTTTTGTCTAATCCAATGGATCTGTGGCAGGTGGAACCTCCAAGGCAGGAGAAAAACGCCCGGCGCATGGAGATGTTCATCTTCGACGCCTTCCAGCTCTGCAGGACCGGCATGCAGTGGGCCACCCCCAGCAGCACCCGAAATGATTTCATCCACGAAAAGGCCAAGTTGGGTGCTTCGGTTCCAGGCAGTCGGTTTCTTTTGTTCCATTGAACTGACCGGCAGGAGAGGACCCGAAAATGAGTGGTGACAGGGAAACCGTGGCTGTTGCCGAAACCAGGTTCTGGCATGGCAGGTGTGCAAATAAATCAATAGCTCCAAGACACAAACCTCCAGTGCCCCTTGACAGGTTCCTTCAGTCAGGGAGGGCAGCTGGCACTTTCAACGCTCACCAGCGAAGGATTCGCTCTGGCATTCCCAGGGAGGGGAGGAGATGCTAAGAAGAAGAAGACGAAGAAATTCAGTTGTTCAGGTCAAGAAGGGACACCATTTCCCCCCCCTCACCACCCCCTATGGAAGCTTCCTTGCGAACCTTTCCTGATGGCTTTCGTGGCAGGAATCTATCATTTGTAAACCAAGCCCAAGGGCTCTTCCTCCTCAAATCACCCAAGGGAAAAGGTGGTTTATACCCGTTACACCTTGGCTATTATCCCGACAATCTTACCATAAGCCTACACGCAAAACCAAAACCCTGGCAATCTGTTCAGCGACTCACATTGTGTGTTATATAGATTCCCCAAATTGGCGGTTTGGTCTTTTGTGTTCCTTCCAAACCACCGTTGCAAAGGGTGACCTCAAAAAACAAAACACACACAGACACCACACACACACACGCCCACCCACCCACCCACCCACCCACCACCCACCCACCCACCCACGCACGCACGCACGCCCGCCCGCCCGCCCGCCCGCCCGCCCGCGCGCGCGCACATGCGCACACGCACGCGCACGCGCACGCACGCGCCCACGCGCACGCACACGCACACGCACCCGCACACCCGCACACGCACGCGCACGCACACGCGCAGGCGCAGGCGCAGGCGCACGCGCACGCGCACGCGCACGTGCACGTGCCGCACGCGCACGCGCACACACACACACACAAAGCGCAGAAAGCAAGCAAAGCACACAAAGCGCGAGCATCACTCTGAGACCAGTTTCCCTTGTGGTGGTTTGGATTGGGTTTGGAGGTTGTGACCGCAGATTGTGACCGTGCTTGAATAGTGGTGGGGGCTAGTTTTCCTTCAAAAAGCACCCCCCCTTCCCCAACAAAAGGACAACCTCTTCAAACATGTCACACCCCTGTAGAGTGGTGCGGGCCCAACCTATTGCAAGCAGGGAACCGGGGAATCCCTGCAAATTCAGATGCTTTGTGGTTGGTTTTACTCGCCTCCGTCTCTCTCGTCCCTCGGTGAGGAGTGTAGTGGGGCTCCAGGTCCCACGCACCGAGCGCCTCTGACCCATCGATGTGTCGATTCGCCTGGGAACATGGGGCACGAGAAAAGTCGCACGCGGCTAGGGGCGAGCTCCAAATGGAAAGGCTCACCCTTTAGCTCTTTTCAGGGGTGATGACCCATGTTTCAAGGGTCCTAAGAAGACTTCAGGCAAAGCAGGACATATTATTAATTCTGTTTCTGTTGTTCAAAATGAATCCGCAAGATCCTCAAGCCTCTTGTAGTGGTTTCCCAGAGGAGGAAATGTGGATCAGGAATCAGGAATAGGGATTCCCCATTTTCAAACATTTTGTGCCATTGACGAAAAGGATCGTAAGTAGAAACGACTTATTGTTGAACGTCGTGCTTCTTTTTTGAGCTTCGTTTACGATCGAATCGATGTCACCCATGTTCTTTTGGGCTCGAACACTTGTGGTTCCGCGGTGTATATGTTGATTCTTATCAAACTAGGGAAAGCGCCAAAATGACAATGCAGGGCTAAAAAACACCCCCCACTTATGCATTTGGAATTGACTTCCGTAGAGGACTGTCGCCTCAGTGGGAATCCCGCGAGGAAAAGCACGAGTTGTTGTTTTTGCACGATGGTTCCACACGCCATCAAGCTGTCTTTCTGATTCCCGCCAGTTACGCAGCAAGCCGTCTATATTTGTGTAAAGTTAGATACAAATAAGAAGAATAAGAGGAAAACAACAAAACTAAGGGTGAAGCACCCACACACAACACTGAAAGAGGGAAGCCTCTTGAAAGCAACAATATCACGTAAAGTAATGGCGCTTCTCGACAAACCGTGATTGGTGTTCGCACGCCGTATTTTCGTTTGAATTCGGCGGCTGTAGTTTTAGCTGTACCCTGCATTCTCTTCAGGGATCCTTGATTTGGGAACATGGGGGAGGGGTTCTCAAAATGGTGGACCCCTTATCGATAATTCAAGGGACACCAAATGGAAACCGACATAAACCGACTGTTTTAGGGGACCACTCTTTTGAGAGACACCCACATAGCCGAACGCGGAGACCTGTCTGCAATTGAGGGATCAACCTTGAGGTAAGCCCTGGCCCTTTCGGCCAGGTACCTCGGAGGTTTGGGACCATCGGAGATTTGGCCTTGAAAGAAATAGTGACAAAGACAATGGCCTTTTTTTTTAAATATATATATATATAAATATATATATATATATATCGGAGCAAACGAGGGCATGACGCAACACAGCCTGGCTGAGTCTTTGCTGTGTGATTCAGAGAACGACGAAACGAGCAAAACGCAGGTGCCCAATCACCAGCCAGTTTTAGCCAGAAAACGAATCCTGGGTTTAGGCTTGAACCTTGACCCAGGTACGCAGTGGTGAAGAATGCCGCTGGTAAGGACTCCCCTCAAACCGCGGTCCAGGCGCAGGGCGCTTAGCTCGTCAGACTCCCCGGGGATGCTTTTTTTGTTTGTTTGTTTTTTTTGGGGGGGGAGAGTCAGGGGTCCTTTTCCTTTGGTTTGTAGAGGGGTCTTTTCTTCTTCGGATCCTTAGTTTTTTGAGGGGTCCTTGCTCCTTCTTCTTGTTAGTTTCAGGGGTCCCTTTCTGTTTGAGGGCATCCGTTTTCCTTCTCATTTGTTTAAGAGGGTCCTCTTTCCTCTTTTGCGTGAGAGTCCTTCTTCGTTCCTTTTGGTTGTCCTTGTAGAGGTCGCCCTGTCTTGTTATTGGGAGCGTGTCCTTTTTCCATGTGTGTGAGCGCCCTCTTCCGGGGAACAATTCCCCACCCCAAAAAGATTGGACCGAAAACACGCGGCCGTTCCTTCCGCCGGTTCGCACGTCGTTTTTCGGTGGGCCGAGGGTGGGCCAGCTGCACCAGAGTTGGATCATCAACGCCGGGGGCACCTTCCTGGACTCCAAGGCGCTCGGCTTCGGCTTCGGCTCTGGTTCTGGTGGTGGGACGGAGGGCAGCTGGAAGTGGTGGCGGAGGTACCTCAATCCACACGAGCAAACGAGAACACGGTTCAGGTGTGTGATTGCTCCGGTGGCTTGTACAACTCAATCCACAAAATGAGCAAACGAGAAAACGGTTCAGGTGTCCGTGCACCTGCCAGTGAATCTGTTGAGTTGGATCTTTAAGTTTTGGCTTTAGACATTGATTCTTGCTCCACAATCCTGCAGCAAGCTGAACATTTTGAACGGGTACCGTTGACGGCTGCGGATCTGGGTGAATCAAGACTTAAAGAGTCACGATGCCACGTTCTGGGTTACGACGTCACCAAGGGCTCCTTTCATACAAACCTTTTTTGCGTTAGTGAAGTGTTCCAATTTGCCCAGACAGGCTTCCTGCCCGCGTGGTTGATCCTCTTCAAATTAGCTATCGAGGGCCTTGGACCAATCCTGCAGCATCCGGATTCTCTGCGCACTTCCTGCGTACCTGACGAAAAGGGATCCCTACCATATTCCTTTCAAAGGGACCCGTCGTGTTCCATGTTGGTGTAGTTTTACAAAAGTATGGGGTGGGTTGGGGCGGGGGTGTCCCCAAGATACACAGAATGAGTGGGGGGGTGGGGTCAAGCCTTAGGCGGACCTGTGGCTATTGGCACCCCCCCCCCCCCCGACGCTCGCAGAGCGCACGTGCTTTCTGTTCTAAGGCGGGCTTCGACGTTACGGCATAGTGACATGATCTTGTGCGACACAAAATTCACATGTTATTAACGCTCATGAAGCCGCCATGACTGCTACCTGTCGCAGCTCAAACTAAGCAAGATGGCTGTCTGATCAAACCGGGTAATAAATGTTGGTTTGATCAAACAGTGGTAGCAGGGTCCATTTTGGCGCAAATGCCGCGAGTCAAAGCTGTGTTTTGAACAAATACAGCTCCGGACATATGTCAGGCAAACACATGGCGAGCCTGCTGGCGCATGCATTTTGGCATCCTTTGAACCCATCTCCAAGCATGTACTTGTGAGTTGAGGTCGCTTGGATAAGCGAAATCGGACTGGGGAGGGGCCGGTATTGTGAGTCCGCGCACCCTCAATTGAACAAGAGCAAGGGACTCATGGGGAACCATCCAGCGTTTTGGGATTGTCCAGCCCATCGCCGGCCGCTGGCTGAAGCTGGAATAGGAATCCGTAGACGCGAGGCAACATGAAGCCCGTCTCACACGACAAATTTGTGCAATTTTGCATTCCGAACTTGAGGAGTCTTCTTTGCACTGGTGATGAAATGTTCTTTACATGCCACACAGGTCATCCACAGAGGCCTTGCGGAGCAGGAGGTTTCAGCAACAACCCCAAAGTCAGTACCACCAAATATCAACATGTTCTCTGGGGGGCGCTGCAAGGCATGGACGTAGAATTTACATGTGTGAGATTGTATTGCAGAGATCAGAATCTGACATTGGGCGAGATGTCAAGTTCAACCAGTTCCAGCGTGTTTGCAAAGCATCATGCAAACACGAGTTCGCCCTATTGAACAGGCACAATTCCGTTGTTCACCCATTGCCTTCCACATACCATGTCTCTTGTTTGTTTCAAACATCAGCAGAATCATCAGCTTTGATTGCCAGAAAGCCCCCTCCAAATGCCTTCCCCCCCGCAGCCAACCCGTCCCTGTTGGCCTCATGCTTTTCGCGAGGGTTTGAACCCCGTCAAACAACGCATTTTGTTTGGGCCCCCTATGAGACAAACCTTTTGGGTTTCTGGTTTCAACTTAACACCGTGAAGACCCACGTTGTGTTTCCCTGCGGGGTGTCAGTTTGCGCTCGGCTCATGCGAGCGCGAACATCGCAATGGCCTGGCGCCCAAAGGCAGGAGGGATGGGCTGATGGGCTGATGGGCTGATGAAGTGGAGCCTTTGTTTGTCTCTTTTTCTCTTTGACTGGGTATGTGTTAGGTCGTTTAGTGCCCTTTTACCGTTTCTTTCTTGGGAGAGGGTTCGGGACCCTACTAAAATAGACTACAGAAAAAAAGGCCACCCTTATTCTAACCTCTCTACTGGAGGACCTAGTTGAATGTTTGTATATGTTCGATCTTGATGTGTGTGTGTGTGTGTGTGTGTGTGTGTGTGTGTGTGTGTGTGTGTGTGTGTGTGTGTGTGTGTGTGTGTGTGTGTGTGTGTGTGTGTGTGTGTGTGTGTGTGTGTGTGTGTGTGTGTGTGTGTGTGTGTGTGTGTGTGTGTGTTTGAGCACCAACCAAAAGCGGGTCCCAAGTGTGGCACCCATGCTTTTCCACCAACCGATTCACTTTTGTTCTCTATGTCCAGATTGGCCGATCCTGTCCTGGGAATAAACTGTTTGGGGCCAAGAGGGCGAACCGGATTGAGCAACAGAAGCAAGGTTTGAAGCTATGCAGATGGAAGCCAACAACTCATGCTTGGAGTCTTCTTGTGGGTTCCTTCCGTTTGCCTGAGCACATGTTGGGCTTCCTTTGGCTAGTGGCTGGACGGGGTTTTGATTTGAGTGTATCTGGAATCACGCTTCAAAGAGGACACGCCCATGCGGGCAACGTGTTTCAAATCGGCTGCAGCACATTGTTAACATAGGACCCCCAAATCGGTGGTTTCCTTTCGGTTCCCCTGTAAACCAAATTGGAAAGGGTACCCTCATGAAAAAGGACAGACACTACTGGTGTTTCCACGAATGGAACCCTCAACCTGATTGGTTTCTTGTATTCCCTTAAACATCCGACAGGCTTGCTCTGAAACCTAAAAACTGACAATGCCGCACGGGTAGAACATTGTACAACGTGTTGTTATGTTTTCCTTGGTCCCAAATTGCGACCAACTTTCGACAATCGGGTCGACTGGGAGTAACCCTTGATGCTGGTGGGAATGAATGTGATGTCGGGTAGCATCCATTATCCATTGGATCAATCCATGTGTGTTTTATTTTGCAATAAAAATTAAGGGCGCCTTTCAAACTTTAAGCAGCATCCAACAGGGCTTCCCTTTTTCAGTACGCTTGCCGCATGTGCCAGGTCGTCTCTGGCCAAAGAGGCAGGATCCGAGCTTACCTGGTCGACAGGGCCAGGGATTTGGGGAAATGACACGAAGGTTCCAAAGAAACTGAGCCAATCTGGGATGCTGATTTTCAGCCGGGTTCCTTTGTTTCAGTCAACAATGTTGGTTTGTGTCCCAACTTTGCTCCTTAAAGGCGATTGACCCAACGTTGCTTGCGTCCGCCACGGAGCTTTCACCCCCACGTTCTTGCTGTGCGGACCTCCGGAGTTTGCTACACATGGTCGGATTGACGCGGACTTCCGCAGCGTAAAAGTCCGCGCGCAGTCACTGAGGTGGCGTGAGGTCTCTTAGTGTCTCATGTGCTGAAAAATTACTGCAAATAACAGGTCCAAACACGTTCATGAGGACTTGGCAAGTGGCTTGTTTCTGCCAATGAACGTTATCATGTTGCCGCAGCCCACCCACCCCCCCCACCCCCCCTACCCGGGTTTGATACCCCCATGGGGTTCGTGCAGTTGCTGCTTTGGACCCCCCATTGAAGGGAGTGCAGCCAGCAACCTGCCCGCAAGAGAAGCATAGTTGACACACACTGCCACTACTTGAAGTTTGGAGTTATCAGCGATGAGCAGCCATCAAAATCAGGCTTTTATCCTTTTATCCCAAAACAATGCAGGTGCTCTACCCTTGTTTGGGGCCGCGGAAAAAATGTCACCAGACCCTGGCTCCCTTAGGGCGACTGAAGGTCCTTTCGAATTTGCTTCGTTCTTCAGCACATTTAAACCAGTGGAGAATGACAAAGTGAATGCTCCGTCAACTCTGCTTACATCATGGGGGCTGGGGGGGGAGGGAGGGAGGGGGAGGGAGCCCAAACAAGCCCAAACAAGCCCTTAAGCTCTTAATAAGGCCTTATTTAGGACATATTTGACCTCCCCCCCCCTCCCCTCCCTCCCCGCCCCAGGCCCCCGTCTTTACAGGTCTGCATTTGGACCCGAGGGCACAGGCGCGGGCACGGCCAGGCAAGGGCGCCAAGGGAGCCGGAGCTGGATGGCGCGAGGCGGCGACTGCCAAAAGTTTTTTGCCGGGTCGGTGGGGCGAACGCCGAAAGCTGTTTGCCAGTGCCTGTTTGCCCTTTTTGCATGTTTGTTGTTAAACAAACATATTTTTAGTAGTGTTATTAATATATATATATACATATATATATATATATATATATATAGGGAGCGTCCCATTAGAAGTGGGTCAACGTTTGGGACCATCTTACATCTTTGCCCCTGCTGAAATGATGAACAACGAACGGAACATATTTATGGCCTTTGGGAGGTGTGGTCTGCATCCAGAAAGTCAATTTGGGAGCAAACAATGATGCGCTGAGATTTTGGGGCTTCAACCGTTTTGTTATTTGGTGGTTTTAAAGGGAAAGTGAAGGGACACTGCTTAACTGGCTTTGAAACGAGCCGCTCATATGGCGTTGTCAGCCTTCCCTTCAAGATGTGGCCCATGGCGGAAATCCTCACCTGTACATGGAAAGAGAAGTGAGCTGCAAGTGAGACGCGCACACAGTTCCCCGGTTTCTGCACCGTGGGAAGATCATTTGTGTTGGAAGGGAAACAAACGCATTAGTTTGTTTTCACCCAGAAAGTGAGCAGTGAGCACGCAAAAAAGAAAGAGCTGCAGGATGTGTGTCCCATGTTTCCCTACGCCAGAGGACTAGTTGGGCCAATGTTCAGTGAGTCTCAACTTAGTGGGGTGACAATGGGGGAATCATAGGCCTGCTCGTCATTGTTGCCATCCACATACAGCATGCATGACAGGCAGGGGTGGTTGTGGCTCCTGCACGGAAGGTGCCGTTCAACCTACGTGTTTCAACGCGATGTCAAACTTCAGAAATTGTTGCAGCAATACGCATATCATCAGACCTCCAGTGGGGTTTCCTTATTCTCAACTTTTTGGGGTGGGTGTGCGTTGAACAAGAAACCAACAAACTGCTTTTCCCGTGGCTGCTGGACGTTTGGATATGTTTGGTTAGGTCGCTGAAGCAACGAAGCACTATTGACATAGGACAGGTGAGCACCACACATTTGTTTCGATACTTGGTCAAGTGGGAAGGACAGCATCACAACGTGGGTGGGGCCCCGCTCCGAAATTCCAAAGATCCGAATTTCCACATATCAGCCGGAAGCATCGGATTTCATGATGTCTTGGGGAACCAAACATTGTTGGGTCAAACAAGATGCCATGCACTAGTGCCTGGTTTACTGGCGTCACGTGTTTTCGGACGGGCAGCAATGTTCATCATATTTCCTCCCTTCCACATTGCCATGGCACCTGACAAGGAAATGGTTTGAACATGCGCTTTTTCTTCCAGGTGCTCTTTTGCAGGTGCTATTCCAGTATGGAACACAAGTGAGAGCATGTGTTCATGTGATTAGATAGTTGCCAGCTGCAGCAAGCAATGACCCTTGCGAATAGCACTTTGGCTTTCAAACGTTTATCCCCGTATCACGCGATGTTTGTGTTTGCAGGGGTTAGTCATTCCCTTTCTGACCAGCTCGGTATTCTACGAATGTATGCAGCGCTGCCAATGCCAGGCGAATGCAAGCCACTTGGCAGCGGTCTGTTAAACTGTTAGCCAACCATGCCGCTTGCCAGAAAAGTCTTCAGACCAACATGAAATGGCTTGGCTTGCTGTGACATGCCAGCCAAATGTGATTCTAGCCGACAAGCTTCTGGGGGCAGCGGACAGTGTGTGTGTGTGTGTGGCAGAAGTATGATTGTTTCATTGGTGGTTGTTGGTAGAGTTTGCACCTTTTGCTGGCTTATCTTCTGCCGATTTGGTTGGATCTCTGGACTTTTATAGCTTATTGGGAAGCAGTGGATTTTCCATTGGACCCACACAAAGTTCAACTTTTGCAGAGGGGTCAACAGCTACCAAGTTATGGCGTGGATGGTTCATGGCGAGTGTTGAATACCAAGTTGCCTTCACATGGGCCAATGAACGACTGTGTGTATGTGTACTTGCTCAGAGTTGGTCTGGACATGTCCGACTTCAGATAGCTGAAGCATGCATTGGATGCCCATCAGTTGTCCACAAAATGACGCGTGAACTCATAGTCGCTTCATTGTTCAACTGGGAACCACAGACCTGCTGCAAGGGTCTAGTCTTTTGGGGGATGCTGGTTGATAGGCAGTCCACGCTTGCTGAGAGTCAATACAGCTAATTCGGGCTTGTAGGCATGGTCACCAGCTCTCCATGTTGCTTTCGTGTGATCCATTTGCGAATTAGGCCGGTCGACAAGACAAAATACAGCCAATTTGCAAACAGAAAGAAGAACAACTTGTTTGCCTTGAACGGACCCTTTGAGTTTTGCACTTTCCTTCTACAATCTAACTTGTTGCAGTCTCAGTCTGGCCAGAAGCTTTGAACATTTGACCTGCTAGCATCCAGCCTGGGTTATATAGAAATAGTTTTCCATACGAGGCTTTGGGTGGGACGTGGTGGCTGGATATTCAAAGGCCGAAACCCTGAGGCGAATGGGACTGGAGCTGGTCTTGGGCATGGGAGAGCTGGTCCGCTGGGTCGCGTGGCCAGAAAGCCAGACTCAGCCCAGAAATCAAAGAACAGAAAGATGCCCTGTGTTTTTCGAGGAAAGGCTCCCAGCTGCTTAGAAGAGCAGTGCTGATTATCAGCCTCCAGGAATTTGATGCAATGAGGTGCCAAGACAAGGTTGCCTTGACAAAAAACAAGTTCCTCGGAAGCTTCCACACGTCGAACAATTTGATCAGACCCCCTTTGCGCAGGTGTCTTCTTGATTCAGTCTGCACTTAGTAAAGCTAGGTGAGGCTTGGGTTTAAGGAGTGGTTGGGTTTGTCTTGTCTTCGCATGTGTAAATGGGTTATCCAGGTGTGCCTTGTGAAGCTTTTCTTAGTCTTAGGGACCGATACCCCTGAAGAGGCCTGCCCGACTGCCCTACCCAAGGAAATAACATGCGCGTTCCATCCCACATGCGAGACTGTGTGTTTGTTTGAGAACGCACTTGCTTGATTGAACCCTATGAAAGAAGAAGCTAGGCTTTTTTTAAGGTGCCACGCACACGAGCATGAAATCTGAGAATTGTGAGGTAGAAGCCTTACTCAGCTTTCTTGACAAGTCCGGCAAATCCACAAATCCCACAAGATCGTTGAACGGGAAAAATGGCCCCAAAGGAATAGTTTCGAAGGAGCTACATCCATCCCCAGAGCTTCAAAGCAGTGCGCTTGCTGGTGCCCAGCAAGCAAAGGGAGGCCATGCTAAATAGCCCTCCCGCATGCACTAGAGCCAAGTTGCTCCTAACGTTTGAGAGATTGTTGCGTTTGCTGAGCTGCTCATGTACCAAGCGGCTGCTTTGGCTGTGAGTTGCAACAGCCTCTTGTGACACCGGTTCAGAAAAGCCTAAGTCGAGCTGATCCAGCGCTATACAGGAGTTTGCGGGAGGCCCTTTGCTCATTGCCAGACTTGACTTACCAATTTTGTACCATGTCCCCCTTACTTAGTGGACCTTTTGGTTCTCCTCCATTTTCGGAATAACCAGACATCGCTTTTTTCAGGGGAGTCCGATTCGAAATCGGCCACGTGCTTGACACATCGTCCGCTTTCGTGGGGTTGTTCAGGTATGGCGACCATTCAGACACTTGGCGGGGAGAGTTGGGTGAACGTCACCTTCTGCAAGCCATTTCGTTTTGGTCGTTCCCTTTAGTGTTCCCGGACCAACCTCAATTATCCAATGTAATATGGTACCCAAATTTAGGGGAACCCAAATCTAGGGCGCAAAATTCAGGGAAGGTGAGCTTGCTTCCCAGCGTGGCTCTTGGGCGAAGGCGTTTGGACCAGGTGCTTTGGCCGTTCGGAGTTGTCGTGGATGGCACGTGGTTCAGTGGCATCCCAAAAATACTCCTTTTTTTTTGCTGGCTTCCCCAAAAAGGGTACATAGTATGTTTGTTTCTTTTGGTTTGCAGGATTGCATCGCGACCAAGTAGAACATCTGGCTGTGGGTCAAACCAGTGTTTTGGGGTAGGTGCACCACCCATTTCAGTCTATTTTAGTGGGGATTGGGATGTTCACGGGGGGTACAGGCTTTTGACCCATGGCCACATGTGAAATGTGCAGAAAAACCAGGGGGTCGTTCAAGTGCGCCACTGGAGTTGCAGGGGGCCAAGAAAGAAACAACAAGCCCAAACGCACGCGCGTGTTTCGGGGAATCGCCGCCTCTTCTCAGGAATAGGCTCTTGCTGCAAATGGAGCGGACACCCGGTTTCCGAAAAGGGGCAACTCATGCTTCAGCACCCGCAATCATTAATGATTTCTGATGGAAGCACGGCCTTGGGCATGGGAACGCCGTGATTGGAGGGTGCTGGTGTTCACGATTCATTGCTGTCAGCCACAAAGTCGTCGGCGCATGGCTCTCAAGCCGTGAGCTCACCCGCCAAAGCGAGCTGACCCATGATGAAGCTTTCTTGCCTGAGGGTTCTAGCTTCAGGCGTGTGACTTATTAGGGTAATAATTTGCCTAGATGTGTCATCTGGTGAACTAGTGCTGGCCAGGCAGTCTCCTCGTTTAGATCATTGGATTTGTAGCCGCGTGGGCAAACGCTGGTATTTCTTCATTGGCAGACTTAGCGCGCCTTTGCTTGTTCTGTTATTTTTGAGTTTCCTTCATTTGCACTTTAAAGAGACAAACATACATTTTGAATCGCTAGGGAGGAAGGGATGGGGTATGATGGGGTTGTGCCTGTTCGCTTGTTGAGGTAGGCTTCGAGTGACAATGCAACCCTCTTGCTGTTTTGAGATGTGTGCCATGGTTGAAAAACCCTTGTTAGTCGGGTTAGCAGGGATCGGATCCTTGGTTTCAACCACCGATGTTGGTTCACGCCAAGCGTCCAACCCCTCGGGAACCCGCAACATGAGGAGTGGCACGGTGCCGGTCGCAGCTCGCGGGCCAGGCTTCCGGACTCGAACCCGGGGGCATCTTTTGGGGGAGGGAAGCCAGCTGGACGCATGGTGGTTCAAAACCGTTTTGGTACCATTTTGGGATAGGCGCACCACCCATTTTAGTCTTTTTTTGGTGGGGATTGGGATATTCATTGGGGGTTCGGGGTTTTGACCCATGGCCACGTCGGTTTACACGATTATTTGTACGGCCATGCGGGTTCTTCAAAACCGGAACAATGGGTATGACTCACACAAGGAGCTCCTTTGAGTATGGCGTTCTTTGTTTCAGCGACGCCCTGGTTTACGAGGGTTACAGTACTGCCTATAGATCCTTGTAAGAATGTTAACCAAAAGGTAAGGGAAGTTGACCAAGTCACAGGTGTTGTCTCCCAGTCATTGCCAAGGTTGAAGCGTAAAATCAAATATTCAAAGCACGGAAGGACCTCAAGTTCCTGGACTTTGACTTAAGATCGCCTGAGGTGTAGAACACTTTCAAGTCTGAAGTTTATTTGGGAGGGGCATGAGGGAACTCACACAATTCCCGACTAAACCTAGCTTCATGTTGTTTGGTGGAGTAAGTTTGAGCTTGCCTGTAGTAAACATGAAACTTCTTACGGTTGGCAAGCTACTCCTAGACTCCTAGAAGCATGTCAGTGGGTGCGTGTTTGCAGGCCGGATGAGGTCCATCATCCAAGCCAAGGTTAGAACGTATACATATCGTGATAGATTTGGATGATTAACACTGGGGCAAATCAGTGGAGATATGATAAAGCAACTGCAAACTATGTACTGTCATTTACAGTGGTAAAGTGCCACTATACAGTTAAATAAAACATGGGGTGGCTTACCACAATTTCACGTCAGTTAATACAATCAATATTGTGACTCATGCCTCCGGCATGCAATCAACATGTTATTTTGACGCGTCAATGAAGCATTTGCATAGTTTATGGGGGTAAGACGAGCTCAGCATGGTAAAGATCTTTTACTTGGGGATCCAACTCTTATTTCAGGTTTTGGACATTGTCAAATGTAAGACATGTTTGCCACTGATCTTTGCAAGGCGGGCAGGAGGTAAACTACACGCAGCCCTCCGGAAAGCACCCCAGGCTTGCTTTGGCCCAAGAGATGCTTTGCGGCGCTTTGCGGCGTCTCAAAAATGCGGTGCTTTGCTTTCCAGCTGCCAATCGGATCCATTGGGCTTTTGCTGAGCGATCTCTTCCCCTAGATCGTTTTGGTAGTGGGGAATGTCGCAGGAACCTTCGATAAAATAACTTTATACAAACCCATTTGATGTGTGTTTCGGCCGTTGTTCCATGCGGGGAAAGGCGCACCACACCCTATTCGCTGGCCTTAGCTCGTGTCCCTTTTCCTCGGACGCAGGGGCAGCAGGCGGGCTGCGTCTGGCGCTCATACTGTCCGAAAGGAAAAGAGCTCGTTTGGCCATTTTTGTAGGTGATTCTACTACCTGGTCTGTCTTATGGTGCTTATAGGAAAGCCTATATATATATGTATATCTATATATTTATATCTGCCTTAAACTGAACTTATAGCCGTCTTGGTTTCATGCCCAGCAGGAATGCTTTTTGGGGGGAGCACCCCTTGAGGTGTCCTGCAAAGAGTTCCTAAATGGGTGACCCAATGCATTGGAGTTCTTCAGTAGAATATGCCAACATGTTCAGAGGGGTCCCTGCAAATTTGACGGGCTTGCTTGCAGTATGCTTTTTGGCCGTGTTGAGCATCACGTTATCCGGCTGATCTAGAGGATTTCGTTGTGAATCAGTTGGCTTTTGACAGTCCGTTGCCAAGGCAACAGACGGGCTGCAAGTCAAAACATTGAATTATCCTTCATGCAATAGAAGGCTGTTTTTACACGAATGGCAAGGAAGGCGTCGGAAATGCAGGAACCATGGTTTCTGAAGCAGCCTCTTGGAGTGGCTAGACTGCTTCCCCACTTGTGCTCGCATATTAGCTGGCCAACAGTGTGACTCTGACCCGATAGCCTTGGGATGGCACCATACAGCGTTCCAAAACTAAGGGACCACTCGGGCCACACTACATACGGGGGTTGTTGAAAATTGGGGAACCCGTTAATGGGTGAGTGCCCGCTCAACTCGCCTTCGAATCTACCCCAAAAAGGGCAACATTGGGTGTTTCCTGATAGGATCTGGACCCTCAAGCTGCTTGGTTTACTTTTGTTTTCTTCCTCAAGCCAAAAGAGGTCCCGTGTCATCCCTTTCACGGGAATCCAATGCCAGCACCAGAGAGTTGCAAACAAAAAGAACAACACCAACCCCAGTGGGCCCAGTTTCGGTTATCACTGTAGGCCAGGGAAACCATCACTTTGGTGCATTTTGCTTGCATGTTAGGATTTTAACTGTTTGCCAACTAATGGGTTTTCCATTAAACCACTAAAGTTAAACTTTTAGCAGGGGAGCAGAAAGCGACCGAGATCATGTAAATCCTGGCAATTTTCAGCCCTGGGTACTGGGGGCGTTTCTCACCCCTCCGAGGTCACCGCGGCGAGCCGAGCCGCTTGAGCACCTTGGAACAATCTGTGCCTTTTTGGCTCGGGGCATCCGTTCTGTCAGCTGGAGCATTGACTTTAAACATGTAGTGCATATGAATCTCCTAGCTCCTAGCGCTTCCAGATCTCATGGTAGGCTCCAGATCCATCATGCAAAAGCCTGTTGAACAGAGGCCTGTTCGGTGAGGATTCAATGTCGGCATCGTGACCCTAGCCCTGCCAAAGCCTCACAGACACGCAGTCACGCACCCCGCGCCGAAAGCCTCGCCAAGAGCATCGCGGCAACTTCGGAGCAAGTTCAGAAAGGGGAAAGCCTTACAGCTGCAACAAACATGGCAAACATTGCAGACAGAAGCTGTTGAAACAAGGGGATCTGAGTTGAACGGAAACGAACTTGGAGAGCTTGGAATGCATTAAGCTTCGCATGCTGAGTCTGAGGTCGCCGCAGCGTCCAGCTGAGGCAGCAACAGCAGAGGCGCCGGCAGTTGAATGCCTAGGCATGACAGACCCGCTTGGGCCGCAGTTGTCGTGTCGTCGTCGTCGGCGCTGTTTCATGCTTTGGCAGGATGAGGCTGTTTCCCCTTGCAGTGTTGTCCATTACGACCTGTCCAAAGCGGTTACATAGCAAAAAGTTGGCTTGGAAAATGCACGGCGAGTCGTAACCAGATAACAATGTGATATGACCACCAATCTGTGTCCATAGCCATCTCTCCGCTCGCTATTTGTTGGTCCATTCCTTGTCACACTCATGTCCCCACTGGAGAAGCGAGAGAAGGGAGTGGTTGGGAGGTAATGGATGGTTACTTCGCAAGCCAGGATGAGGCTGGGAGAGAACAATGAAAGCGATGGGAAGAACTTGGACATGTCATTCATCTCTTCCCCAGCCTCTTTCATCTTATTACCCTCTCCCATCCCTTCCTTTCCATTGCAGCGTTTTCCTCAGGTATGCCATGCAATGAAAGAATGATGGAGCAGTGGGATGAATGATAGGATGGCTCTATCTCTCCATTCCTATGTCTCTCCGTCCAAAAGCATCCATTATCTAATTGGTCACCTCTAGAAAACTTGGAATCCAAGACATTAATATGGTTTAGCAGGTGATGATCGAGCTGACAACCGCACATATACATCACCTTGCATCAGTCACTTATAGAGGCTTGCAGAGAACTCACGTCGGGCAAAGAGCTTCTGCGAGGGAAGCCTTACAACGTGGCAGCCTCAACGCATGTAGCACCAAGCAGCACCACTGTTCAACGATAGGGATTCTGAGTGTGAGGGTTGTAGGTCGGAGCCTGGTGCTGACTTGGATGCTCCGAAACTTTGCCTTACCTGCAGCATGGTCAGCAGCCGGCTACGGATTGAACTTGAGATGCTGAGGTCGCCGCAGCGTCCAGCTGAGCCAGCTACAGCAGAGGCGCCGTCGGTCGAGTGCCTTGGCGTGCTAGAGGCATATTATGACCAGCTGTGTGGCAAAAGGCGGTGCTCCATTTAGTTGTTGGCGTTGTCGTTATCGTTGGCACTGTTTCCCCTTGCAATGTTGAGAACAGTGTGCTGACCATAGCTGGGTCGAGGAGGAAGCTCAATTTGTTCGCTTCAGAGTGGCCAGTCCTGACTTTGCTTTGTTCCGCACATGTTGTTGCCCCTTCTGAGCTGACCAAGCTTGCTTGAGGCAAAGCCGAAATGATTTGTACAAAGTGGCCAGCCCTAATGTTCCTTGTTTGACACGTGATGTTCGAGTGCACAGCCACAAGAAAGCTGCATTGTGTTGCGTCAGTTACAGGGCAAACCACCTCAGGCAAGCGAGCGCTTGTACGTGGGAAGCCTTACAGCGATGCAGGCAAGGCACGTATCACCTAATCTCACTGACACGACTGTTCAATGAAAGGGATTTAGTTGGAGGGTTCTGGCATGGTCGGTAGCCATGGCACGGCTTGAGCTTGAGATGCTGAGGTCGGCGCAGCGTTCAGCTGAGCCAGCTACAGCACAGTCGCTGTCGGTTGAGTGCCTTGGCGTGACAGAGCTGCATGGCTTGCTGCGTGGCAAGATGCTGTGAGTCACTTGTTGTTGGTGTGGTCGCTATCAGTCGCTATCGTTGGCCGCTGTTTCCGCTTGTGAGCCGACCATAGCTTGCTTGAGGCGGAGTCAACATGTTCTTTCCAAGTGGCCAGCCGCCGGCTTTGCTTGTTTGATCGCACAATCACTAAATGCAAGCATTGCCTTGAGTCACCTAAACGGCACGGCACGGCTTACAGCCACGTCAGGTAAGCAAGCATTTGTACGTGGGAAGCCTTGCAGCGATGCAGGCAAGGCACGTATCACCTACGATCACTGACACGACTGTTCAATGCACGGGATTCAGGTGGAGGGTTCTGGCATGGTTGGTAGCCAGAGCACAGATTGAGCTTGAGATGCTGAGGTCGCCGCAGCGTCCAGCTGAGCCAGTTATAGCACAGGCGCTGTCGGAGTGCCTTGGCGTGACAGAGCTGCATGTTTTGCTGTGTGGCAAGATGCTGGGGTGTTGTCGTTATCGTTGGCGCTTATAGCTTGCTTGAGGCGGAACCGAAAGACCGAAATGTTTCGTCCAAAGTAGCCAGCCGCACAATTTGCTTGTTTGACCGCACAGTCACTAAATGCAAACTGCATTGCCTTGCGTCAGTTAAACGGCATGGCTTACAGCAGACGACGTCGGGCACGCGATCATTTGTGCGTGGGTTTACCTAATATCACTGATACCGCTGTTCAATGAACTGAACGGGATTCAGTTGGGGGTTTCTGGCATGGTCGGTAGCCAGGGCACGGATTGAGCTTGAGATGCTGAGGTCACCGCAGCGTCCAGCTGAGCCAGTTATAGCACAGGCGCTGTCGGAGTGGCTTGGCGTGACAGAGCTGTATGGCTTGCTGTGTGGCACAACCAACCTTGCCTCCACCGCCAACACGATTGGTTGCATGTCTCTGGAGGGATTCCTTGGCGGTCTGCGGGTCGGCAGAAGCTAACAGGGGAGGGCTCTGGAAAGTTACAAATCAGCATTCTTAGGGACCTCCCCGATCTTGTTGCTACGGAAGCCAAAAGAAATCTAACCATTTGTCTTGTTGGGCAAACCCATGTTGCTGACCAAAGGAAATGAAACCTACCATGTTGTCCAGTGGATGCATTCCGCAGATTCCGCAGCCCCAACACCTCGTTTTCCCTTATATACATCTATTCACGCCTCAATTGCAATTAAATAAAGTTGCATCTTGAGAATGGTAACTTCCGAATTCTTTCCTGGGATCCCACGTGCATTTCCTGAGACAATCCGACTGTTTCCCTTTCTAAGGCCGGAGCAGGCCGGGCTGAGAGCGGCTCGGCTCACGCCGTGGGAGTCGTGTGGACAAATTGGCCCAGGGGAAGGTTGGATCATACGTTACACATGCAAAAAGGGGGGTATGTTGATTTTCCTTTAACACCTGGAAAGGACACCCTCAAAAGTGACATCCGATTTACTTTCGTTGTTCCTTTAAAGCTATCTAAAACGGAACAGAAAAGGGCGCCATATGGGGCCTGCGTTTGTGAAATGTCTGAAAACTCCAAGGTTTTGTTCGGGGATTTGTTTTTTGTTGTTTTTTGGGTTTCTCGAAGTTTTGCACTTCTCGTATTGTCCCCTCAATGTTTTCCGAGTATTTCTTTCGTGTTCTCTCAGTATTCCATTATATAGCATTCCCTTACTATTCCCTGAGAGTTCCCTGAAAAGTCATGATTTTTCCTTTAATACTCCCCCAATCTTGCAATATTCCTTTAATATTATCTTGCCCCTAGTGTTCTCTCAGCATTCCCCAGTATTCCTTTAATATTCCTCAATATTCCCCTAGTATGTTCCTAATATTCACAATACTTCCTAGTATCCCCTTAATATTCCCCTAGCATTCCCCTTAGTATTCTCTATTCCTTTAGCATTATCTCACCCCTAGTAGTTGTATTCTCCTAGTATTCCCCTAATATTGCCCTAGTATTCCTTAGTATTTCTTGGAATACCCCTAGCATTCTCCCAATATTCCACCAGTAACCCCAGCATTCCTTAGTAGTTTCCCGGTTTACTTGTAGTATTCTCTCCCAGTATTCCCCTAGTATTTTACTAGCATTTCCTCTTGTTATTCCCCTGGTATTCCCTTATTATCCCCTCGGTGTTTCCCTAGTTCTTTGCTACTCAGAAACTGGAGCGCAGATGCAGGATACCAGGGGAAGTAGAAAGGGGAATGCTGGGCAATACTAGGGGAATTTCGGAGAATACTAGGGGCACACCCAGAAAATGCTAGGGAATACTGAACAATATTAGGGGAATACAATTGTAGGGGTAAGGGAATGCTAAAGAAATACTATTAGGGGAATACTAGGGGAATACAACTCTACAGGTAAAATAATTCTAAAGGAATAGGGGCCTATTCGAGGAATAGTAAGGGGAATGCTAGGGGAATATTAAGGGAACACTAGTGAATACTATGAAGATGCTAGGAGAACACAGGCTACTTGAGGAATGTTAAGGAAATCTCGGAAAACACTGGAAATACTTGAGGGTACCCCAAGAGAATACTAGAGGAATAGTAGGGAAATACTGAGGGGAATATAGTAGGGAATTACCAAGAAGCTGCTAAGGGGAATATTGAAGGAATATTTGGGGAACACTTGAACACTGAGAGAAGATTAGGGGTTTGTATACCAAGAGAATGAGAATACCAAAATACAAAAGAATACCAGGAGAATACAGAGAATATTATGAGGCAATATGCGTGAATATTCGGGGAGTACCAGGAGAATACTAGGGGAATAATAAGGGAATATAGGGGTATAGTAAGGGAGTTCTAGGGAAGCACAAAGGGTGAATACTCGAAACAAAAAGAAAAAGAAAAGGAAGTACTGAAAAATACTTGGGAATAGTTACGAGGGGAACACTGAGGAGATACTAGAGGGTATAACAAGAGAGAACTAAAGGAACTTTCTGGGAATAGTGAGGGGATGATAGGGGACTACTGGAAGAACACAGATTACCAAGAGAATGCTAGGGAATTACCAAGAAAATTATTGGGGAACATTAGGGGAATACTGAGCGAATATTAGGGGTATACTAAGAAAATAACAAAGGCACACTGGGGTAATGCTGGGGACATAATTACTAGGAGGGTGCTAATTAAGGGAAGACTGAGGGAATTCTGAGGATCTTTTTGGGGGATACTAAGGGAATAGCAGGGGAATCCTTGGAGAACACTGATTGCTAGAAAGCAGGGGGAGAGGAAAGATGCCTGCAGTGGGTGGCCTTCTGCAAAACTCACCAAAGACCGCAAGTGCGAGTAAAGGTGCATCCATCCATGCCAAGGTGTAAAAAAGGCTGATTTCAAAAACACAGGCCCCATGGCGGGCCGCTCTCAAACGGAAATCCCCTGTGAAATTTAGCGCCGCCGTCTTTTGCCATGGGGTCCGACCCCCTCCGACCTGAGTCCTTTGAGGCCTAATTTGGGAAGGGTGGGGGGGGGGGGGGTACCATGGACATCTCAAGTCTATCAGGCTGAATCCCTCAAAACGCAATACCTAAGAAGGGTTGCAACACAGACTAAGCGTCAGCCATACAGGGGGTTGGAATCCCTTGATTCAGATGACATTTCATGCCTTCCACTCGCAAGGGTCAACAAGACATCTTGTCTGCTGGCAGGGTGACCAGAACTTCTGGCAGGTTTGGTTGAACAGAAAGTGGGTGGGTTCAAGGGACCTGCCCAATCACCAGCCAGTTCAAGTGAGTAGATGGAGGCTGGATGTTTTCAAAGATTCGAGGGGGGATTCCTAGGGCTGATCTTTGACGCCCCTTGCAAAAAGTGAAGAAAGCAGGCCTTCTGGCCGCTTCCCTTTAGGATCCACCCCCACTTTCCAAGTGGGAAAAACACGTTCTCCTCCTTGGCCACCTTTCTCTGTTTTCAACTAGGGTTAGAAACCCAGAAAGCCTCAGCTGCATTCAGCGAAGACACATATTTTTCTGGGGACCCGGACCAAGCGAATGGGCCCTCTGCATCGGCGTGAGCCTTGAGCCGTTAGGAGCTGAAGGACGAGGAGCCAGTGGCACCGGCTGGAGTTTTCAGGGCCCTTCATGTGTGTGGGTGTGTGTGCGTGCGTGTGTCTTTTTGTTTTCTTCTCGGGTACCTCTTGTTGGGATTGGTTTACAGCAAAGGGACAAAGGCAAACCACCCGTTGTGGAGGTCCGCCTATTTTGATACATAACCGAAATAGTGTCATATGTTAGGGTCGACCAAATTATACAGAACAGGATCTGAAATGTGTGTTTTTGTACGTACCCCAGATTTGGGCCAAGACTAGAATGAGGTTGTGGGGGTGCTATTCTACGTCTATCATCATTGCATCGTATCAACCTCATTCTACTGTAAGGGCCCCAATAATGACAACCAAATTACCAGATGATCACGGCAGAATGTGTGTAATTATGTAGCCCCTTATATACTATGCGTTCTCCTGGCGTTCTCTTACTAATTAACCACTCTCCCTATGAATGAATGCCGTCTACCGCTAGGAGAACCGTATTTGCTATTGGGAGGAAGCGATAGTGTGATTTCAGTGTTGGGAGACCAACCGGAGAATGTGTCAACATTCAACATTGTCATTCATGGGATGCCTCCTGTTTCACGTTCCACATGTGGCCATGACCAGGATCTTCCGCGGTGCATCAGATACATGTTGCCATTTGCTGACTTTTGCCACACTGTTGTTGCCAAGGGTAAACTTGTCTGGATATTAAATTGACGATGTCTTGAATTTGCTTGTCCGGTTGAGGGGGCTAGTGGAAGAGCTGAAAGAGGCACTGTTCTATTATTTCGTTACTCCCACATCATGTACTCAAAAGAAGGGAACCCCTGGGTTTCATTCCCCTTTGGCAACCAAATTATCGAACTCTGTTTTGCGGGCATTGCTTCTTCAGTGACTGAAGTGTGGGTGTGTCCTTAAAATGGGGCACCCCCAAAAATGGTTAGTTCCCTTTTTAAAACCACTTCAACCAGGGTATCCTCAAAAAGACACCCCAAGCCGCACGCCTTGCTGTCAACTCAAAGCGCTCAGCTTTTGGAGCTATTCGCAGATTTGTAGCTCGAGTTTGGGCTGGTCTGCCTGCGCTGTGCAGGCAGAATCCCAGTGGGGTCAGTTGGTTCAAACAATAGCTTGTTTATATCGTGCGTTTGGAATGCATTGTTCTGTGCATGTTGTCTTTTTGTTTGCTTGCGCAGTATCAAATTATAATCCTTGGTTTGTTCACACAAGTCCGAAAGAGGTACGATGATTGGCTGATGTTCTACACTCGGACTTTTTGTTGTTCAACTCCTCAGGCTTCTTCCCCAGACTTGGGAAGAAAAGACAGCCAAATCAACAAGACTTGCGTCATAGTGAATGCACCCCCCTCCAAAACTCCATCAGGACGCCTCCAAAAGGCTTCGGTCCCCTAACCTGCCCAGAAAGGTTTTTAGAATCCTTGATCCTTGAACCCCTCCTAAGGTTGCGAGCCGTTCTTGGGGTGCCCGTTGGTTTTCTCCCTGGTGAATGTTATTCCCGCCAAGCCTGGCCCCTGAACTGGGGTCTCGTCCAAAACAATTGTCATAAATTGTCTTTCTGGTGCCCAGCAGGGAATGAGAAATGGAATAACCCTTCTAAACCATCCAACTGGTGGTTTCCTTTAAGGTGACCCCTGGGTGGCGGGATTGGAGCTTGCCAGGCCACAGAGCTGCCAACTCAGCCCGGCGCCCCAGATCCGAAAGGGTCGGCAACCAGTGGGTTGGTGCACGCGGGCAACGGGGCAATACCGTCCTCCACAACGAATTTATATATTTTAGGTAGACCAAAAATGAAATATTTGAACGCGCGCATTTTTGGAGTACCCAGATGCAGGTCAGGATTTACTGTGACAAAGGGAGCAACATTAGGTACACTTGTCGAATTACCACTAGCAAATGAGTACTCAAAACAAAACCCATGCGAATTTGCAGTTGTGCAGCTGTTTGAAAGGGTCTCGCCCTGAATGGTTCTGCGGTTGGGCAGCTAGTGTAAGCCCCCGGAGCCTCCATGAGCTGGTGTGCGAAAGAACTTGTGCAGAAGTCGAGCCGAGCATTTGTCGCTTAAACAAGTCCTGGGCACCAAGAAGCGCGTGTGCTGAGGTTCAGATAGTTGCGGCCCCTCGAAATGCTGTCACACTGTATGCATCAGACGACTGTTGCCCATGAGCTTGCCAGGTGGTTATTATGTTGAAGGAGATACAATGACCCCAGTCCCTGTTGTCTCTAGGAGTTGTGTTTCCTGCTGACTAGACAATACTATCTAGTCATCAACAGCATCCACCGAAACGATTTCCAGACGGCTTAGGGTCAGCTTAACAGCTGGAGATGCTTCACTTCAAGGGCTCTCTAGCTTCCCCTCTTCGCTGTGTTGAGCATCAGCTTTTTTGCCAATTTGACGTTGTTTTTTGGGGTGGGTGCTTTGGAAAGTCAAGCATAGGAAACTCAAAACATCCACTGATCCACTGCGTGTGAACATTTGTGGAGAGCCTCTTTGCAGGCCCCCTGTAAGCGTTCGGGAGCCGTTGGCTTGTTTCACCCGCAACTGAGCAGCAATGAGGCTACAAGGCTTGAAGACGCAGTGTGCGTGACAACTAATTGCCTGCTCTACGTCAGGAATCCCAGAACCTGCACCGCGGCTGTTTTTCTGTGTGGTTCTGCCAAAAGGTCACTTTTACTGCTTGAAAGTGGAAAGCAACCATGACATCTACTATTTTCTGCTGACTTGCAAACAGTGAGGCCATGCGATGTTGCGCTGAGCGCAACCCCTGACGGTTTCCAGTATCCGTCCAGAACTCACTTGAGAAGGCGAAAACATGGAGGCTTCTCAACATAAGAATCGGTCCATTTCCTCAAATGACCAGGGTTTCTTTTTGGTTTTCCATGTTTCCCTTGGTCCACCATCTTGAGAAACTCCCAACCGGCCAATCGGTCAACCCACCTGCTTGGAAACTGCTGCAACCGGGCAGCAATTCGCGTGACATCAATCAATTTATGGGGTCAGCAAATGATGGACAAGACGACAACATGTGGTTTTTTGTTTCCCTTCAAACCAGCCTTCAACAAAATAAAGATACCCTCAAGCACACACACACATACCCACCCACCCACCCACCCACCCACACGCACACACACGCACACACCCACACACACCCACCCACCCACCCACGCACACACACACACACTTGCACGCACGCACGCACGCACGCACGCACGCACGCAAGCACACACACACACGCAGACGCACGCACACCCACGCACCCACGCACCCACGCACACACCCCCACACCCACACACCCACACACCCACACACCACACACCACACACCACACACCACACACCACACACCACACACCACACACCACACACCACACACCACACACCACACACCACACACCACACACCACACACCACACACCACACACACACACACACACAACACACACACACACACACACACACACACACACACACACCACACACACACACACACACAAACGCCAACCTACCTGCCCACATAACCGCCCACTCACCCACCCACCCACCCACCCACCCACCCACCCACCCACCCACCCACCCACCCACCCACCCACCCACCCACCCACCCACTCACCCACCTGCGCACGCAGGCACAGTCCAGCCTCACCGCAGCCAGCCATAGTCAGGCTTCTTCGAAATAGCGTTGTGTCCAAATGCCGTAGATGCAGCTCAAGTCCTATGTTGCTCACACCGAGACTGATCTCAGCGAACCTCAAACAGCTTCTGACAAGCAGCGTCCTGCTCGCGACAAAAGGACCATCGTGTGTTTGTTTTTTGAGGGCGCCCCTTTTGGGCTGCTTTAAAGTGGCACCAAAGGGACAAAGCCATGTAGGTCTTCAGGTTGTCGCGCATGCGGCTTCGAATGCCAGGCTCGAATCGTCATCCCAGTCGGAGCCAGAGGCAGGACTCATGGGATGGGTTCAGGTGGATCCATATTTCTCCTTTTGGTGGCATTGAACAGGCCAATCGAAGGTGAGTTTGTCCATTGCAGGGTGATGCTTAAAGGGACATATCACGAAAGCTAGCTTTAGCTAGCTGAAGTTTCTCCTTGCGTAAGCAAGGTAAGGGGCTCAAATGCCGAAAGATTGATTTTTTCAATTATTTGAGCCGAAAAGATTGAAAAACATCAATCATTTAGACCCCCCCCCCCTCCCCCCCCCCCCGGTCTCAGGCTCGATTCCTCCCTGGTCCATCCCCCAGGCAGTGGCTCAGTGTTCAGCAGTCTCGGTTTGCCCGTTTTGGACTTGGTGCTACGAACTTTTACATGTTCCACCGATTCAGCTTGTTCATTTGAGACCTCAGTCTTCTCGGTAAACCACCTCGCAAGAATCTTTGCACACGCAGCATGCAGAACCCAGAGGTGCTTTAAGACAGCTTCTGACGCCTCTCGTTGTTTTCATTTTTCAAGGTTTGCCACGCCACCATGTGCGTTTGCGTGTCGCATCCTACGAATCTTGCCGGGCCTCTCGTTGTACACAAGCTACCTATGAATCCACTCTTTCACCGACCCATCTCATGCAACAACTGCTAGCTTTCGTTCACCCGCTCCTCAAGTAGGGAGCCCTGCGTTTGTTTGCGGGTCCCTGAACCACAAGCTGTGCAAGTGGGGTTGTAGGATGTTGGATCTCAGACTATGGGATTTTCTCAAAATAGGATGCATGGAAGGCCACTAAGATGGGTGGTGGTCTTTGGTTTTCCTTTGAAGCAATCCCAACAAAAGGCACGCTCCAAAACGAAAACTGACAAACACGCATTGACATGTTGAAGTTGACATTGCGTTTTGGGCGGAGCTCGGAAAACTTGGATTGGAAGACAAGCTGAACATCGCCCATAGCTTTCAACATGTTGGACTGCAGATCCTCAGATTCGCTGGCTTCAACATCGCCTTGGGGTCTTGCGAATTGCTCGGTTTGCTTGGTGCTTAATTTACCTGGCCGCACTCTGAATTTACGCTGGCTATATTTCTACATCTACACGTTCCAGCTTCTAGGTCCCTGCCTCATCGCCCCACCCATGGTCATGATGTCCTTCTCCTCTGGTTGAGGGCGGGGTTAGTGAAGGGTTGCTTGAGGGCCGGTTTAGTTTAGGCTGGGTTTCAGCTGGGTTTGGATTAAACTGTAGACTCGGCAAAAGGTGGGTTCGGCTAAGGTTCGCAGGGCGTGCAAGGAAGCATTGGATTTGCAAGTTGCATGCCAGCCCCGGCCTTCCAAGCATTCAAGCGGCTTAAAATGCCCAAAAGGCATTTTCTGAGGTTTGACATGAGGGCTTATGTGCTGAGGGCATATTCACTGGAGCCGAAGAAGCCAAGCCTCGCGTCCCTTGACCAGGCTTGCAGCAAGCAACAGCCACCAATGGGTAGAAACTTGGAAACTTGTAGGGGAGCTCGACCTGGAAAGAGAGGATAGGAAAGGCGCTGAGTTAATATTTGATTGTTTTTCTTTTCCAGCTGAATCCGGGTCGAAATGGGAGCTGGCGACAGGTGAACTACCTGGAGGCGCCTCAGTCGTGGCTAGACGGCGCCGGGAGCCACGGGGTTTGATGCACTTGGCGGTTCCTAGCCGTACACCTGTAGACTTCTTGAGAGGGGCCCATGACATATCCCACTAAAAGTTTCACCTTTAGCAATGGAGCAACGAACCGCCAAGTGTTGGTTCGCTTTTTCACAGTAGAGAATATGGGAATGAGCCTCCCAACCATCCCCTACAAGGACCAGTAGTGCAATTCCCGCATTCCCAACCAAGAACAAGCAACTGCGCTCAAACATGTGTGACAGCAAACAAGTATCCTTCCCGAAGTGAGCAGCAGCAATGACAGGCCACAGTTTATTGCACAAACACACTTGGTTTTTCCACCCTCATGTTGGCAGCTTCTGCTTTTGAATGGTTCGTTACTCCACAACAGGCGGGTCCCATTCAGCCGCAGCGCTTGCTGCATTAGACTCCCCAAAATTTGACGACTAGCGTGACATCAACATCCGAGCAAAACGCATTTGCAAAGGATCCCAGCCAACTATCGTCGTTAATACCACCGCCGTTTGGGACCCATTTGTTGAGCAGGATTTGTTGCTTGCTGGCGCATCATATCAAGTTGTCAACAAGCTATAGTTGGTGAAGGTAGATGGCACAAGTCCCTGGTGGGTAAGTAAAGGGTATGACTTGAGTTGGCACCCGTTTTCCTCTTTTTTGTTTGGATTCCCCACTAAACATGGTCAGCCCAAAAGGTTCCCGTTCTTCTGAGGTCACTGGGCAACTGGGTTCCTGTTTTTTCTCGGAGGTTCCCGTTCCTTCTTTTTCGGAGGCGTCTGATGTACCAGCATCGCGCGGTGCGTTCGTCCAATTACCTTGCCTCTAACAGAAGGCGCTTGGACCCTTCCGGTTGGCTCCTTGAAACTCTCACCGGGCAGCTCGTTGCAGCCCACTTTGGGTTTTCCGAGGCTAACGTGGACGCGTTGATTCAGGAGCCCGCGTATTCACTCGGCCTTGGTTCTTAGAATCAAAATTGTGGATCGGTTTTGGTTGAGGCAAGCCAAAACTCTCGTTGGGTGCCTTGTGGATGGACGAAACCCTGCACCACCGAAGAAACCCTGGAATGATGTTCCCTTTGCAAATACCAACACACAATGGTTCCCATGGTTTCAAAATGGTGCAGGATTCCGTCCATCCACGGTATGATCATCAAAGCATCAAATCTAGAGGCCCTCCTGCAAGTGTAATCAGTAGTTTTCACATGATGTCAATCAAGGAACACCGTACTGTTAGGGCCGCTTCAATTCCCGTGGTCACGATTGTAAAGTGTTTCCCTAATTCAGGATCCTGTGACTGTTTCGAGGTGTGCTTTAAAAGCAACGCAAGTGCGACACAAGCCGGTCAAACAAATATCGGCAAACACATTCCGGGCAAATATTAGGACATGTTGTCTTGACGTGGTTGCCAAACCATAAGAATTAAGATAACTTCCGTATATAAGCAAAATATGATCCAACAGTCACACAAAGGGGGAACCTTAGCCTTTTACTTTTAACAGGTGGTTCATCCTAAGCTCTTGCCAGCTCAAATGCTTAAAGGCCTCAGATATAGAAAACACAATTTGCAAGTCCTCAAACCATCAAATTCAAAGAACATCTTTATGAAAAGTAGACCACACAGTCGCGCAAAGGGGGGTTGCCCACTGGAGGCCCTGATTCTTTCTGTTTAATGTCAAACTTTCTTGGGTTAGGGAAACTGCCCGGATCAAAACCTTGGCCTTTTACCTGTTAAAGGGTGGTTCATCCCAAGCCTTCGCAATACTAAATGTAGAATTGGCAATTCTAAATTAAGTGCTGGGAATCTGAGAGTAAGGCTTGGCAATACTAAACTTGGAATTGGCAACACTAAGTCAAGTAGTGGGAATCTGAAGTAAGGCTTGGCAATACTAAATCTAGAACTGGCATTGCTAAATTGAGTACTGGGACTCTGAGAGTAAGGCAAATAGCGCCTGACTCCTGTTTGCTAGGTTTCGTCCACCCCTCCTGCTCAAGTGTTGTTAGGTTGCCCAGTCCCTTTGTCCATCCAATCCTTTGCCCAAAGTCGGACTTTTGGACCGTTCGCCTTCTAGCTTTAGTCTTTGTCCCAAAGAAACCACCTAGATTTGCGAGACCCTTTGAGCAAGCAGTTGGGCGAAAGTAGGTGTGAAAGTAGATGCCGCAACTTCCACATTTGTTGATTCAGTCATCCCAGCACATTGTGGCATCTTTGTGTTTGTTTGGTGTTTGTGGTTTGAAGCAGGATTTCGTCCATCCACAGCAGGGCCAACATTTGTTTAATGTGTTAGCCCCGTTCATTATAAACATATGTGTCTAAACCATGGTGATCATGCAACGCAGTGAGGGACAAACATGCCCATGACAACATGCGTTTCAGTTACACAAGGGTCGAACTATGTACGCATCATCATCATCATCATTGTCCTATGAGCATGACTTAGATTAGTTTTGAAGTACCCCACAATCCCAAGCCAAATTATTGGGCCACCGATAGTGCAAGCAACTATGCGCATAGCACATGTCTGAGTAGGGCTCTAGGGATTTTTGTCAAAGCAACCTGGAACTTGGGCTTCAACTACATGGTTTTGGCGTAGTTTGGAGGCAGATTTTGGATGATTCTCTGAGGGAAAGCACCCTATGTTGGGTTGTCGCAGGAGTTCCTGACTCACAGTGACGAGGTCATTGACGACTGGGAGGAGCGGGAGCACGATTTCTTGTTTGACTTATCCGAAAGGATTGGGGCAAATGCAGGGCATGAGAGACGGACGAGTGCTTTTTGGGTGCCTTTTTGTTTGAGGGGTTCTAGCTAAAACCTGATCTCAATCTTGGCTGTTTGGGGGGATGCCCCAGCCTGACTATGGTATACTGGTATACTCCTACAATAACGACTTGTTTTGTTTGTCGATATATCCCAGCCCATTCTCATTTTCCAAGAGCCGCTAGAGTTGGCAGCTTGGAAGCTGGGCTCGAGCTGTGATTAGTTGCAGCCTAACTTCACGTGCGCTTTTCAGCGGCCTGCAGCTGGGCTGTGTCCCTTAGCCAAATGAGCAGCTGCAGCCCACATCGGCTTTGTAGCTTTTACTAAGGGCCGTGCTTCGCCTTTTATAATTATAGCGGTAGAAGCACTAGTCAACAGGTTCTGCAGTCGTAGAGCATTTTGATGATCAAGATCTGCCAACCCTCATAGTGGCATGAGCCTTGGGCTCAACATGTATTGATTTATCAAGCAGACTGCTTGTTTGTCAAACAAGGCAGAATGGAAAGCAGAAGCACGCGTAGACATTTCCTTTCGTAGGTCTTTTAAGCCTGGCCAAGCCACAGACGTGACATCAATATACCTCTTAGTCAGACTATGCATGCATACATACGAGTATATCACAAATTTGTGTGGTTCTTACATGTATGCACCTATGCATCAATTACATGACTGTTATGCATACATATGTGTAAGACAGTCAAGGTTCGGCCCGGTCTATTCGGCATGAACCGTTTTTACTGGGAGAGGTCCGGATTGGCTGGGGTCAACAAGGGGTGGCTGCCTGGAACATGTACCCACATATTGTTTTGTACAACTTCAATCATGTTCAGCTTCCTGACAGCAGTCCGGTTGCACGGCAGTCGTTTGCAGGATATGGCAGATGATGTTGCCGGAGGAGGCGAAGATGCCTCGCCGTGGTACAACAATAGTTTTCTGCTCCTCGCATGCCGGATTCATTGACCAACAGCGGTTGCTGTGTACCTGCCTGCGTCATGTTGAATGGTTGCAGATTTCTCGGATTCACATCTTGAGCACATCCAATTTGTTAAAGGTGTATTTATAGCATGTGATTTTCCGGAATGGGGGTGCGTGAGTCGTCTGGCTTTTTTTTGTCAGCAGTTTCTTGTTCGGACCAGTGTAGAGGACCATTGACGTTGAACGCCCATGTTAGATTTTGGAGCTGTTTGTTGAACAGGATTGCTTTGGGGTAGATGGATAGATGGCATGTTTGCGATACAGCTTTCAGAATTGATCAAGACGTAGGTGGCATCCGAAGTATGTTTCGACGACAATTGTTTGCGCTGGTTTCACTTCGGTTCTATCGTGTTCTGTTTTCCTCAAAAGGGCATAGGGATGGAGCAAGTGTCATTGCAGTCGGTCACGCTGAATTTGCGGGCATGTGGCAACAGGCAGACTTGTAGATTGGAATGATTGAGCAAGTTGCTGCCATGGAAGCATAGCAAATTTGGATCGTGGCACAACTAAGGCTGCAGTTCCGCGATCCTCACGCAAGCCGCTGGCCTTTGATTTTGGCGCCTGTGGCCCTTCGTCGGTGTTTTGGATTGGTGATGTGCGGATTCGAACTCTGGTGGAAAATGAGAAGCCACCCGCTAACCTTCAAACCACCAATGCAAACCACCATTTGGAGGGGAGCTGATGGATGGGGAAGGCAGTCTCAAACCTCAAGAATCATGTGGTCACCGATGGCGTCATGATTCACTTCATGAAAAACAGCTTGTGTGCCACGCGTGATCCCAATTTCGGACCAGCCCCGCACTGTTCCCTTTCTTGTTTGTTGTGGACTCTTCAAAGGGATGTGTTTGAGGGGGCTCCTGGCGAGCTTGACCTAAACATGGCAGTCAAGTCAGCATGAGAGAAATCGCTGAAGGGGGGATCACCTTTTGGAGTCCATGTCAATTTTCATGAGCCTTCTTTCACCTTTCCCCAACGACGTATGTCGGCTGTGCACGCAGTTCACAGCTGACGTTGCGTCCTTTTGACCTCCACCTGTGCTCCAGAGTCATACCCCGCCCTAAAGAAAAGAACAACAAATGAACAGTCCCCTTCACTCTTCGTTTGAGTCACAACCCGCTAGACATGAACATAGGTGCTCCTTTAGCCCTTAAAACGTTGAGACAATTGGTCCCGGCTTCCGGGCTGCAGGCATCTTAAGCGGGGTAGTAACAACCAGCATCAATCAATTCTATAAACTCGCCAAATACCCAAGCCATGGCTCACTTCCTGCAGTGTTCCCTTTGACTCCTCAATTAGAACAGTTGGTTTCTGTTGGTTCCTGTTGGTCCTGATGGTTTCTGGTTGGGCTAGCTTCCTACTGTGGATGAACGAAATCCATTTCGCACCAGCTAAGAAACCCTGGTTTTTGATGATTCACCTGTAAAATGCGAAAAAAAGAAGAAGCAAAAACACAGGTTATAGTTTCCCTTGGTTTCATTTCGTGGTGCAAACGGACTTTGTCCGCAGTATGCCGCCCAGCCGCCCGTCCCGAGCTCTGAGGCGCGCCGGAGAGCGGCGCCTTGCGCTGCCAGCCGCGGCCGAAGACGGCGGCGCCGCAACGCAGCCCAGGCACTGAGCCGAAGCGCTTGGGGGTGGTGAACCCCTGCTGGTGCGATAGGTAGGGAATGAGAAATGGACTGAACCGGAACGGGATTCCCTAGGAAACCAAATCGGGGATGGTTGTTCTCGAGGTCATTCCATTTCTCATTCCCTGAGCACCAGCAAGAACCAAGGAGACCCAGCAGAATTCAATCATTTGTGGCTCTTACAATCCGCTTCGCACCAGTTGGTGGGTGGCTTTGTTTCCATTCAGAGGGTTTCATCCATCCTGACTGGTGCACAAGTCGACCCCTAGCGTGTTTGGAATCGTGCGCTGCCGCGCATATCAGCGGAATCTGCCGGGTTGCACAGTTTGTGTTTCCCAGTTTTTTTCTCCAGTTATTATTCTTCACTGAATAATGAAGCACCCTAGAAATGGCATCACTTTGTCCTCATGGAGCGTCGTGGCGGGGGATTCTCTCACGTTTAGCCTTTGTGACTGTAATGCTTGCTGTCATTGTTGAACAGCGAAAAGTCCATTTGCAGAGGTGCGTAGTCTGGTCGAGCAACTTGCGGCTGAGATGTGTGTGGTGTTAAGACAGTTTTATTCAGCATTGGAGTTTGTGTGCGACAAAATGAGAAGGACGGAAGCCGCTTGAGAAGTTGGAGATTCATTTGCAGAGAGCTTGACCAAAGCGCTCGTGAAAAACATGTGGGCCCTCGCGTAGCTCACCATCAATTGTGCTTGAAGCGCAGTCTCAGCAGGTCTTCTTTGCGCCAGATAGCCTTCTGGCATCAGCAGCAGCTCTTCTTTGCGCAGTCTCAGAAGCATGGTGGCCATGGTTCTAAGACCTAAGTTAGCTTTGAGAAGTACTTTGTATTGCAGCAGGCAATGCCGAATTGGTGGTTTGGATTGGTGGTTTGGGGAGTTGAACCTTTGGTTCTTGTTTAGGGTTAGAGGGAAATCACACCTAAGCTCCAAACCACGAAACCAAGCCACCCCTTGAGGGAAGCCCTTGAGAGCCTGGAGGTTGCTCGTAACTTTTGTCGACTCAACATACGACGTTGGCTTTGGTTGGAGCCCAGACCTCCGGTGAGTTTTATTTTTTCCCTTTGGAGGTGAGCATGCTGACGCTAGAATGCGTGCTTTTCGAGGAGGCAGTCTGGCCACACTGCTGGCCGAGCGGCGCCTGACAAGCACGCACCGCAATGATGTGGACTCTGAGTCTGATTGGGCTCATTTCGGGTACACTGTCAAGCAGAAGCATGGAGTCACAGCTGACGAATGCATGAAACCGGCTGAAATGCCTGTTGAAGATGAGGCTCTGGCATGGGCCATGGATACTGCTATTGCTCAATCGGTGAGCGCCGCTTTGACTGTGCGACCTGGCGCGCCTGTCGGAGCATGGGCAAACAACGGCCAAGCGCCGCACCTGGAGTTCTCCGAGCGATACCTGCATGTCTGGGACGACCAGGTCCTGCCAAATCAACCACCAGTGCCAAGGGTGCATGGCCAAAAAGTGAAAGAGGTTGTCCTTTCAATGGGGTCTTGAAGCAAAGAGAGGGACAAGGGGGATCAGAAAGTGAAGCTCACGGGCAACGGTGCGTGAGAAATGGTAGTGTCGCAATTAGCGGTTATCTTTGTGCAACGTTCGGACTTCAATCGGAGGACCGTCAGTAGTCAGAGGACCGCCAAACATGGCTAAAATCCTTGCTGCCATTGCAGTCAGCCATCATAGATTTCTTTCCGATCAGTGAGTGGTAGGAGAGGTCTTGAGATGGCCGGCGTGACCGAATCGGCCCTGAGAGAGTCCTGTCGGAAACATGGCTTTTTCACTCGACAAACTAAGGGAACCCCTAAATTCGCGATTTCTCTTTGGTTTCCCTTCAAGTCAAATCAGCCCAAAAAGGGGACCCCCCCCAAAGAAAAGAAACATAGAGCGCCCAGTTATGCGTTCATCTCCGGAGCTTCGATACCGTGGCAGGCCGCGACTTGGTCGGCTTTGTGAAGGACGTGTCCGGCGAAGGCTCTGGATGCACTCGACAACGTTCGTCTCAAAATCGGTTGAAAACGATTTGTGCAGTTTCCTTTGGTTTCCCTTCAAAAACCCATCAAGCATGTTGGTTAGTCTCAACAAGAATAGAAACCCATGAAATCTCTCTTTAAAGCGGACGGTTGTAAGGGGTTCGTTCCTCCCGTCCGCGGAGGCTTTGCCCTGGGCCTGTCGCCCCCGGCAGCCGCCAGCGCGGGCTTCTGCCTGCCCAATGCGGCCGCCGGAGCTTGGGAGAAGGCCCGGGGGGCCAAACACGAAGCGCGCTGCAGACCGAGAAATATATATTTTTAGTGGGTTTCCATTAGTGGGTTTCCAACCAATGCTCATTCCATGTAACGGACCTTTTGATCAACCCTCACGGGGACCCATGGTGTGTTCCTTCAAAAGAAACTTCGGAGAGACTGTATTAAGATTCAAACGGCGTTCCCAGGCCTGATCTTTGACCTCCCACTAGTTCCCCAAACTAGTGGGCTGCTTCCTTTTGTCGTGTTTGGAGGGTGTCCCTTTAAAATCAGCTTCCAAACAATGAGTTTTTTTCCCCCACGGAAATCCACTGGCGGTCTGGGGTTCATGGCGGGTCTATGGTGTTACCGGACGGTCTCTTCGACCTTTGGAAGCAAATGACTTTTCCATTGAACCTACAAGCACAGGGCGGAAGGACCATTCCGTTTGAATGGCAATTAAATTCATTTTTTGTTTGGTGAAATGTCCCTTCAATCTTGTTTCTGTATACTACCCTTCAAGTTTTGTTTAAGTATGCTAGAATAATTTATGTTCTCCCTTTGAACCAAACATCTGGGAAATCCCGACTTAACTGGTAAAATTTAATTTGCTGCTCCCCTTCCAACGTCAACCAAATTTCTTTTTCTTCCCCTTTGAACCAAATCCTCGGCAAGTCTCAGGTGGAGATCCTGCCATGGAATTTGCTGCACGTGGCGGGCGCCCCCAGCTGGGAGACCCACGGCGCCCTGGCGCGCTGGCGCCTGCACCTCGTGGACCTCCGCGCCTCGGCCATCGGAGCGTCGGAGCTGAGTGCTGGTTGCTTTCCGGTGCATCTGAAAACTTCCATTTGGTTAAGAATATTTGTTACATTATTATTTCCCCCTTTCGTTTTTTTTTTTTGAGAATCTATCAATACTGTTTTTTGTTTCCCCCAGGGGACTGAAGCAAATGAAGGAAACAGTTGGATTCTTGAACGGCCTCTCTCTGGAGCGCTTGCGTTGTTGAAGGCAGAACTATGTATCCATCAAACTCACGTCCAGCCTGTCATGGGTTTTGAGCTCGACAATCCTGTGGAGGCGAGTTTTTCTATTTGTTTGCAGGTCTTTTCTTAATCCCGGCCACTTTTTCCAACGTGTTGCATCATGTGATAGTGATAAATATGCACCATGGTGTAGGCTAGGCCAGTTTCGTTGTGACGTTATATTCGGCAATGTCTTCTGGACCCGCATGGTCCTCAAACAAGACCGCCAAGATGGCTGCCCAACTTGCTTGTTGAAAGCTCAAATGGACTCGATTGACAAATTGTCTCCTCCCTGTGCTGTGCGTCACCAAACCCTGTGCGTCCTCAAGTCTGACAGCAGGATCAGTGGTGTCAGCTAGTTTCCTTTTTAGAGGGAACCAGGTGCAACAAAAGAACAGCAGGCAGGCAGGCAGGCAGGCAGGCAGGCAAGCGAGTGAGCAAGCAAGCAATGCAAAGGGTCTAAGCATATTGTTTTGTGTTGTTCAACCGCGTTTGCTTCCTTTTTGTTCAGGGGCTTCTCTGCTACCAAAGCCAATATCTCCCCCCAAAAAAAAGAAAAACATACAAACAAACAAACAAACAAACAAACAAACAAACAAAGAAACAAGCAAGCAAGCAAGCAAGCAAGCAAACAAACAAACAAACAAAAAGCAAGAAAAAAACAAAAAACATCCGATGAACATCCACGTTAACACCACCAAAGTGGTTGGTGGAACTGCCACCTACATGTCCAGGTCTCCATGAAAACGCACCCAGACGAAGCCGAAGACGCGTTTTCCCAGGCGCAAAGCCCACGGACTTCCACGCGGGCAACAAGAACACCTTGCGGCTTGGACCCGGCGATCAGTCCTTTGGTGCATTTTGCTTGGGTCTTAGGACTTTAACTTTTTGCCGGCGAATGGGTTTTCCATTAAACCACTAAAAGTTAAACTTGGACCCGGCGAATGGGTTTTGCTTGGACCCGGCGATCCGTGCGAGAGATGCGGGGAATGAGAAATGGAATGACCCGTCCATAGACCATCCAACACGTGGTTTCCTTAAAGGGGACCAACGCCTGGGTTCATTCCCTCATTCCCACTGAGCACCAGCAAGATTGTCAGTTTGGTTAAGAAGACGTTCGTTTCTATTTTTCCCTGTTTGTTTTAAAGGAATCTATCTCTACCCGAAACAACCTGTTTTTCCAGGGACTTGAAGCAAATGGAGGAAATGGTCAGTTTGGTTGACAAACCATGAATGCGGAGTGAACCCGGGGGTGGACTTTGGGGTTTTGGTTGGACGAATCTCACAGTCACATGAGGAGGGGATTGGTTACCTATTTGCAAAAAAAAAGCGAGCAACGAGCAACTGGGAGGTTTCCATTCACCAGCCAATTGGTTGACAAAACATGAGGTGGGGGGTTTCTGTCTTTCTGGTCGTAGTTCGGTTGACAGAAATGGAATTCACCGGCTTTAGTTTGGTTCTATAGGCGACGCAGTTTTTGCGTGATAAGACTTTTGGTTGGTTTAACTTGCAAATCCCAAAATGTTGAACGTGATCGGAGAAATCATTCATATCGCATAACGAAATGTGTATGTGGTGGATTGATTGGCATGTACAACAACAGGATTGAATATATTCAGAGTTGCGGAACTGCCAGTTCAGCTGATAGTCTTCGGAAATTCCACGTGTAAGCACAGCATAGGCCCTTATTGAAAGACACACCCATTTCTTTGACATCGTGGCGGTAGAATGGCCCGTTAGTGTATTGCATGTCCCCTCAACTGGTGCAATTGCTATGACAAATTTATCCACATCCTTATTGTAAAATAGGACTACCAAGACAGTCGTTAGCACAATATCACGGGGATACCGGGATAACCAGAACACATGAAGGGAGGAAGAGTGCAGTCGACGGCGAGTGCTTTCCGCTTCACTGAGCCAATCAAAATCCAGCCTGGAGCGGACCATGTTACTGGTGTGATTGAAACATGTCTAGGTCCCCCAGTAGTGCTCCCGTTACCCTTTTTTGGGGGAGGGTTCCCCTACTAAAATAGACTACAGAAAAAAGGTACCCTTATTCTAACCTATCTACTGGACCTAGATGTTATATCCACGCGAAAGTAGGTCATCAGTGAAGACAATTTGTTCGTTTGATTCTTGCGTGTCCCACTCAAAGGTTGAGGCTTGAGCCGCTCATGTCAGACTCATGTGTTTGAGACTCATACTGTTTGGACCATGCGGCACGAAGCACAAATCCAGCATGGATGGCTCAGGTGTGAGACGTGACCTTGAGGGGGTTACGTTTGGACCGTTTTTCAGAGAGCTGATTCAGGAAGCTTGCGAGGTGCGACTACGTGCAAAAAAAACAAGTGAACTTTCACAGACTTGAGCGAACAGGGCGTTGAGCCATTGACGTCTTTCTCCGCCAAAGATCGACATTTGGATAGATTTGTACAGTATGTGACCATTGTGCACAAGTATACGTGGGTACACATACACACAGATGTGTTTATCTGGCTGTGAAAGAATCAACATCTTTGGAAATTGTTACGACCTCACCTGGACCTGAAGGCTTAAAGGAGCTCACCCATGGTGAAGGTCCTTCCTCGGTTGCAGATTGGGAAGCGGTAGTGATTTGCCCAGATAGAAACGCACAAAATCCAGTGAAGGAGCTAGAATATAGGGGTTGTTTCTGGTTGTTTGGGGGGGGGGGGGGGAGGGAGGAGGGCAGGTGTATCATATATATATATACAATATATATATATATAGTATATATATTATATATTATATATATACTATATATATATATATATTTATTATATAGATACACGATGATATATGTAGCTGTATACCATATATGTATATATGCCAAGAGGCCTCTCTGTGATCTATCCAGCAGTCTTTTTCGCCTTCTTGCTATTCCTGAACTGTCTGCCACAGCAAAGCAAGTATCATGTTGCAGGGGCATTCCGAATACGAAGCTGGTGGAGCTTGCAAGCGGAGACAGTTTGGAGGTCAGGGCAGCACTTTGACTTGTCCACTTCCCACGTTGCGCAGCTGCTGGCCTCAAACCAGCCTATCACGGCCTACACTGGAAACAGCTCCATCCAGAACCTTGAGATTGAGGACATCGGGCGATTGTAGCTTGTTTTAGGTGCCGGGTCATTGAGAGGCTTGCGGCTTTTGTTGGCAAAGTACAGGTGAGCAAACACACACGCAGACACAGACACGGACACAGACACAGACACAGACACAGACACAGACGCAGACACAGACACACTTACTCGCCCCGCAACGCGCAACGCGCAACGCGCAACGCGCAACGCTGGCCACATTGCAACGCGAGTTGCGCAACGCGGTACGTTCAAGTGTTCAGCGGAGTCTGAATGTCTTACAAAGTGTTCACTGCAGCAATCTACCGAAATTAGGTGCTCAGTTTGGTTAAAGTGTTTGGGGAAGTTCATACGAACTAACCCAAAAAGGAAAGGGCAGCCTTCGTTTTGGTCTTTTTCTTTTCTAGGTGCTTGACGTGGCTTGACTACAACGCATTTCATTCACAAGCGTCGTTGGATCTGGGAAATCAGGTTGAGCTGCTGGGAAATGCAGTAAGGCTAGAAGAAATCACGGGCGCCGTGCCAGGTACTCATGTGGCACCCCTGCGCGCCAGGCGCGCGGTTGCGTGCTTCAATGTTTTCGGTGTTTGAAGATGGTCTGACACACGCTGCAAGCCTGGGATTGCTTGGGCGCGTGGGGGCGACCAGTGTTGGTGGTTCAGGGCTGGGTACTCACGTGGCACCCCTGCGCGCCAGGCGCGCGGTTGAGCTTCAGCCCAGCAAAGCAGCAGGCGCATGTTTTCGGTGTCTGAAGATGGTCTGACACACGCTGCAAGCCTGGGATTGCTTGGGCGCGTGGGGGCGACCAGTGTTGGTGGTTCAGGGCTGGGTACTCACGTGGCACCCCTGCGCGCCAGGCGCGCGGTTGAGCTTCAGCCCAGCAAAGCAGCAGGCGCATGTTTTCGGTGTCTGAAGATGGTCTGACACACGCTGCAAGCCTGGGATTGCTTGGGCGCGTGGGGGCGACCAGTGTTGGTGGTTCAGGGCTGGGTACTCACGTGGCACCCCTGCGCGCCAGGCGCGCGGTTGAGCTTCAGCCCAGCAAAGCAGCAGGCGCATGTTTTCGGTGTCTGAAGATGGTCTGACACACGCTGCAAGCCTGGGATTGCTTGGGCGCGTGGGGGCGACCAGTGTTGGTGGTTCAGGTCTGGGTACTCACGTGCACCCCTGCGCGCCAGGCGCGCGGTTGAGCTTCAGCCCAGCAAAGCAGCAGGCGCATGTTTTCGGTGTCTGAAGATGGTCTGATACACGCTGGAAGCCTGGGATTGCTTGGGCGTGTGGGGGCAACCAGTGGGGTGGTTCAGGGCTTGGGGTTTGAGCAGGCTTCAGAATTTGTGTCAAGCTCTTCCACGTCTCGCCAGTATGGCAGGATCCGTTTTGGGAGCAGCCTGGCTCATTGGTAGAGAGGTCTTCCTTGGTCCGTTTTGGGGGCATGGTTGGTGATGTGTGGATGAGTTTGTTGAACACTGCGTTGTGTGTTGGAAACACTCGTCTTGCAGTTGGCAGCTGCCGGTCACTCAGTTACACACTATGACAGGATTATGTTGTGCATGCCGGGGTCCGTTTTGTGATTGAGTCCCCAAATTGCCAGCTTTCAATCATTTCAAACAGCACCTGCCTCCGCCCCAAGCCCCCTGACCTGTCCCACGCTGATATGCAACCCAACCACGCTTGAACACCGTATGAGGAATCTAGCGGGCCCTGTGGATGCGAATACCATTGACGAAGGGTCTGAGCTGCATGCTTCTGCGCAGAAAACCAAGGTCTTAGCCTGTGATCCAAATGTTGCAGGAACTTTGAAAGAAGAAGGCTGCAAAGAAACACAAAAACCCAGAAGCCTGGAAAGCCCGCTCGCACAGGCCATGAGTTGCCGCAACGCGCAGTCGTGAGTTGCGCAACGCGAGTGGCGGGGCAACTAAGCAGACACATACAGGCACGCACTCGTTCAAGCAGAGCCACAAACCTTCGCCTTCTAGACGAAGTGCAGAAGCAAAAGTTGCACTGGCGTAGGCTGCGTGCAAGCCAAAGACGTTCTGTAGGCCGCGCGCAAAACGGGCCCATGATGTTCCAACAAGGGTTGGCTTGATGTTTGGCTTGACAAGTGTTCCTTGTTTGCAAGTGCTTTTGGGGGTTGCCAGACTCAGGTCTTGGCCTGCCTCTTTGGGACGGCTTCAGGTTTACAGGGATATGAATCCAAGTACCTGAGCAATGCCCCTGAAAGATGACCAGGCTTTTCGTGAGATTTTGATGGTTGGGGCGCAGGATCAACTCAAGAATTCTTCCTCTTGCACGTTTGCGCCTCGAAGGCGAGCGGAGGCAGCTTGGGGCTCCGGGCGTACTGCTCCATGACCCCGGGCGCCACTCGGCTCTCCAGGCTGGTGGGCTGCGCGCTCTCCCTCAGCGTCTTCTCGCTGTGGCAGTCGCCGCACAGTCATGGTTTTTGCCGGGATTTTTGGCGATCTGGGTTTGACATTAAAGATGGTGCCAACATAGTGGGGGGATTGAGTCATGAAAAGAAGGGACGGGGGTATCCTAGCAGAGCGTTTTGTGCCATGTTTCGAGTTCGGGGCAGAAAGCAAACAACGCACCAAGGAGACACACACTAAATTTGAGATTGCGCGCCGCATGTTCCCCTTCGGCTCTGCAATCTGTTGTTTTGTTTTTTGGTTTGCGGGGCCAAAGACAACGAGAAATGCAGACCCTAGGCACTCCTTAGGACACCAAGCGTCGCTACAACTATTCTCAGGCTCAACGCTATCCATCTCAAGCTCAACGCTACCGAAACTCAGTTCCACGCAAACTAAGTTCAATATTATCGCTCTCAATGACACACGTGCTAAACTAACATTAGCCAACGCAGAAGAAGGATCTGCGCCCCCACATGAAGCTTATCACACCAGCACTAAACTCACAACAAGCAAAGACTGAATCCAGTGTGATCAATACCACAATCATGACAACAAAGGTTCATGTGAGTTCAGCATTGATGTTTCTAAAAGCCAGTGTAGGCTTCGGTATTGGCAGGTGTTTGTTTAACATTTGGCGTGTTGCGTTGGAACTGGTGCAGTATTGGTTGGTAGTATGTAATATGTCACGAAGCCCCGACACCTGGAACATGTGCACTCCCACAGCGTCCTGCTGTCTTAGAAGTGTGTGTGGACGGGCCGGCGCTATTTAGGGAAATGCTGAACAAGGCTTGCCTGTGCTGGTTGGCCAATGAGCTTGATTGAGCGTTGCTTGAGGTCAATGACCTTTTTCAGCAAGCCGTACTGAAGCCCGCAGAGGCTTAGGGTTTAAGTCAGGATGCGTCGTGGACCCCTCATGTAAACACGAAGCATAGAAGCTTGTTCCGGCAGAGGCTGTCAAGGCACGGACATGCCACAACGCGAGTGGCCACGCCGCGGCAGAAGCTCGAGCCATGTTATGAGCTCAGGGCTGCACGATGTTGGTTTCCGACTGGCAGACGCCCCAGCAATGCGTGAGTTGCAGAAATGGCTGTTGCACAAGTCCGTCACCCGCTTGGTGACCATGATGCGTGCAAATTCCCAGTGAGATCTGGGCCTTTTGATTAAGTGGGAGCTATATACCTGAAGCCGTCCCAAAGAGGCAGGCCAAGACCGGAGTTTGGAAATTCCTGGCTTGAGCTTGGCCCCCCCCGCAAGCACTTACAAACAGGAAACGCTCGTGAAGCAAAACATCAACCCCACCCGTGTTGGAATATCAGGGGCCTGTTTTTGAGCGCAGCCTGCGCTGTCATGAAAGAACGTCTTTGCTTGCGCGCGGCCTACGCCAGTGCAGGTTTTGCTTCTGCAGGCCTCGTTGTCAGCAAGCCCTTTCGTCTGAAATGTTTGCCCACCTGCATTTGACAAACGCCGCAAGCCTCTCAATGACGGCCATACAGACTGCAAGCTAGATCGCGCAGAGGCCTTTTGGCGTATACATATATTTTTAGGTACGTGCACATGTTTATGCGCAGTGTGTATCCCACACACCCCTGTATAAATCGACTATATGTTTTTTGCGTGACACACGCACCAAGTATATAAATGTATATGCACATGATCGCAATTTTTTTCATGGGCACACTACGGGTTGCTCAGGCGCTTCAACGACGGCGCAGGCTGCTGGGAGAAGGTGAGGCTGTTGCCAGGCAGGGTCCCACGCTTTGGCAGTCAGAGTCCCGCTACCCCATCGCCATTTAGGCCGTTGTGAAGTTTCCTTCTGACACCTGACGGGTTTTGCTTTTGCCTCAAAAAAGGAATTTAACATCGTAATTTCCCTTTGGTGCCCCCCTTAAGCCAAGTCCAATCCAAACAGGGTATCCACAAACAAAGATAGCCTGTGGTCAATCCTGACCACCAATTAGCGAGGAGCTGATATATTCCCTTTTTTGAATGGCTTCAATCATCACCCTGGTGGGCCAAGCTCCAGTGAGTGTCAGTTAAAAGGTTCCCTTTCCAGGGGGAAAACACCAGAAGCCGTCATTTCGACACATACCTGTTTCAACTGTCTGATCCTGCTTACCTTTCAAGAGAATGCAAAAGGTTGTTTAAACAATTCTGACAATTGTGGTCAACCCCGATGACCTGCCAGTTAGACAATGTTTAATATCCCTGATGAACCTATCGACTCTCTTTGTTGTTGCATGGGGGCATCCGATATACAGCATTGTAACGTGCCATGTGTTGCTGTGATGTGTTCCTTTTGCCTCATGCGCTGTGCTGAGTAACTAGGTCTCTAATTTTAATCACGTGGTTTTAGTAACCGTTCTTACACCCTTTGCCTTGAATTCAGGCCATGTGTGTGGCCAGGATTTAAAGCAACAAAGTTTGCTCCCAGACTTTCGTCAGAAAACCTGGCTGGTGCGGAGGTTCTCAAAGCAAGTTGTAGTTTGTTTCTATGCAGCTTGACTTTTGCTGAGAGAGACCTAGCAAACTCGAATACTTGAAATGCAGAGATTTCTGCCAGTTGCAGTGTTTGGACTTTAAGCTGCCTGGAGCTTCAGGCAACGCCGTAGATTAAGAATCGCGGGGGGCACATTCTATCATCGCGTTCTAGGGGGGTTTACAGCGCCACCCATGTTTGTTTCATAGGGACCTCTTCTTTTCGAGTTGGTGATGTGCAATAATAATAGGCCCAGATGGATGCCTTTCAATGGAAATCCCCTGGAGGTCTGAGGCTTTGCGTCTTCCCTTGGATACAGCGTTTTTCTCCCCGTGGCACCGGAGGTCTGCGGAGTTGAGTTAGGTTCAACCGGAAGCGTCTGCAAGTTTTGCGATCAGCTTAGTTTGATCAACAGCGGTGTTTGATTCGCGTAGTCAGCTGACAAAACCAAGATATCTGGAAGAGGCGCGTTGCTTCATTACTTTGTTGACTGTATGACCTTGCGGAAACTTACTCACAGGAGACGAACAAAAAGATGCATGGAACTTATGGTTTCATTCCTTTATATTCCTTCCTCTTTACATTCCTCGGCTGGTGCCATGGCTACGGATTCGACTTTGCAGCATGTCACGTCCACTTTTTCACAAGAACTGGGCCCCTTCAAGTGGTTGCATGTTGAGTGTTCTGAAAATTACTCCGGGTCCTGGGTTCCGTTTGAATCATTCAGAGATAGGTTTGTCGGATTGGTCGCCCCTGGATGCGGGAAAGGTATCCTCAGCTTGGAGATGATGTTGGACCGTGGCCTGCCCCTTCATGTTCAGCTTGGCAAAGACACTGTGCCCTGGCCATGCTCGTCTTTTGGATTGAATCTGCCAACCTGGCGAGCTTACCTGGGGGTAAACCAAGCGAAAGCCATGATGCAGGTGCTTCAATTGGGGATCCAAATTGAACGGTGGGGTCCAGGGTTGGGCAGGCCAGCTTGTTTCACCAAGTTGGGGCTCCAATTCTTATTTCAGGTTTTGGAATCGTAGAATAAGGTTGGGGCTCCAATTCTTATTTCAGGTTGTCATGTACAGGGTTGCTCCGAGCTGGGTAGAAAATTCGTTAGGTTTTCTTTAGTCCCTTTGGTTTCCCTTCCCCGACGAAGTTTCCACCCTGCCAGGGTTTTCTAGCTACACCGTACTCAGATTGAATGCATCAGGGGCGGCATCGGTTGATAATCCATGCATCAACCATGTTTTCTTGCTTCTTCTCCGGGGGTTCTTGATTTGATTTTGCAGGCTGTGGGCAACACACTTTCATGGAGGGGGGGGGGGGTGTTCAAAGGAGTGATGTTGCAGTACGACTTGAATTCCATGAATGGGTGTGCAACAGAGGCACTTCGTCACTCTATTTTGATTTGTCAGAACGAGAAGTTCAGGCTAGTGCTATTTCAAGCTGCTTGGTGATCAGGCTATCCTCTGTGGTGACTGCAAGCTATTCCAATTGCTAAGCTTCCTCTGCGAAATCTCTGATCCTCGGTTTGAGATATCGACTTCTCGCAGGAGCGGTTGTTGTCCAGTTTGGCAGGCTGCCAATGCAGACATTCTGTGCTCGAATTCACCCCGGCCTGGGGGTACAAGCTAACGCAGAGATGTTCAGCAGTTGCCTGTTGGAATACAGCAAGTTTCATGTCGCATCTCCCCAGTTGGCAAGCACGGAGTTCGGGCTTCCGAGGGTACATCCCCCTAGGAATGTACACCAACTTGCTTCCCAACACTGGTGGATTGGTCCCTTGTCAGAAGCAAAGAACGGAAGGGGGACAGGGAGGTTTTGGAAGGTTTTGCAAGACATGAGGAGCATCCCACTTGAATCTGCGTGCCCGCTCATGGCTGTGGCAAGGATACCTTCAAAGTCTGCCACGCCGGGTCCAAAATGGCGATTGGGTCCTTGAACCACTGCCGGTGTCGGTTCAGGCAGAGGTGCGCGCGCTAGTGATGGCCGACAAGGTTTGCATGTGCGCGGGACCCAGAAACTCGGAAGCGGCCAGCTTCGAGACAGGCCTGCGAGTCTCTGGAGCTTCCGGGACCCCAGTACCACATGCTAGGTGTCCTAATGGACACAACACTGGGTCGTGTCATGTTGATTTCCCTTTAGAGCTCATCAAAGAGTGCCGAGCCTCAAGAACAAACTGGCCCATATGACAAATATGGGTACCTGGACGCTACAGGTAGTTCCATCTTCAAACAAGTTATCCACCCCAATCTTTGCTGTAATTGGATTGAAGCGGGTCTGTAGACCAGTAAACCAATATCTAACTAGGTGAAACAAGTACTGAGAACGTATTCAAACTCTCAGCTTTAGCTCGGTTGTGTCGTTCCATGGGAAACTCGTTTGGGTTGGTGTAAGGGAAACCGAAAGGACAACTCAAAATTTGATACAAGTTTTTGGGGTGCCGAGGTGTGGAGCATCGTCGGCCGGATGTAGGCTTACAATGCCTGTGTCCGGAGGCGATGGGGGTATATGAGATCGATCTGCTTTCGCCACTTTGAACAACCTGGGCTTGCCAAATGTTCGACGGGGTAGTCCTTCTTTTAGACCAATCCGTTTCCGCAATAATCGGCCAAAGGTTGGGGACCCAGTAGGGGTTTGGCAGTGTGGAGTTGGTCATACCTGGTTTAAGGATCTTGGTAAGGCCTGCATAAACCTCACCATCTTCGTACCTAAAGTCACGAAGTCAGTGGGTTTTGGTCGCTGGTTTGTTGTTGAAACCGGCATTGCCTTGTCTGCTTCCTCCCCCCTCGTTTGGAACCGGGAACATCGTGACATGTGACGTCACATGGGGCGAGTCCCTCTGGCAGACAGAGTCCATGGTCCACCTTGGGGATCCAAATCTGATTTCAGGATACATGAGGGCACTGGCAGTTGCCACAACTTGCCGCAGAACCTGTCCTTTGTCGTAGTCTTAACTGCAGTTCGAGGAGGTTTTCTCAATCTCAATCGTGGGCCTTCAATAGTGAATGCAGCACCACTCCAAGGGCCAGGGCATTCTTTGCCCTACAGAAACTTTCACTGGCCTTGGACATAATTACTTCAGGGCCCAGTGAGGGGGGGTTCTTGAATGTCACCGAGGGGTTGTTTACATTTCCTGAGAGTGCTTGTTGGGTTGCACAAATCGCAGTCTCATTATTTGGCGGTTCTTTCAGAAGTAAGCCCGAGGGAGACCCCTCATTTTGGGGTTCCGTGATTTTTGGGACCCCTCCTTTCGTATGTCCTTCCAATCATCACAAAAGGCGTACCCTCAAGCAGTCGAAACACGCAACAGGTTTTTGGTAGGGATGATCACCAAGCTGTAGCAGTAAGGCGCATGTGTTGTGCAACCAAAGGCTTAGAACCCCAGCATTTTGGGGCGACAGAGCCTCCACATGGGGACGTTCCTTTTGGTGATCCTTTCGAGCGCCCCAAAAGGGTACCCTCAGCAAGAAAACACGCACGCACACAAACACAAACCACTTGAAATGGCCCTATCAGTGGTTGGTTTCCTTTGGACCAAGTCCGTTTTGCCACCCCCAACAGCGTTTTACCTTCGACAAACACCAAATTGGATCGGGGGTAGGTCGTCCACAGGTCGTCCCGACGCCAGGCCCTCATTGACGCTGCCGCGCCCTTGCCAGCGCCGAGCCAGGCCCAGCCGAGAGGAAGGAACTTGGCACCTGTGGCTCCCTTTAAAATGTTTTTTTTGGGCTTCCCTGTACAGGGCTCCTTAAAAGATACATTGTGCAACCATTTGAAACACGGTGCTTTTTCCGACCCAAAGTAAGGGGAAACCACCATTTACAAGGCAATGTTCAGGTGTATAATGCATCCGGATGTAAGGATCCCTGCTGTATATTCAACCAACAAACCCATGGGTTGCCATTTTTCCTCTGGGCCATTGGGCTGCAAGGATTGGTCAGGGAATGAGTTGGAGGACCTTGAACTGGCGATCGGGCTGAGTCCCAAGACCCCTCTTAATTCCCTAAAAACCAGCAAGACAAGCACAGACCCCCAGTGAGACTTTTCCGTTTCTCCTTTGAGGGGGGCTTACCTTCAACAGCAACTAGCCGCACAAGGCTGCTTGGGTTCCCATGGCTTCTGGCGTGGGCTTAAAGCGCGGCCGCCAAACATGCTTCATGTTGGGTTGGGGCCACCCCTAACAAACCTGCACGGCTCCTATTTTTGTTTGTTTGTTTGTGGACATCCACCATACGTGTTCCTGCAATGCCTGTTTGTGAAGACAAGGGGAAAGGTGCAAACATGTCTGCTATTTGTTGCGCATTCGATGTGGTGCTGCTCTAATTCCTTGTATGTGCCAAACCTGCTGATATACGGGCACAGATCCCCCCGCACGCCGTTTCGACCCGAAAACTTCCTTAAACCAGCACAGCTCTGATACCCGTTCTTGAGCTTCCTGAGTGGATTGGCCAACAGAAGTCTAGACTTGTTTTGCTTACCGCTCAAATTGCTGTCCAAAAAAAGAGACCAGAAACTTGGAAAATGAGAAAGAATGGCAAACCATTCAAGCCGGAACCGACACCGCCGACACATCAAACACCTGAACAAGATATTCACAAAGGCTGCAGACCACTGGATGCTGGACAGGTGCGTTGAAGATCGTAAGAGACTTGCCGTCACCTGGGATGCATTCTTGAAGCCCAGGACCATATCCCCTTTGTATGGCTTGGGGTTGAGCCCAGCACCCATCCAGAGCCTTTCATCGTTCATGGGTGTTCTTTGTGTGAATGTTTGGTGCGTCCGACCTTGTCAGTCGAGCCGGGCGCTCGGCTCGGACTTCCGGGTGAAGCCTCCCAGCGTCTGGTCTCAGACCTTCAGTGGTGCCCCGGTTGTCCTGTGGGAACTTTGCCTGTGAGTTGGGTATGCTAGCTGTATCGGTGAAATAGCTGGTATGGTATTAAGGCGGCCCTGGTCCCTTGTTGGGAATCCCAAATCCTTTTGGGTCCAAACCCCCGCTCGGGACTCCAAACTCAAACGGGCTGGATCACCAGGTTACCCACTGGGGCAGCAGCGCGGAGTACATGGCGAGCTGGCGCTCTGCGGTGGAGCTGGAGGCGGCTGCCTCCGCTGCAGAGGCGCCGAAGAAAGCACGGGTCACGGAGTCGATTTCAATGGCGTGGCTGGTCGTTGGTTTTGGAGTCTGACTCGTTTTCTGGGTCGTAGGCCCTGCAAACGTCACCGCAGAGCGGTTAAAACAACGCCGGTGATGCGTGGGTTGAAGTTAGAAACACACGGCTCAAGCCTTTTGACCCCTATTGAATGGTTCATGCCCCGAAGTGGTGGGTGTGCGCGCTGTAGTAGTATTTTGCCTAGGGCCTTTATATGCATGAATCAGGATTTGGCAATGTGTTGGAGCTTGCTTTGTCTCCCTACTTGACTCTGTGTGCACGTTGGTTGGTTGAGGGTATCCTGTTGCCTTTGTTTGTGTGCTTGTTTGTTTGCCTTTTTGCTTTTTTTTTGTCTGTCCGTCCGTCTGTTTGTTTGTTTGTTTGTTTGTTTGTTTGATTGATTGTTTGTTTGTTTGTTTGATGTTTTTTTTTTTTTTTGGTTGGTTGGTTGGTTTGTTTGGTTTGGTTTGGTTTGGGTTGGTTTGGTTTTTGGTTGGTTGGTTGGTTGGCTGGTTGGTTGGTTCCAATGAATCAATGAATCAATGAATCAATCAAAGGAAGCAAGCAAACAAGCATGCAAGCAATCAATGAATCAATGAATCAATGGATCAAATCAAATCATTGAATCAATGAATCAATGAATCAAGGAAATCAAGGAAATCAATGAAATCAACAAACAAATTATTCAAATCAATCAAGTCAAACAAATCAATGAATGAAATCAATGAAATCAATGAATGAAATCAATGAATGAAATCAATGAAATCAATGAATGAAATCAATGAAATCAACCACATCAAATCAATCAAATCAATCAAATCAATCAACTCAATCAAATCAAATCAACTCAATCAAATCAATCAAATCAAATGAAATCAATTCAAATCAAATCAAATCAAGCAAGCAAGCCGGCAGGCAGGCAGGCAAGCAAGCAAGCAATCAATCAATCAACCAATCAAATCAATCAACACAAAGCAGTCAAGAAACAAAAAACACACACACAAACACACAAACACTCACTAAATACAAACACACAAACAACACACGACACACAAACAAACACACAAACACGCAAAATGAACAACACTGACAAACAATCAATCAATCAAACAAACAAACAAACAAACAAACAAACAAACAAACAAACAAACAAACAAAAAAACACAAACAATCATTTGATTGATGAATTGCTTGCTTGCTTGCTTGCTTGCTTTGATTGCTTTGATTGATTCATTGATTTATTGATTTATTGATTCACTGATTGCTTGTTGTTTTGTTCTGTGTGTTTTCTTCGCTTGCTTGCTTGCTTGCTTGCTTGCTTGCTTGCTTGCTTGCTTGCTTGCTTGCTTGCTTGCTTGCTTGCTTGCTTGCTTGCTTGCTTGCTTGCTTGCTTGCTTGCTTGCTTGCTTGCTTGCTTGCTTGCTTGCTTGCTTGCTTGCTTGCTTGCTTGCTTGCTTGCTTGCTTGCTTGCTTGCTTGCTTGCTTGCTTGCTTGCTTGCTTGCTTGCTTGCTTGCTTGCTTGCTTGCTTGCTTGCTTGCTTGCTTGCTTGCTTGCTTGCTTGCTTGCTTGCTTGCTTGCTTGCTTGCTTGCTTGCTTGCTTGCTTGCTTGCTTGCTTGCTTGCTTGCTTGCTTGCTTTTGTGTTTGTTTGTTTGTTTGTTTGTTTGTTTGTTTGTTTGTTTGTTTGTTTGTTTGTTTGTTTGTTTGTTTATGTGTTTGTTTGTGTCTTTTTGTATTTTTACATCGGTTGTTATTGCGTTTGTGGCTTGTCTCGTTCTTTCTCTATTTCTTTTATTATTTCTTTCTTTCTTTGATTCTTTCTTTCTTTCTTTTTCTGTTTGTGTGTTTGTCTGTGTGTGTTTGTCTGTCTGAATTTGTCTGTCTGTATTTGTCTGTCTGTATTTGTCTGTCTGTTTGTATGTCTTTCTTTCTTGCTTTCGTTTTTGTGTTCGGGGGAATCCACAATGTTTTAAGACGCCCCCAAATTTCAAGTTGAGTTACATGGTTTAGGGGGAATTGCCCAGTCTGTTCAACCAGCGGTATGTTCAAAGCCGGCGAGTTCCCAGCTTCTTTGTTTTGGAAGCATGGATTTCTGGAAAGAATATAACGTTTCCAATCAAACTCGTTGTGTATAGCACACTGACTAAACCTCAGCTTAACAGACGTACTAGATTCTAGATGTTTGCCGCCCTTTCCCAGTTTTGCCATTGCCAGGAGCCCTTTCAATGCAACCTTCCACTATGGTTTGGTGCACAACCTTTCTGTGGAAGACGACTTTTGTTGCCGGAAGCATTCATCGTGGGAGAATCATCGTTGTTGAACATGACCGGGTTCCTTGAAGTAGCCTAAGAACATGTGCATATTTGTTATTTGTGTGTGTGTGTTAAACAGGGACCAGACGCCTAACACAATTGGTTATTTGTCCTTTGGTTTTCCTCTACAACCGCCAAAAAAGGTGCTGTACCGAACCGAACCTTCAAATAAATACACACCCATAATATGAAGTTCTGGACAACACGCGGTTGGGTTCTGCGATGCCAGGAGGATGACACACGGCTTCTGTACAATGTGGAGATCACGTGGGGCTTGACTCTTAGCGTTGGGCTTTTGAGATGCTGGGAACCCTTCATCAAATGAAACGTTCTTTCAAAGTATTCGAGTGATTAGGCTCTGTGCAAGTGCCTTTTGAAAGAACGTATTCAATCAGTGTGTGGTTTTTGTGTTCTGCATTGCTTCAGACGAAAAGACACGCTTGGAGACTTTAACTTTGATTTGCCGGCCTACTTCTTGTCTGATTACTTGACTCGCACTTGTGGGCATTGGAAGATGGGCCGGGCTGGGTGAACGCGACATATTTGTTTGTATCATCCGATGCCGGGCAAGCTGTCCAGGATGTCTCGCCAAGCCTTCCATCAGTGTTCGAAGCATCGTCTTGACTTGAAGTTGCCCATGCTTCGACCCAACACAGCCAGAGAAAATCAGCTTCTTACCCACGACCAATCGAGAGTGGTGCTGAGTTGCTGAACCCGCGCCCAGCCAGCTGGTGCCCAGCCAAGTGAGCCAGCATAGAAAGGCTCGAGCCCATCTTACTGGGGCCCTAAAAAGTGAACATTTTGGCTGGTTCTTCAACTTACTTTTAGGTCCCGGTGGTTTCCCTATGTTTCCCTTTAAAGCCGCCATTTGTGTAACTCCGGATGTTACTTTTGTGAATCTAGTGCACGCATAAAAAGGTGAACCTTAACAATAAACGCGGACCCCACCCTAATAGTAAATCAGGTCTAGGGTCCTTTGGTGACCGGATTTCATCTTCTGTCCTCGTCCAAATGGGCTCCCTCCCCCCTTCCCGGACACGAAAAACGCCACAACCGCAATTTTCAGAGCAGCAAATTTTAATGAATCCTGTCAAGCTTTTTTTTTCCGTTTTGCGGTTCAAAAGTAAAGGGTGCAGTTTAAATTTAGAATTACAATTTAAGGAAATTATGTATATAAATTAGCAAAAGGCAAGTATGCATTTAGAATTTGGTATTGGCTTGGTGCAAGGTGCTTGGGTCCTGGACGAATTTCCCCCCTAATAAGGCTGGGGCTGGGTCTGGGCGAGAAATCTGATAGTTCAGTACTGGTATTGAATGGGCCTATTCTAAAAAGTAGTATTGAAAACCTGGCGGTCTGGGAAAAATAGTATTTATTAACAGGGTGCGTTTATTAAAAAGGGGGAACGGACTACCACCAAAGCTTTGGTTGGTTTTGGTTTCTGGGTCAGAGATGGGGATTGGGTTTGTTGGTATCTTGGGTATCTGGGATTCTGGTTTCTTTGTTATTTTCATTTCGGTTTCAAAGGGACTCCAAAGGCGGACCGGACTGGGCCCGAGCCGCGAAGCGGCGAACCGCTCCCAGGGGAGCGCTCGGGCAGCTTTCTGGTGCCGAGCGCTTTGGCCAGCGCGCATCGGATGAAGCTGCGTGGGCTGATTCGAGGAGTCGGGGGGGGGGGTGCTGACGGGGCGAGGTCGGCGCCTGGCATCGGAACATCCTGAAATGGGTGTTTGGATTGGTGGTTGGGGGGCTTGGACAAAGCTTTCACCGCTGAAGTCGACTGAACGGTCATGAGGACCATTGCCGGTTTGAACAAAGCAATCCAAACCACCAACTAGAGGGAAGCTGATAGAATGATGAAATGAGCCCCTGTGTTGGTATGAAAAGGAACACCAAATGCAAGCCAAACATTTTGGGATACCCCTATTTTGAGCAACGACCATATATGAACGGGGACCCGTTCAGCGGGTTCCCACAAACAGGTGCAATATCGCTTTGTTCCGAAGGACACAATTCCACGCCAGGCTCTGGTTTGGATGGATGAAACAAGCAGCAAATACATATCTGATTGACCTGCTAGTCGAGAACCCCGAGCCTGACTCAGACCAGCACAATCAATGCCAGGACAAGGACAGCGCAACTGCATCTTCCCGAATCCAACGCGGTGCTTGGATCCCTCACGGAATGTAAACAGAGTAAGTTGGGCCCCAAGGCAACCAGGTTGGGTTCCCTTCATTTTCCCTTTGAGGTTGATTCAGCACATACCCTCCCACCAACTAACATGGAAGTGCAAAAAGGCCCTTTCGAAGAGGAAAGTGTAGTCTTTCTGTAGGGGTCTGTGCACTTCTATGTTAGCTGGTGGGAGGGTAACACTTTTTGCAGGCTTGTCTTTGTCCGGAAGCGACTCGAGGAGAGGACGGAGCCACGGAGCGTTCCTCGGGGTGGCTCTGCCTCCGGAAGATGGGGGAGGAGACCGCTGGCTGGTGTGGCCATGCAGGACCTTCGCAGAATAGATGTTTTTTTTTTTGGGGGGGGGAGAGTGGTGCTTAAAATGGTTTAAGCAAGAAGTAATTGAGGGAAACAACTAGCCGGGGAGGTTCCTGGAATCTTTTTAGGAGATCTCAGAGACAGGTTCTCAGAATCATTTCGGATGAGTTGAAGGAGCCACCTCCCAAGCTATCCCTTTGCAATGGCTCCGAATCAGTATTGGAGATATGTATAGGTGTATTCTTTCAGGATACCCCCAAAATGTTTTTTGTTTTTGGTGTCTCTTAAAAAGAGAGCAACAGAAAGACACCACCATTGGAGCAGAGTCACAGAGACTCGTCCGACCATAGGCGTGGTGAATGCTGAGCTGGTGGCAGACGATGGCAGCGCGCAGGAGCTGGAGGCGAGGTTGGGTAAATGATGCAGCGATCGGCTGAAACCCAGTCGCTTGATTTGTTTCTTCTTCTTTTTGTTGTTCTCCGACATTGTTGAAGCAAGTTACACCAATAGGTCGGCTTGAACCCCCTGTGTTTGTGTTTGTTTTTTCCCCGGCATAGTTCAAACAACTTACTCCAATACAGGATGCCACAATCAGCCACCCCGTTGTTTCATGTTCAGACACATTGCTTTGGTTTCCCTAAGGCTCCGACTCGGAACCTGAGGTGAGCGTAGGAGAGGAGGATGTGCAGATCCCGCAGACCATGGCGTTGCGCCGCCCGGTGCGACGCCAGGGCTTTGGGAGATTGACGGGACGCGTACAAGTGGATGTCTACGTCCTACGTTTCAGATGGTTAAGGTTATGATTTTCCACCAAAACGGTGGTTTGTTTTGACTCCATCTGTTGGGAGGGCCAGTTCAACAGCTTGCTTTTGGCCGGGCGGCCAGGTTTGCCTTTGATTCTTGAGCATTCTGTTTTGGGTCTATTCAGAGACCCCGAAGGACCACACACACACACACAGCTACACCCACACGCACGCGCACAGGCACACGCACCGCACGCGCGCATGTTAAACGCGCAAATAGAGAGGCTTGACGTCTTCGAGCAAGAAGATTGGAGCGCACGGCTTGGTATCTTCGAACAAGTACCTGTGGAGTTCCTCCAACAATCATAAAAGCTACAACAGAGAGACAGAGAGAGAGAGAGAGAGAGCTTGGGTGGAATTAATTTGCCTGTTTTATGGGTTGTGAGCTCACCGAAGGGGCAAATGTAGCCAATGGACGCTCTCGGCGCTTTTTACGTCCAATTTCCAGGGAGTTCGCGAATTCATTGGTGACATTTCTCAGATCCAACTTGGAGAATTTGGACCAAAGGAGGAACCATGACCATCCACAGGAGTTCTGTCCATGGCACCTCTTAACTGAAACAACCCCCTACCCGGACCTCCTGTGGATTGTTTTTGTTGTTGGTGGGATGTCCCTTTAAAGTCAACCACCGGCTTCTGTGTTAGGCTCTGTTAAGTACACGACCCTTGGGTGGGATGAAAACCTGCCGCTTGTGCCAATCACACCCGCCGAGTCTGTTTTTTTTTCCCCATGCAAATTGCCATGGATCCGGTCTGGGCCAGCAGAAAACGAGCTGAGGCATGAGCTTCAAGTTGGTGCCTGGCGCCTCCGACCCCATGCTTTGGCGCCCGAACCAGAGGCTCGCTCGAACGCCGGATGGAAAAGGAGAAACGCGGGAGCTCTTTCTTAGGTGTTTGGGGGTTCCTTGGTTGCTTTTCTTGTGCTTTCCTTTTAAATTTCAACGTGGGCTGCAGTGCACCATTTCGAGAAACCTGTTTGACCTGCTTGGCTATGGTCAAAACTCCTATGCGTCATGATCTGACAATCTCCCGTTTGTCCGTCCAGCGAGTGCTCAGGCACTTTGTCTCTGTTGTGAACGTCGTGAACCGATGAAGCAAAAGAGAGAACAGCATGGTTTCCTGAATACGGACCTTTGCATTGGTTGTCTAAAGCCACTGGTGATAGGCTGATGACAGTTCGCACCAAACCCAAGCCAAGTGATTTGCTCATGGCACGCAGGGCCTTGTTTCTTTTTTACACTTCATGAGTTTCTTGGCTGGATACCTTTGGGGAAGACCATTTCAATAGTGAACACCAAGTTTGGACTTTTTTGTTGGGGCATCCAGTCAGAAAGTGAGGACATGATTTTGCTTTTGGGGCCCATCTGATTTTGGCACACATGACTCCACACAACGTCAACCCGGTAAGGTGTAAAGCAAGAGGATGATGATTTTCCTGGGGTGTATCTGAAATCAGTTGCTTGGCGGCTCGGTAGCTGGCTTCCCACATTCCCGGATCTGGGTGTTCTTGCCCTGGAAGCTGACAGGATCTCTGGGTACTTGGTGGAGTTCATTCCGAAGTCCTTGCCCTACAGACGCTTTGACTGCGAGAACGGCTGGTTCCACTTTGTCAAGATGTTAAATTCCTTACACTGAAGTGTTGTGTTGAGAGAGCATCTTACCTGTGGGAGACAGAGACACGCAACCAACCGTATCGCCGCAATGCCTTGGCTTTCAACAGGGACCTTAAGTGAGTCCGGACTTTTGGAAGCTTGGAGAGAGAGACTTCCCTTGCCTTTCAACACGGGATTGTCTGTTGTCAAACTGGGGGACAGACTGGGACCGCCCGAAGGTTAGGGGCCTTTTGGTGTGCCTGGGGTTCCCCTATTTCAGTTAGTCACCCATTTCGTTGCTTCCTTTGTTCAGCTCTTTTGATTTTTTGTTGGGGGGGTTGGGGGTAGGGGGTGCCTTCAAAAGCAACTGCCAAACAAGGGGTGCCTTTTTCCATGGCCGCCTGGGGTTTGGGTACAGATTTTGCAGTTATTATACAATTTGGAGATAATCTTTGGGTAGTTGAAGGTTAGTAAGGCTCTGAAATAAGTGCAGCCGCACATCAATTCTTGATGGCTTTGGGAAGGCCCCTTTCGTACCAGATTTGAATATCGGTTGTGTGTCAACAGCAAAAGGATCCCCTTTGGCCAAGGACCGAAAAAGGTCTTTGAGCAGGATCGTACTGGAGGGAATGTGTTGTATCAAAACCAAGCGAGTTTCTAAGTGTTATTAGTTCATGGCGAGCTCACCAAGGCAAAGATCCTTTACTTGCGGATCCCTCATTTCCAGTGCCGGACATATTGTAGAATTTGCAGCTTGATTATGACTCTCATGGATGTGTCAACTTTGAGAACACCCTTCTGGGCTTGACAGGATACGAGAAGGACACACCCCTCATTTGAACAAAATTGGAGCTTCCCTTATCTCAAGGCACCCCCGTGTCAAAGCAGACATCACCGCCTTTGGGCTGGTCTTGCGAAGAGACGAAGTCCTGTTGCTCCCTTTCCCCGCACGCATGTTTGTCCAATTTTGGACCGCTGATGATTGCTATCCTGGCGGTGTTCGTCTTCCAAGAACCACAGGATAGATAAATAGCACACCCATCCTTTTTGGAGGTATATATTTGGAAAGGCTAAAAGGGTAGACTCAAAACGGTGTTCCTTTAAACTAAGCCCTAAAAGGCTTCAAATAATATTTTAGGAGGACCTTCCTTTAAAGGTGGTGGTTCAACAAGCTTTGCTTGGGCGGCTGCGAAGGACACCTGCCTCTAGGGTGTGCCCTGAAAACAGAGTCCGAAACTTGGCAAAAGGGGGGTGACCCCTTTTGGACGTCAGGAAGTCACGAAACACTCACATTTCGGGGCCCCCTTTGAGAAACTACCAGAAACACAACGCTTACGGGGCGTGTCTTGATGTGTTTTTGGGATGCTTCCTTTTGAAATCCCTTTCTGGGAGGGCCAAGTTGGCGGTTCCTTTTTGGGATGGTTTTATTCCGGGCAGGTAGACTTAAACCCAGGGGTTGATATTCCAAAAGGAACGGCCAACTTGGGGAACCCGCCCCGGGGACGCCAAAAGGGGACGCCAAACGGACACGAGGCTGCATGGCGGTGGCTCTGGCGGAGCTGAGCTTCGCGTCGGAGCTGCTGCGGGAGGCCGGGAGGTGTGGCTCAAGGGATGTCTAGGTCCCCCAGCTAGGGTCCAACTGTTATCGTTTCTTTGTTGGGGGAGGGTTCCCCGACTAAAAAAGGCTACAGAAAAAGGGTACCCTTGTTGTAACCTCTCTACTGGAGGACCTTTCGTTTTGCCCTCAAGCAAACCAGACTCAAGAAAGGAACCAAAGTACGCGGATTCTCAAAGAGTGGAGTGCTCTTGTGCATCATGACATTCCCCAAGGTCAAATTATCCCTGCATTCATTTGGGGCTGTTTTGGGGGGACCATGATCAGGGACCGCTACATTTCCCCTTTTGGGTGCTTTGAACATCACCTTTTGAGCAAGACAAGATGAAGGATCCTTTGCGGGGTAATGCGTGAAGGGCGAAAATAGAATCTAGAATACCCTAGAGGGCTCTAGAGGGTAGTTTGAGACATAGGCCCAGACCTCCATTGGTTTCCTTCCTTTGGTTGGTTTCCCTCGGTGCACATGGCTCAGGTGGTTTTGAGAGCCCGGCCGCCAGCTCGGCGGAGACAAGTGCAAGATGAGGCGCTTGGATTCGTTGCCTCTATGTGTTCGGAAAATGAGGGTGATGAATTGAATTAGGATATGTATGCATGATGTTTTGTCGTTTTAATGGTTTGGGACAACTGGGTTTTGGGTTTGGCATAGGGGGTTTAGGGTTCGAGATGTTCGGTTTGACTTGAAACACGTCTAAATGGTTATGGCCCTTGTCATCTCCATTTATAGCCTTATCGTGCAGTTTACGTTTCTGGTTGGACGAATCGTGTCGCTTCTTCAGATCACAATGGTGTATGGATGCTTGTGAACGGTTGGTTGACTACGTGTGGGTCAAATCGAATACCGGTAGGGGCTTCCAAAACAATCATTGAGATGTATCCATGAGAGCTGATCAAACACTTGTTCTACTTTGATTTCTGGCCATGTGTGTATGTGTGCCTATGCGTGTTAATCCAAAGACAACCACTAGGCAACACGCTTTCCCCGACACGGTGATGTCTGGGCGTGAGGGAGGGCGGAGGGAGACCGGAGGGAGGTCCCCTGTCGATCGCCAGGCGGAGTGGCACGCCGATCAGGGGAGAGAGAGCAGCCGGAGATGCTCAGCTGAGCGGGGTGTCAATGGCGCCGAATTGTTTGCTCGAAGAACAAAACCACGTCGTTTGTATAGGGGAACCAAAGGAAATGCAGAAGCCAGGGTGGTGATTTGAAGGAAGCCAAGAGAACAGTTGTTGTCAAGGGGGAGGTTGCCTTGTGGTTTTCAAAGGGGAGGCTGCCAAACCCCAAACATGTGGCCAGGCGCTTCTTGCTTGTCCCCAAAAATCATGGGCATGAGTTTCCGTAGAGAATTTCCTGAAAAGTCGTTGGCGGACCATTTTCACCAAAACGATCCCCAATTCGAATGATCGCCCTGCCATCCCTGAGCCATACAGCCGATTCCGGGCGAAGCGCTCTCGATCGACCCGAGCGAGGTTTGGACTTGAAGCCCTGGAAGCTGAACCCGCCCCAGGAGATTGCGGTGCGCAGCGCCCTGGAGGACGGGCCATGGGGGTGGGTGGGGTGGGGGGGGGAGTCCGGGGGGGTGGGTGGCGGGGGGGTGGGTGGGGGTGGGTGGCGGGGGGGGGTGGCGGGGGTAATGGAACCCTCCTGAACCAATCATGGAAGCCCCAGTGGCCCAGTGGATTCCGCCCGTTTTTTTCCAACTTTTTGTTGGGAAGGGTTGCCTTTAAAGTCAACCAACCCAAAAGAGGATGCCCTTTGTTTCCCCTGGCCACTGGGCATCTGAGACGATGAAAAGTGATTGGTGGACATAGACTCCCCACCGAATTCTGATGTCCACCAAAGGGTCCCTAGTTTTTTGTTCATACCCAGGTGATTCTCCTTCCAACAAAATCATGGAAACCGACGATCGAATTTGGAAGATGACTTTTCTTTTGGGGAAGCCCCAACACGTCCATTTCCATGTTACGGAAAGAGGGTAGAAGCGACCTCCCCTAATTTTTAAGAGCCCAGGTGGTATAAAGCCCTCCCTGAATGCTCCAAACCCCACCTTTGGTTTTCCTTTGGTTGTTTTCCTTTGGCGTTCCTTGTCAAACAAAAGGGGTCCCCTAAAAGTCCCCTCAAAGAAGTGACACTGCCAGAGCTCCGGAATCTTGTTGAGGTTCGCCAATCATAGACGATATCAAAACATACTGGGGGACTGGGGCAGCTAATGTAGTTGTCTTATCTGGAATCCCGTTTCTGGAGGGAACCAAAAGGCTTTAGGGAAGGGAACCTTCCAAGGAAAACTAACATGGAACCAAGCATTTGGAGCAAGCTTTATTCTTTGACGTACCCATCACCTATCCGTGTCCCGGTTCCTCGATTGCGGCGCGCATTTATAAGGCGCTTGGTCGATGGTTGGTCACAGCCCTGTGAAGGCTCAAGGCGATGCGTTTGTTTTTTGGTCAACAGGCTTTGCTGGCTGCTTTTCAGGAAGGGAACCCCCCGCAAAAGTGGGTGCACATGAATACCCACCTAATGTTCGCGAAAGGGTCCTTAGTATCCTTAATGAAGTTCCATCCTCGGCGGGGGAAATCATCTTAACCCCCTTCCCTCCCACAAACACGCCTGACTTTTTGGTACCCGGGTGCCTTCTGGTTGGAAGGGCAAGTGGTGCGCCAGGACCAGCTGTCATTGATCCACGGCCCCCCCGGCACTGGCAAGACCACCACTGCGGCAGCCCTCTGCACCTTGCTCCCCCGATTGGCCAGACCTCCACTGTAGTTATACTGTTTTCGTTGTTTGTTTCTTTCAAAATGTGTTTCCTTGTTTGTTTTTTGTTTGTTTTCAGTTGTTCATCCTTGGTTGTTCCTTTTCTCGCAGCCTACCTTTAGAATCAACTGCCAATTCCAAGTGCAGTTGTATTTTTCCCCCACGGTGCATTTTTGTCTTTTTCCATGGCCACAGGTTGCGACCGTCCCATAAATCAAAGGCTGAAAGTATGCAGCCATGAGGCCCGGTGAAGCGTCGGCTGGTCCCATCTGAGTCCATCCGTTTCTGCTAGGGGCAGGGGGGATGAGCAAACATAACCCGGCCTCCATGGTGTGATTGCTCACGCATGCGCTGGTATCCTTCCAGATTCCAAGTAGCTTTCCAGTGGCTTTTTGAGGGGTGGCTTCAGCGGGAAGAGAGCTTTAAGATCAGGCCAAATCCCAGCAAAATGAGATTCGAACGCCTTTTTGGTATTCAAAGGGAACCTCAACGGAAATCAATCATTTTCGGGGACTGATTCCTAGTTTGAGAGCCCCCCCCCCGAGCTGGAGTTGGAGCTCCCGTCTCCCCTTCTAAGTCTGGCGCCAGAGCGCTTACTGTTGGGTTGATTGCCAGGCTTTCAGGCAGGATTCTTGAGCACTTTCTGCTGGTCGGGCGTCGTGAAACATCCGGTGCCCTTGCATTTTTGAGCGAGGTGGGCCAAAATCATTCGGAAACCAGCCGGAACAATTGGGTCTGTCTTTATTGTGGGAACCCCTTCCCCTACCTTCCCGCGTCGATGTTAAACACCGCATGTTTATGTTGTACTAGGTAAAACATCGTAGTTCCGGACATGCAGTGTTTACCCCTTGCCATGAGCATGGTGGAAAGTCTCAAAAAGCCCAAGTCACAATTCCTCCTAAAGCCCCCAAGGCAAAGTCACCCGCATTCTCTTCTTCTCCGCTTTGTAAATTGGGTGTATCAAAGGAAACCGGGGGGCTACCTACTTCACGCGAACTTCACGGGTAAACACTGCAGTTGACGGGTAAACCCATTGGAAGAGTGGCAGCCAAACACCTGCGACATAGACATGCAAACATCTCTTCAAGTGAAACCCCGAACTTGCGAGTAAAACATCTGCGTTCCGGAGGTCCTAGTTAAACTTCAACATTGAAGGCTAGGGCCTTTTTGCTTGGTTTTAAAGGGAAAGCAAAGGGACAACCACCCAGTTTTGGGGTACCCTATTTCAAGACACACCCAATTCAGAAGCTGATCACCCCTCAGGCCAGACTGCCAGTTGCACCAATACCTGAACCCAAGGCTAGCACTTGCGTCCACCAGTCAGGTTAGCTACCCGCTGTTGCCATGGTAGCTGAAGAAGCAAGGCTATTCCCCCTATCAATAAAAACATCCTATGTTTTAATATCGTTTTCACTAGACCGCCTGGTGCCCAATACTACTTTTTGGAGTAGGCAGAATCCAAAATTTAGAACAATACTAAACTGGCTGGTTGCTTGGCAAACCCGGCCCCAATCGTACTGTGCCAACCCCATACCGACAGAATCCCTGTGAGACCAAGCAAAAACAAAGAGCTTTTCCCTTTTAAAGCTTGTTGCACCATTCACAAAGTTACAACTCGGTCCCGTTTCAAGGGATGAGTACATTTGCTTCTGGGGGGTCTGGTCCCTAACTTGTTCCCCTATGTATAAATATTGTTTGGCCCCCAGCGAATACTTATTAGAAGGGGGTGATATATCATTTAGCGATTAAGGGAAGCCCCCAAGCTAGTGGGTTTGCTTTGATTCTTGAAAGCAACCCAAAAAATGTGCCCTTCCAAAAACGACAGCACTTGCCAGCATCCAAGTTATTAGGGCGGGTATGCCCCTGTAGACGAACATGGACCCCGCAAGCCCATCATTTCAGGTCGGAGGCTCCTTCCCTCAATTCGCAGGGGGGCCATAATTCACCAACCCGAATTCAGGAATCCCTACCTTCGCTTTACTCCCAGCTGAGCTTGCTCGTTTTTTTTGGGGGTGGGGGGGTGGGGGGGTGGGGGGGTGGGGGGGTGGGGGGAGCTCCATGTATATGTTGGGCTTCATGTTCATTTGCGGGGGGGGGGGGGGTGTTGTAAAGCATATCCTGCTATTGCCGGCGGCAAAACCGCGCCCGAGGTGTGCTCTACGCCCTGTCGAACCTGGACAACGGGGAGGTAGCTGCAGTGCTGCGCCTTTGGCGGAGAATGGGTGGTTTCGTCGTTTGGCCCCTGAACAAAAACCGGTGCATATCCTCCCTTTTTAAGAGGTCTTGATGCAAGACATTCATCAGAGGGACACCAGGGTCCCCAGTGTTTGGCGTTTCCATCTCCCATTGCACCGTCACTTAGCCGTTTTTGTTGGGGGAAGCTCTCTTTCGCTTGGCTTTCAAATGGACACCGAACGGAACTGTTGGAGAGTCCCGCTAGTTCAACCAACCTCGCTGCTGAATAGCGGTATTTTTGTTTGTCTTCCCGAAAAGACCTCCAAAGGTAAAGGGGATGGGTCATTTTAGCAATTTGTCCACGCCCTTCGAACCACCAAGAGCGCCAATTTCGGGGGTTCGCCTCATCTAACCAAACATTAAGAACAAGCCTCGTCTCGACTCCGTGGGCCCAAGCACAATCCCAACCCCCACCACAAGCTCTCCAACCTCCAACCCTCATATCACGCCTACACATACCCAATTCCCCCCCCCCCCCCCACCACCAAAGTGAAATCAAGTTCCTCTAAAGCAAACCCCCAACACACCTCACGCCCCAAACCCCCCCACGCCTCAACCCCCCCTCCCCCGTAATTACACAGGTTGTTTTTCCCAGAAACCCAGCCTTGGTGGCTCCGAGCCATCCCTTCGGCTTCTTCTTTTATTCCGTTCAGTGATTTCCATTTAACCCGCAAAGTTCCTCACTTGTGGGGGATCAATCCGAAAACGGGCAGCCCAGATACCTGTCTCTTCCTTGGGGGAACTGCGACCCCACGGCTGGCTCAAGCCCAGGTATTGCACCCCCAGCAACGACGCCGCAGACGTGGCCTGCCAGCGGGTGGCCGACAGCTCCGCGAAGCACTTCCAAGCGCTGAGCCAGCGGCGCCGGCGGATGGTGCTGGCGGCGCCTTGGGATACAATGAAAATATATGTATGGCCATGGGTCAAAACCCCGTACCCCCAGCGAACATCCCAATCCCCACTAAAATAGTCTAAAATGGGTGGTGCACCTACCCCAAAATGGTACCATTGGTGTTGACCCACGGCCATATATTATATATATATATATATGTACATGATGGGGGGGGCGGGTGACCATGTGTATATATATATATATACATTAATTTGTCGTGTTTTATTGCTGGTGCTCAGCAGGGAAGGAGAGTCGGAATGAACCCTATAAACCATCCAACTGGTGGTTTCCTTTAAGGGAATGCCTGGTTCATTCCCACATTCGCTACTGAGCACCAGCAAGATTTTCGTGGGCGCCAGGTTGGTTTTCAAGGGACACTGCAGCTTTTTGGGGGACACCACAGATTTTGAGGGTACCCTTTTTCAAAGCAAGACCAAAAGGACACCCTTGCCATTTTGGGATTCCAAATCCTGCTTTGACACATACCCACATATATGAGGTTGTGTTTTTGCCTGTGCTGGATTTGTTAATGTTTGCTGTAACTGGATCACCAAGATAAGCGCTGAGCTGGTCAAGATCCAAGATGGGGAGTGTTCAACAAGGGACTATCTTTTCGGGGACACTCTTCCGGGATAGGGCGTGGCCCCGGGGAAAAGCAAAGGGAGGGGTATTTATTTTGGGATGTTTTTTTGTTTTTTGTTTTTTCGTTTTTTGGGGATTTTTTTTCGCTTTGGGCTTCTTGGCTTCTTGGCTTTTGTTGGCTTCTTGGCTTTTCGGCTTCTTGGCTTCTCGGCTTCTGGGCTTCTGGGCTTTTCGGCTTTTTGCTGGTTTATGCGGCTTTTGGTGGCTTTTTTTTTCGCATCCTCTGCATTCCCAGTTCCTCTTCGGCAGGTCGGGCTTTTTGGCTTTTGCGCCCTTTCATTGGTTTTTGGATGTGGCTTCCCCATCAGCATCACCAGTTCCTCCCTATTTGAATCATCACTTCTTCGAACATCATGGGGGGGGAAGCCCCCCCCCCCGTAACCCACCCGCTACTGTTTAGATTGCTTGCAGAGTAATTGCACCCCAATTTGAATCAACTCTTCTTCAAACATCTTGGGGGGGGTTGCCGCCTCCCCCCCGTTACTTTTTAGATTTCTTGCAGAGATTGAATTGAACCCTTGTTTGAATCATCACTTTTTTGAGCGTCCAATTTCGCGAGAAATGCTGCAAAATACGACATTTTAGGTAATCTGTGTAGTCCATGTATGTCTGTATGTATGCATTTCTTCGAACATCATAGGGGAAGCCACCCCCGCCAACCCTCCCGCTGCCTTTTAAATTCTATCGCACCCTTTCTTGAATCATTGCACCCCTACTTAAATCATCACTTCTTCCGACATCATGGGGGGGGCTGCCGCCCCCGCCAACCCCCCCGCTACGTTTAGATTTTCTGCAGAGATTGAATTGCACCCCCAGTTGAATCATCAATTCTTCGAACATCATGGGGGGGGCTGCCGGCCCCCCCAACCCCCCCGCTAGGCTTTAGACTTTTTGCAGAGATTTAATTGCACCCCTATTCGAATCATCACTTCTGCGACCATCATGGGGGGGGCTGCCGCCCCCCCCAACCCCCCCGCTTCTTTTTTTAGTTGTTTTTTTTACTTGGATTGAAATGCCTCCTGTTTCAATCATTATTTTTTTGACCTCGTCAACCCGCCAGCTACTTTTTGGTTTTTTTGTTACCCACGATTTGTTGGTGATGCTAGGGATGTTGGTCGGACATGCGGGGGATGTTGAAAACGATGCTGGGGATGTTGACGGGCTAGTGTAACTGTAAAATACGACATGTTACTGGCCCGGACGAAAAATCCAAAAAAAAACGGGAAAACAATCTGCACCCAAAGCAAAGGGCGCCGGGCAACATCGGAACCCGACTTGGCACGCAGCTCTCGTGCTGAGGCGGGTGGCAGTGACGACTGTGCTATTTGCTTCAGTGGCAGTTGTGACTCCGTGACGGCGTCTTGGCAGTCTGAGCGGGGATCTAGAAACTCGATCCCTCGGGTCGTACCCCAAAAAGGGGGTGGTATTCCTTTGTTTCCGTTTAAACGGTACCCTCGAAAAGACCCCCCTCGTTCCAAAGGCTGGCAACAATGGGTTCCCTTGTTGTTCAGTGGTCACACAAATATCCACAGGAAACCGATCGGGCACAACCCAAAGCCACTACTCATGAACCTAGGCGCGTACGCAAAACCTCGTAGTACCGTTTTAGCTCAGGGGTCGGGTGGGGGATGGTGAATAACCTCTATTCTAGGTGGTTGGTGTCCTTGTGTGTTCTATTCAGAGCCATCCAGATGGGCCCTGAGGCATATCAAACTACACGAGTGCAACATGGGCATCTCTGTTTAACCAAGCAGTCAGAGACATGAAAGTCCAACAAAGGGCGACGCGTTCCTTATCATCCCTGTAGGTAGAGCAGCATCAGTGAGTGCTGCTTGAGGCAAACTACCAGTTTTGGTTTGTGTCGGTGCATAAGAAATGTTGGCATCCCCCATCCAGGAAGCCAAAGTAAGCCAAGCCAACTTTCTACCCTGTTACAGCCTGTGCAGCAACCCTCCCTGTTGGGTTTTTTCACATTATCTCCCCCTGTCTCAGAAAAAGCAAGCCATGTTTTCTAGACCAGGGAAGCCACATTTGCGGCACAGGGAGCCAAACCAACCAAAAAGCAACACAACAGGAGAAGCAATAACAAACCAAAACCACAGGAACCACGGGAAACCAAGCCTGGGGTGTCTTTTTGGAAGGTGCCCGGGGTGTTTTTTTTGTTGGTTTTGGTAGGGGGGAACCCCATGGTTGGTTGGTACCGATGCCTGTTTTAGAGACATGCCCAGCTGACAAGGTCGCTCAAGCCAACTCATGTTTCCACCCTCCATGAGCAAAACAAGAGCCAAGGTGCTCAACTAGTTTTCGACCCTTCCAAGAGAACCAACAGTCGCTTGTTTTTTTCTTCTCTCTTTCTTTTAAATCTAGAACCTAGGAATCAAACCTGGGTGTGTCTTTAGGAAACCCTCCAAAGTAGCGGTTTTCCTTTTGGTGTTCCTTTACCTGCTAAAAACTGGGTACTTGTCCAAAAAAAGACAGACCCACCTGACGTCACCTGGCTTTGAGAGTGAACACCTGCCAAACAAATGGGAACCCTGCAAAAAAATGGACAGACCCACCTTGACGTCGCATGGCTGGGAGAATTCTTACCACAAAATGGGGAAGGCTCCAACAAAAAGTGGACAGACCCACTGGACGGAGCCGCTGAATTTTCAGGCCTGCAACACCCACCGAAAACTGGGGCACTGTTCAAAACAAGAGACCCGGACCCACCTAGGCTTTCCTTTACAACCTACCAAAAACTGGGCTACCTTTCGGAAAAAGGAAAAAAAGACAGACAAAACCTGACGTCGCATGGCTTGGAGAGTTCTGAAGGCCTGTGGCCACCACTTCCACCGCCTCTGCCTGGAGAAGGCGCTGAAGGCCGGCACCCGCGGCTGCCCACTCTGCCGGCGACCGCTGCGGCGACCCGAGGGAGGCGGGCCGGGGACGTCTGGGGAGGTCTGGAAATTCGTGGGGCCAGTCCTTTTTGGTGTTTTTTTGGTTTGGGGCAGACCTGTTGCAAAAGGAATGTTTGTCTTCGTTGTTTTTTTTGGAGAGAGCTATTGAAAGGGAAGTACCAACACACTGGCTTTCTGGAGGCTGGAGGGGATGTTAGCTCCGCCAAAACGGTGCCCGTGTTTCCTTTTTGTGGGGGAGACTGTTCGGAGTCAGCTTGCGGGGGCCTCGGCCCTTACGAGGTGCTCTAAAATCACGACACTCACCGTTCAAGTGTCAAATTGGACTCGGGGGAGATGGTGTATGAAAGTCATCATATCTAATAAATGATGCTTCAAGCAACCTCAACCGGGTGAATCCGTCAACCTCTACCATTCCATGACACGTCGGTGTTTATATAACACTGTTATCAGATACATTTACATCCAACCTACTGTGGATGGGCGAAATCTGGCACGACTTTGAAACCATGGGAATCATCATTCTAGGGTTTCTTAGGTGGTGCTGGTTTTCGTCCATCCAACCTACCATCGTGTTTGGAATCCGACGGAGTCCAACGACGATGGCGTTTTGGCCCAAGGCGTGCCCTTGACCTTGAGCTTGGAGAAGCCTTCGGAGTTGCTGAGTCTGACACTACTTCACTGAAGCTTGATCAACTTATTCCCTGCAAACGTAATTGTAGGGTCCTGATAGAACCGCTAAGACAAAGTCACAGAGTAATTTGCAAAAAAAGAGCAGGGCTAATGTAGAAAGTCATAAAGTGGCACAACTGGGAGGTTTCGCCGCGCAAGAAAGAGGTGTGGTAGTCCAGCGTGTTGTTTTTCCAGCCATGCCTTCTAAATCTGCCCGCGAAGTGCACGACTTCAAGAAAGGCGTTTCTGTGGTGCTATTCCGCCAGAATCCCCTCGGCTTGGACCATGATGCTTATAAGAAGCTGGCGCTGCTAGCAGACAGCCACCGAGAGAAGTACATGCTCTACGGAGAGCGGACGAGCAAGCACTTCTCGAGGCACTACGCGCTGGACACAAAGTTCCTGGGGCGCATCGAACAGCGCCTGGGTAGCACTCCTCAGACCATCCACGCGCCGAAGAAGGCGGACGCCGGCTGGAAGATCGTGGTGCGGTTCCGGAAGTTTTTAGAGAAGGAGTTCCCAGGTGAGCGGAATCTGGCGATCATCAAGCACTACAAATGCGGCGAGGATTGCATGGGTGAGCACACCGACGCTGCGTCGATTGCTGACACGCCGGTCGCCAGCCTGTCCGCCGGCGCCTCACGGCGGATCATTTTTCGGGTCAGCGCGGAAGGCAAGCGCCGCGGCATGACGATGAAGCCCTTGAAGCTTTGGATGGAACATGGCGATGTGCTGGTCATGGTGGGAGAGGAATTCCAAACACTCATGACGCATGAGCTGCCGCGGGATGAGGGAGTGAATTCTGGGCGAGTGGGTGTGGTTCTAAGGGCTCGGGAGCTTTTGGACATGACTTCGACACGCAAGCGGCAGCGAGCCGCGAGCACAGACAAGACCGGAAAAGGGACAAAAGTCAGGCAGCAATATGCGGCGACGTGAGGCAGCTGACCCTCCGTTTCGGGGTGAAATTAACCTACCAAGACACTGGGGGAGTCAGTGAGTCCCTACCTAGCTGTTTCCAGTGCTTTGTGCCTTCCAGGTACATCCATCCAGGTGGCCCACTGACCCAGTCATCGATTCGTGGAAAGGACATCAAACTAATTGACTCGAAGGTTGACCTCTATGTGAAGGGTGATTGCTCTCCGAGTCCGGCCAAATATGCCTGTCAGTCTGACATGTATTAGTTTGCGGTGCAAACAGGAGGTGATTGGAGGTAGTCCTGGGGCGTATTGTAAAGCCAGCTTAGGTTGTGTCGTTTAGAAAGAATGTATGGCAAGCTTTGATTGGGAAGGAGTCAGCCAATCACCCAAACGAACTTGTTTGCCAGTCTGTCATTCTCTCTTTCTTTCTTTCTTTCTTTCTTTCTTTCTTTCGTTCTTTATCTATTTATCTAGTTTGCTTTCTTTCAACAATAGCTGTTGAAACATGTTCGATCATAAATTGCCTTGGTGTCCAAGCGCCTTGAGGCCTTTCAGCCTTGCGCGTCTACAGCGCAGAGATGGAACGGGGCGACTTCCCGGCCGGGATGGGATGGCCGGGACAGGGCTGGCTTTTTTCTTGGACTCAGCACCATGTTCAGGGCTACGGCGGTCTACATGCCACCAAAGATTGTAAGGCAGTACATATATTATATATATATATTACCTCTTAACTTAAGTGGTATATGCAACCTGGATGCCTCCAAACCCCCGTAGCCGAAGCGTCCTCTGGATTGCCGCCTGGCTTCCTCGGGTCGACAGACGCAACATGTGCTTCCCCGTCTTTTTCTCGCCCCGTGGTGGGCCGTTCTTTTTTGGCCGGTGCTCCATTTTCTTCTTTGTTGGTTGCTCTACAAATGAAGAAGGAAGCCAAAGAGGGTCCATGTCCAAATATGTGTTCGGGTTTTGTCAAAACAATGTTTCGTGTTGATCTGCAGAGTAGTGTTTGTTGGGCTTTCACCTCACGTGGCGCGATTTCTCAGTCGCAATCAAAACCCGGGAAAGTGAAGTGAAGGCAAAATCCCAACCCCAAATTGGTGCGCGTATCCGCCCTGTAAGTTAACATTGGCTTGGGCAGACTCATTTCATGCCGGGTTTTTCATTGTGACTCATAGCCATAGCCCTCAACTCAACGCGTCAGGTGCCCAAGAGGATCGACCACCCCAGCGCCAAGCCACGCAAAGTGCGAGTGGTGCCGGAGGCGGGTTCGCCGTGCCAAGCGAAACCGCGCCGTGGAGAGACTTGAGTGAGGTCGTCCTTTGGCCAGGTGTCTGCGCACAGAACACTCGGTGTCACTTTGTTGAAGCCGCGCAGTGCAGCTGCCAAAGCCCAATGCTCACGCCGGGTTGCACTGGTCAGGTGGTAGCGGAACTGTGAGTTCCGCTCCAAACATGACACTAAGCGTATGGTCTGCACAGATAGACTTCAGAGCTCATGTGCTTTGCCACATATTTTTAAGCGCTGGTATCATGGGTCATGGCACCCGTAGAATCTCTCAGAGGTCAACCAATCCGGCCCCTAGGAAAAGAAACATCCCAAAAAAAATGACAAACCCGCTGGGGATAAACATGTTTTATTACTACTGGGGGGCCCTGTTTCAGATTTGGGCTGCCGACTCCTCTGGTTTTCACGTGTGAAAGGTCGGGTCATGCTTTGATGCAGGCAGAGGGTCGCCTAATACCACGGGAGGAGAAGTCGATAATCGGTGGCTTGTACCAGTTTAGAATTGGCCAGTTCTAATTTAGTAGTGGGCCGCCAGTTGTTAAATCAAGCATATTAGGGAGAGATTATGTTTATCCCCCCTCACAGGGCCGCTGTATGAGTGAACCACACGAGACGATTCGGGATGATTTTTGCTGCAGTCGGCTCGAGCGAATCCACCTTGTGATGTTCTGGGTCGGGGCAAACCCTTTCGGACCCATGCGATTTTTGGAACTTGCTGCCCTTTCGGGAGTTTCCATCCTTTTCGTCTTCCAGAAAGCTAGCTTTTTTGCAGGGGGCCTGCGTCTGGTCAACTTGAATGAAAAGATGGCGCATTGAACTGGGTGAAAATCGCGTGTTCATTTGCAAACTGGAAAATTGTCTCTTCCGATTTCCCATGCCCCGACAAGGGCGCAGGAACAGTGTTCACTCATTTTGTGTTGTTTCGTCCACCAAAATGATGGTAGTCTAATGCTCAGAATTGGGCAAACTGCCATCATGCCCTGGCACCAGACCCAAAATCCCTCCAACTCTGCCCCAATTGGTGACGTTTGTGGGTTCAAAAAGGAGACGGTCCCTTGGAAATTGACCGTTTTGTTGGCAAACAGGAAAACCACCACCTTTGGATTTTGGCCCATCCTTTTTTTGGGGGTCGCACAAAGGAGTCTCAAACATTTCGGAGTCCTTAGATTGATTTGTTGGATGAGCCCAAACGTTCGGTGTCTCAAAGAAAGGGATTCAACACAGTGGGTCAATCCAATCCAGGCGATGCGGCCCTTCGCGTTGCACTGGAGATGCCACGGCCTCGCACCAGGCCGGACATCTTTCGGCTTGAAGTTGCGGAGTTGGAGCCCAAAAAAGGCTAGGCCGTCTCCGTTTAGGTGTCCCTTAAAGGAAGCTGAAAAGCGTACCCAAAAGACACACTCACTTTAAACATATGATATATAATATATTGGGTTAAATCAGAAAGAACCTCCCATAGCTGGACTGTGTTTGACACAGACCGTGCACAAACCCATGGCAATCCATTGTCCTTCCTATGTCGGGGTCATGCTGGTTTGTTTTTCAAGGGTTCATGCCCCTGGCACTGTCAGAGAACATGAGTGTTTCAGTGTGCCACTGTCATTGTTTGGCAGTCATGTCCAGTGGGGGTGAATGCGCAAGCCCCAGCCAAGCCACTATGGCTTGCTCAATTGTGCTGCAGAGTTTGGTGAACAGCCATGGTAGGAACTTCACAGCGGAAGGCGAAAAGAGAACGACAAATTGACGCTCTGACGCTCTCGGCATGGGTTTAGCCTTTGCCATTGGCTGCAAGCTATCGGCATTTCACAGCCCCTTCGAAGGAACCCCTAAACGCCTGGGAAGATGAGAAGACCAAAACTCCAGGTGTGGTTATTGGATCAAGCCGTTTCTTGCGAGCTTTGGTGTGAAATGCAACCGAGCAGCAAAGGCGTTTCTGCAGGTGCGGACTTCGCTTTGCGAACGCCACAGGCCCTTCTTGACCCAAGAGTGAATCTCCCACGAGTGAATCTCCCACCTTGCTGGGAGCTTGACGGGTTGTGTCTGAAAGTTGTGTGACCCCATGTTGGATGGCGTGAATGGGCAACCAACAGGAACGCCATCATTTGCATTTTGAGGTTCCCCATCTCAGGACACCCTCAAGTGCTGCTTGATAGCCACTTCTAATGCCATCCCCCCCCGCCCGAGGTGTGCCTATGAATGTTGCCCGATGAATAAACCTTTCAGGGTTTGACTAGTGGACCCCAGTCCAATTCGTTTCGTTTGGGGGAACCTCCCTGATGAATGACTGGGCTATGTGCATCAAGCTGCAGCAATACTTTGTTGCATGTTTGTGCTGTTGCGAGGACATGTGGTTGAAGAACGCTTCCGTATCGTTCCGCCAAGCAATGCGGATGGTTTTGCGTTGTTCCCTGGCCAGCAACCAGTCACTCATATTCAAATAAGATCATCTTCGTGTTGCATGCATCAAAACAAAAACCATCCCTCCGTTTGTGAGCAGCACGCAAACAAGCAAGTCTCGAATCCTAAACGAGCAAGTGCTAAGCACCCAAACCCAGGCACGTCCCGCTTTGTTTGGCTCAACCTCCACATGTCAGGCAAAGACTCTTGCGGAGCCAAAGATCTGCACTTAAAAAGGGGCCTGAGAGGAGTGTTGTGTTAATTGAAAGTTGAGCTACAACCAAAGGATAGACCAGCAAATCTCGCCCGTTGGGGTATGGTCCAATCCTTTAAGGTATGTAAGGAAGACCGGATTCTAATGAACGGGTCCAATCTGGTGTGTAGCATCCTATAACCCAAGACTTGTCCCGTGTGCCGGTTCATCAATATTCCTGGCCCCGAAATGACCATGGGTAACCTTTCCCATTTAGTACGATCTGTCGTGGTTTCCCAATGGTCATCCTATGTAAGGACCTTTTGATCAACCCCCATGAGGGGTCAGCCAATAAGACTTATGGTTTGTGGTTGGTTTACTTGGTGTCCAAAACCCAGGGGAAGGTCGGTTTGAGGAAAAATGGCACAACCAGACCCTGGGGAAAACAAAAGGACCAAGGAGGTTCGACTTGGCCGACTTTTGTCGACTGGTTTGTCACCCCCGGACTCCCCCCCATTTAGGAGGTGTGTAACCTTGATTTTCAAGCAATTAAAAGCCAAGTAATGACTTCAAGATGTCTCACCCGGCCGACCAGCCGTCCTCCTTCGGCGGTTTTGTTTACGCTTTCCAGGTGTCGAGCCCACCCAGGAAGCGCTGGAGACGGGCCGCGCCTACGAGCAGATGCCCTCCGCCGCATATGTTGTTTTGGAGGGTGTGAAACCAACGCGACACTTCGGATTCCATGTTGGCAGTCCCCGTATTTTCAGATGACATCAGGGATCTCAATATGGAACCAGCTCACAAGTGGTTGCTGGACATGAATCCCCAATGATGTCCAACCAAAGGGTCCGGGACACAGTCAGAGTCAAATTCAAACCCAAATGGATTGATCAAGTCATTTAAGCAGAGCCTTCACCGAACTTACCGTATTCGATCTGTTTCAGGGCACCGTTGGTGACGGTTGAAAGGAATATCAACATTCAGGTTACCCCCATTGGGGGGTTCGGATGGGTGGCTTGGGGATTTGAATCACTGGTTCTTGTGGCGGGGTAAATGGGAAGCCACCCGCTAACCTCCAAACCACCAATCTAAACCACAAATCAAAGGGAAGCTGAACTGTTTTGGGGGTCCCAATAAAAATGGCACACACTCACGCAAACCCCTCCCGAACCACTGACAGTTTGGACTCACCCTTTCGTTTTCGCTCCCTTATGGGTTTCCTTCATGTTCTGTTTGAACCAGAAATGGTCGACTTGTTTGCAGGGGTTCAAGTCTGGCTAACAAACATGGAGGGCCTTGGCAGACCGCATGTGTCAACCACCATGTTTGTTGGGTGGAGGGTAATGATTGCCTCCAAAGCAAACCGCGAGGATGGACAATTTGACGAATGTCGGTCTGTTTCGCTGCTATCCTCATTGAACCAACTAGACGTGTATCTGAGTATCTGCTTTGTGCCTACGGAAGGCTCACGGCGGTGACATGCTGGGGGCAATCACTTTGATGCGTGGGAGCTTTTGGATTTTCAATCTTCGACTGGGATATCAGGTTCAGACTAAGTATCAGAAGTCGATGATCCATGCTGGAGGGGCATCGGGGACACACACCATTTCCCAAAACCAGGAGACTTCTCGAACTTGCCCGTGTCCTTTGTGGGAACCGCATATTCTGACCGCTGAGGTTTGATCTGTGGGACAACAAGGGACACCACTACCATCTGGCTTAAGAAAGGATCAATCATTGGTTTTGAACAACCAAGACTGTTCCTGATTGGAGAGTGGAAGTCTGAGCTCGTTTACCCCCTGAGATCCTTAGCTTCAAAGCCTAGCTTGTTCAATTAGGACCGCCACTGAAAAAGTGGGGTTGCCCCAAAATGATGGGCACACTTTGCGCGAAGCATGTACCAGGTGTCTCCACGACCCTTTAAAAGCGGACCACATGTTTTTTTTTTTTGTTTTTTTGCGGGGGAAGGGGCTCAGATTGGGACACTCCCTGCTCCTAGGCTTTAAACCTACCTTTCGGTGTTGAAACCCTCGAGGGTTTGAGAACTTCTTTCAAGGCTTTGGAGAACCCCCAAATTGTTGCCGGACCCCATTTTTGGGGGTACAGGAAGCCGCCCTCGGGACTTTTTGCGCGCCATGCCGGTGCCCCTGGCCCTCCACCGAAACGCGTCTCGCCGAGGATGCGCGCGGGGCTGGGTTCCCCGGCCTTCGACGAGCTCCGCACGGAGCCGCGCGGCGGGGAGGTTGCGCGGATCGAGTGGAGCTTTGCCGGCGGCGTCCAGGAAAAAACAAAGAGCCAAAACGTCGTTTTAGTGTTTTTGGTGTTTTTTTTGGGGGGGTGAATGTTTGGGGGGGGTCGTTGCTTCGAACCAAACTGCCAAAACAAGCAAGTCTCCTCCTCTCTCTTTTTTTTTGGGGGGGGGTCCCGTCAGACCAAAGAAGGTGCTGTCTCCGATTGGCCCGGAGACAGAAAATACGATATGTCCTGACGCAGTTTCCTCGTTCCCTGAGAACCAGCAAGTTTGGCTAGACTCCTTTGAGGGTGGTTTTCCTATCGGCCACCATTTAGAGGGCTTTGGGGATGTCACCTTTTGAGGCTGTCCCATAGGATTTGTCCAGGTTTGGTTGTTTACTCAAGCCTTAAGGGAGCCGAATCGGGTCTTCTATAAACCCATGTCCCACCCCCACTCCAGCGTTCGCTAAAAAAAGGAGAGCTATTTTGAGCATGTGCTACACCCAACCCAGGATTTCGTTTTGACTGACGTATTCAGCCTCCAAAACAAGAATACGTTTTTCTGCCTAAGCCTCAGTTGTATGCAAACAGCGGCGAATTTTGGTTTAAATTAACCCAATAATCCCATGTCGTAGTAGGTGTGGAAAGGAACCCTTGAAAGGCTAGAAGGAAATTACTGGTTAGAACAGGGTTTCCTCCATTTCCCTTTGTTGAACCTCCAAAAGGTGGCGATCGTTTCAATGGACACCACCAGCAAATTCAACTTAAGGGGCGATCCATTGACGCATGCACAAACCTGCGTAGTTTATGGCGGGGTAAAAAGAGCTCAGCATGGTAAAGATCCAATTTGCTTGGGGATCCAATGAGATCCAATTCTTATTCAGGTTTTGGACATATTGTACAAACAAATTGCAGATCAATACAGGAAACCGATATTTGTTTACAACTCAAGGGGCAATCCATTTTCTTGGGGATCCAATATGATCCAATTCTTATTTCGGGTTGTGGATATAATATGGCTGTGGGTCAAAAAATCGTACCAAAAATGGAAACCTGGTAAATGGAACCCATGACTACCCTGGTGGTTTGATTTTGACCCACACTTATGTGGTAAAATGTGCAGATAAATATAGAGTAGGTGCCCAAGTAGTTCCCTTTTTTCCCTTTTTTGGGGAGGGTTCCCTACTAAAATAGACGACAGAAAAAATGGTACCCTTATTCTAGCCTCTCTACAGAACCTGACTACCCTGCTGGTTTGATTTTGCCCCAAACCCATATGGTAAAATCTGCAGATCAGTGATTCAGGTTTGCCTCAGCTGGTGAGGTACTACCTCGCGCTGGCGGCCTCCCGCGCCGCGGAGCTGCGCCGCAGCGACGTGGTCTTCGCCACCTGCATCTCCGCGCGCCGGGGGGGGCTGAGCACGGCGCTGGCGGCCCCACGGCTGGTGAGACTGTGGATGGTTCTGGGGGCCCCATTCAACCATCGTTCTTTGCAAAACCAGCTGTTTCCCAGGGTTTTTGGTGGTTTTCTAGAAGAAGGATCCCTGGAAAGAATGGGGAAGCTACCCTTAGAATGGTGACGCGAAATGCGGTGGCGCCACGAAATGGAACCATGGTTGAAACTCTTGTTGGTTGGTATTTACGTGGTTTGTTGGTATTTACGTTGGGGAATTGTCGGAAACCAGGGTTTCCGAAAGGTGGTGCGAAATGGATTTCGTCCATCCAGAGTAGAACGGTGGGCCACAGGGCCTTTTTTGGAGGCCCAGACGTCCGGCAGTGTTTGTTTTCCTGTTTTTGTTGGAGGGGTGTTTGAGGGTGCCTTTCTCTAGGATTAAGATTGCCGGACCAGGCAGACACTGAAACACATGTTTTGAATTAAATTAGTGAAATATAGTGAAATAGTTTGTGAATCAAAATAGTGAATGAAATATTTAGTGAATCAAAATTGTGAATTGGGAAACATGGATTTGCAGATTCGCAAGCCCAATTTAGTGAAATTTAGTGAATTTTAGTGAATTTTAATGAATTTTAGTAACATTTACTGAAATTTATGAAATTCAATGAAATTTTAGAACGATATTCACTAAATTTCACTAAATTTCACTAAATTTCGCAAATCCAATTTAGTGCAAATTAGTGAAATTTAGTGAAATTTAGTGAAAGTTACTGAAATTTAGCGAAACTAATTAAATTCAATGACATTTTAGAAAGAGATTCACTAAAGTTCACTAAATTTCACTAATTTTCGCAAATCCAATTTAGTGAAAATTAGTGAAATTTAGTGAAATTTAGTGAATCTCTTTCTAAAATTTCATTGAATTTAATTAGTTTCGCTAAATTTCACTAAATTTCACTAAATTGGATTGGCGAAATTTAGTGAAATTTAGTAAAATGTATTTGCAGGTTAGTGTTTTTTTGCTTTTTCCTAGTCACCTCGCCATGTAGGCGTATGTCCATTCACTATTCCCATTCACTATTTCCATTCGCAATTGTTTTAATTCACTATTCCCATTCACTATTTCATTTGCTAATATTCACTAAATAATTATTTTGATGTGTCCAATCTCTACCTCCCAGCGGCAATCTTAACTCTAGGACATACCTGTCACCCGTTGAAAGACCTCCAAAAAAAGCCATTGGAGGCTCGGTACGTGTGGGTTCGCTTGAGGAAACTCAAAACAAATCACCCCATTTGGGGGGGGGATTGAGACATGGTCCATGAGTGCGCTTGGGTCACTTTGCTTCAATGGCACTTTAAGGTGTCCTTCCTCAGTCAGTTTCCCTTCTGTTGGTTGGGTGGATTATGTTGTTTTGCATGTTGTTATGTGTTTTTGCCCAGTCCACTCGTGCAGTGGATTCCACCCTCTAAAACCCTTCTTGCTTGGTGGGTTCCGAAACCACTTTGGAATGAAGCCCGAAGGCTCAAAAGCATTGCCTTTCCCACCAGACCAAACGGAAACCGCTATGTCGGCTGGGTAACGTTCAGGCGGACAAGATAAGAACCGCTGTTCAGGGCAAGGCCAGAGTTAGCCAGAATTTGTTTGAAAGGAGAAGAAGCCCCATTCGGCCTGTTTTAAACACAACGCCAGTTGCATTGCTGGGCGCAGACAGCTTCAGGGGTGGTAAGATTGTTCGGGTATTCATGTGGGGTTGTCTCTAGGCAACAAAGTCTGCGTCGGTTTCCTCGTGGCTTTGGGCTAAACACACATCCCCAAGAAGGGTGCCATCCAAGCCACACAACATGATGCGCAGGCTCATAGGCATGGTGACAAACATGCTGACACTGGGGGCTGTACGGAATCCGTAGAACCCTTGCCCTCCGAACATGGAAAAGCCCCTAGGCCTTGCCCTAAAAGGACACCTGGAGTCTCCATTAATCTGTCACCCAAAGGGGTGGCACCATAGGGTCAGATGTTGCTCATGCCATTGTGTTTGTTTAAAGCCCAGAATGATGATACGCTTTGTTTGCTGGCCATGCTGCGGCTTCTTAATCATGGTTTCCGTTGTTTAGCCCGTCGCCCATCTTTGTGTTTTGCAGAACCTCGTGCTGCACAATCCCCCATCTCGGAGTTTCCGTTTCGCCGTTGCAGCACCGCACAGAATGTGTTTGGTCAGAGAAGCTGTGTTTGGTCAGAGACATTTTGTTTTGGTTTCCCTTCAAACGCACCTCACACACACCCAACTGGCCCGCGCGAGTTTTGGAATTTCCGATTCCGCGCTTAGGGCGAGGGCGCGCCAGAGCTCTTGCAGGTGGTCCTAGACGAGGCAGGGATTGTCCTTTTCATTCAGTGATCCTTCTCAGAAACCGAGCCAATTCCGCGTGACGAAGAACTCAGTTTGGTTTCTCAGTGGGCAAACCCATTCTATTCACCCCAACTGGGAATTTGGACGAATAGAATGGGGAATCAACTTTGAGACTGAGGCATCCAACACATGGCATCCCTTTGGGAATCTGTTTTGGACTACGTGTTTTGTTTTTCGGGAGTACCCTGTATTTGCAGGTATTTGTGAGGTCCTAATTCGACAAGTGCCGCACTGGTGGGAGGCCATATCCAAATGCAAGCACAAACCGGCCCCCAGAAAGCCTTGCATTCACAAGGCTTTATTTGCCCTCAGATGGGTTAAACGGTTATAGTTAAAAGATCCTAAAATGGTTGGGAGGTCCCAGCTTGCACCAACATGCGTGTACCGTCTTTCTGAACCCATTTGATGGAACGCATTCAACGGGTCACGCAAGCTCGGGTGTTTCTGGCGAACAAGGCCCTGGAAAAAATGGGTCACGTCTGAATCAGCAGCGACATTAGGGGGTTTCTCCACATAGCAATCGGTCCTCCAAAATAATATTGGGCTTCCCTTCAAACCAAGGCTTCCCTTTCAACACACCAACCAAAAAAAAGCCAAATCCCGTGAGAGACCCTTTGGCAAAACCCGACTTGGCGCCTCTTTGTGAGGCTGGACAGGCACCCGAGCCCGAGGCGTTGTGCCCCATGACGCTGGTGGCTTGGATCAAGCCCATTTGGGCGGATCTACCCGTTTGATTGGGCCGGGTGTTGTTTTTGGAGGGTACCCTTATTTAAGTTGCGTGCACACATGTGCAAATATGCATGTATGCATACATGCACATCTACACAGACAGAGACATACACATAGCCATACACATGCACATGCATATGCACATGCACATGCATATGCACATGCACATGTACATGTGCATGCATGTATGCATACATACATACATACATACACACCTACATACTCATGCATGCATGCATACATACAACAGTACAAACACACACACACACATACAGCTACATGTACACACATATGCACTGGTACACAGACATAATCACATACACATACATACACATACATACACACATACACATACACACACACACATACATACACATACATACATATACACACACACATACACATACATATACACACGCTTGTGCCCACATAGGATTACACAAATACGCAGACACGCATATATATATATATATATATACACGCGCATGCATACACACACACACACCCTCACACCCATGCACACGCATACAGATCATATACACCTATACACACACATACACATGCATACACGCACATATACACGCACATACACACGCACACACGCACACACGCACACGCGCACACACGCACACACGCGCACACACGCGCACACACGCACACACGCACACACGCACACACGCACACACGCACACACGCACACACGCACACACGCACACACGCACACACGCACACACGCACACACGCACACACGCCCACACGCCCACACGCCCACACGCCCACACGCACATGCACATGCACATGCACACACTCACATATATATACATCATACATACGGACATACATGCATACATGCAGACATATGGGTATATGAAGTTTGCGTAGTAGAGTGATAACCACCAGTACTTGTTGAACCAAAGATTCTAAGCGCCTGGTGCTCCTGTCGAGGCCAAGAACGCGCGGAAGCTGGTCCTGGTTGGTGACCCAAAGCAGCCTCCTGGATACGCGAATGGGTGCCAGGGCTTTGAACGACCATAGGAAATGTGTGTGTGTGTGTCGCTTCGTGGAACAGCCTCCCAAGTTTTGGGAAAAGAGGTTCCTCTGCGACAAGGGGCCTGAAAGGTCGCGTCCTAGAGTGCGGCTGCTTCCCCATAGTAGGGTGCGTAAAGAGGTGACCTGAATCCAGGAAGCTGAAACGATGAAACCGACCTCGAAGCCACATCAAACTGACATCAAGTTGGCATGGAGCTGTTATGTGTTTCTCCAGAGGTGTCCCATCTCAACACGAAATGCTTCGCTATGGGAGCCAAAACCAGTCTGGCTGGTTAATTGATTTGCCAGCACCAGTCAAAACGGAAACTAGCGTGAACCCCGACCATTTGGACAGGTACGGCCATTCAAAACATGACCCTTTCCAGACCGATAGCCAACTCTTTCTTGGTTATGTTTTTGTAGTTGACCACCACTACTTTGCTTTTGAGGAAGCCCCGTGCATCCCCCTGCCCACTTCTATGACTGTTGCTTCCATGGTCCCGAAGCAAATCTCAACGGACCTCGCCTAAGGCTTCGGCCCATCATCACCTGCTCCGCAGCGGAGCGGATGGGTCTGAACATCTCCCTGTTGGAGCGGGCTGCAAGTCTGCGAACGAGCGGAGTGCCGGTTGAAAGCACATCCCAGGCAAGTCCCCTCTAGCTCACCCTGTGCAATTGTCCTGTTGGGTTTTAAAGGACGGTTCCCTTGGGTACCCACTGCACACAGAAATGGAATCACTGGGTGTGTGTTTGTTTGATGCCCTTGTCAGGAGAATTCAAAGGGAACCAACAAAAGGATAACCAGATCCACCTTGGGGTCCAAGTCCCAATTGTTGATATGTGTAAGTCATAGGAAACACCGTGTAAGGGGTTATGTTATGTGTGGATATATATATATATATTTCTACATATGTGTGTTTGGGGTTGGGTGGTAGTTTGGTCTTGTGTTTGTTCTTGTTGACACCGCTGGTATTGGCGTCATGTACTTTTAAAGTCGTACATCTAGCTGCCCTCGTTGCTCATTACTTGCTTTTGGCAAGTGCTGATTCAGTGAGGATCTGGAAGAATACGCGTGCATGTCTTCCAAACATCCTGGCCTGACCATGGGAATGGTATGCCTGTTGGGTGGTGCGATGTCTCCTTTCTTTTGGAGGGGGTTTCGCTTTCACAGCAACTACCAACAGAGGGATCACATTTCTTCCGTGGCCACTGGGAGTCTGCGTGGTTGGCTGGTTTAAAAAATAAGTACATTTGTTTGACTAATTTTCCGCTGAGAGTTTGGAGGGTATCTGTTTTGTGCTGCTTTGGCTCATTTGATTTTCGGGGTGCTTCGAGCGTTGAAACAATGAACCACGAGGGTAGAGCAGTGGTAGGGGTCCTGTCGTTTTCCTTTCCCACAGCACAGCCTGGCCCAATTGCTTACTAAAAGAAATCTTTCCCAGGGCTCAGCCTCCCATTGCGAAACCCAAAAGATCCAGCCATAGCAGGTACCCAGGATGTTCACCATGGCTTCCTCACCTGCAACTGGAGAGCCGGTCAGGAGCGGCTCTCGGACGCGCCCTGGGGCGAGCCAAAGCTCTTGTCGCTGCAGTACCGCATGCACGAGGCACCCGGCCGAGCCGATTTCTTCTCCGCTCTGTCGGTGCGGAAGCTCCCCGAACGGAGGGATGGGCCAAAACTGGAGCGGGGTGGACTAGAAGGAGACTCCTCTCGAAACAAGAGTGTGTTGGGTTTCATGCTGGTCTGCAGGAGTACATGTCGAATTGGAGTTGGAGGACTGGTTCTGCAAGACAGCTTGCTCGCAGCAATTGCAATTACACAATTGCGTGTCTTTCTTTGAGTCCAAACTTCCGGGATTGTTTCGCGAAGCAAAAAAGAAGCCGGCGCCATCTTGGATGAGTTGGCCCACCTTAGAACTTATGACACGTCTATGAAATCAGACTGACAGGGTGTGTAATGGGCTTCCCGAAGAAACACAGCAGACTGGTAAGAGATGCAAGCTGTGTGCTGTGTGTCGACAAAGTTTGGGCGAGCCCACTTTCGATCTGTTGGTGTTTGTTCCTTGTCATGTTCCAGAGCTCCCTATATGTTTCCATTCTTGGACAGTTCAGGCATCACCTTTTGGACACCCTTTCTCATTTTCTCTTTTGCGGGGGCAGATTAGATGCATGGACCCCCAACCCCTCCCCTTCAAGATAGGAGGGATGGAGCGACGCATGGTGCCTCTTGACAATCATGAAGTGGATCCCATTGTTCGAAGACTGGAAGCTAGGGGCATGCGCGTCAGGGCAACATCCCTAGTAATCGTGGCCCGCAAAATCACTGGGGACACTTTCGCGAGCTGTTCCAACGTTCAGAAAGAAAAAGGGGCTGGAGGTGAAAGTTTGTGAAGACTCTGCTACTTTTTGCATGGGAGGAACCAACAATTGAGATTCTCCCGCCTGCGCTTCACTCGCTTTGTTTTCCAGGTAAACCTGCAAGGGTCCAAGACATAGGTGTTCTTTTCAGGTCGGCTAATACAGTAGTAGATTGCACTGGTGTAATCATTCGGCGCCATTTGTTTTCCAAGGACACCTACCGGACGCCATTGTCTTGGCATTGAATTCTTGGTTGATTTGTAGGGGTTTCCCATTTCAGAGGCCACCAGGAAGAGGCACGCCACCAGCTTCTGCTGAAATCCCGGGTCAAGACCAGTACCTCGCTCGCAGGATTTGAATGCCTTTCCGGCTGCCTACTTCTATGGTGGCCGAGTTCGCACAGACGAAGCCTCAGCATGTGACCCGATCGAGGCAGTTTTGAGATCCGCTCCTATGATTCCCCGAGTATGGAAGGGAAGGGGGCAATACTAATACAAACGGAGGGGGGGGGGAAACTATTCATGCTTCGTTGGTGGGTAAAAGAAAGATTTAGGAGGGGGGATGTGTTTGATTAGAAGGCTTGATTTTGGAGAAGCATGCGCTTTCTGAAATCGGTCATGATGCAAATCTGCGTGGCAGGACTCAAGCTTCCACTCACCCCAAACATGTCAAGGAGCATTGGGAATATGCCCAATGGCAGCGGACATGATTCGATTGATATCTTGTTTTCTGAGAACATCCACGGTGGTGGTCCAGATAGGCTATCCAACAGTATCGGTTGCAGTGCTTCTCCTTCCCATACTGCACGCTCCTCAATCACCCTTTTGCTCCAGACCCAACATACGGCAGAGCACGCTTCGTTGGGTTGGTTTAAGCTTAATTAAAGGGACACCAAAAGGAAGCCACTATTGTTGCTCCAAAATCCGATTTTGGCACATGCCCAGTTGCAAAGTCCTCCAATTAACTGCCATAGTGTCCCCATGCCTGCCCCTTTTTTGTGGGGTGGGGGCCACTCGTGGCTCAGGACGCTTGCGTCTTGGCCCGCGGCCCGGGGCTTCTGGCGCACCCGGCGCGGCCGAAAGCGCCGCAAGCGCTGCTCTTCTGGGACGCGGACGCGGCGCCAGAGCAGACGCGAAGCGAAAAAGTGGGAGGAGTTGGAGTGTTTCCCCCTCCGATAGTGGGAGCTACCCTTTTTGGGGTTGCTTTGGGAAACTGCATGTTTGTTATTTTCCCCTGTTGGTTTTGAAGGGATCTTATACTGGATGTATTTGTTGTTTTGCCAGGGGGTTTAAGCAAATTCAAGTTTCCCCTCCCAGAATGGGAGTTTGAGTCAAAAAGCCAAAACGTGGGAGTCGGATCGTGGTTTTGGTTTAACTTCCCAACCTTCAACAGATGATCGACCTTTTGCTCATGGAAACGCCACCCGGCGAATATGGCACAAAAAAGCTGGCTTCAGAACGGCTCAAAGGCAAGACTAGGAAGTCGGAAGGTCGCAGCGATATTGTAAACGCTGGTTGCAAGGGAACACACCCCAAAGAGTTATTTTGGGGAACCCGTCAAATCTTCACTTCAAGGGGACAACTGACTAACCTGGGTAGTCAATTGGTTTGGGAAACGTTGGTTTTCCGTTACAAGGTGTCAAGTTCTCGTCCCAGCCTCTGTGGAGCAAACTTTTCGGTCGCCGTTGTTTTTGTAATAGACCCAGTTGTTTCTTCCACCTTGACTTTCCTCTTGTTGTTTTCGTTGGCCGCTTTGCATTAGGAACATGCTTCCTTGTTTTTGGTGCCCAGTGTTTGTTTGAGTATTTTGGGGTGTAGCCAAGCTGGTGGTTGACAAGTGGGGCCACCCCTGAGTTCAAGAAAAGTACTGAAGAGGGGGTACCCCCCTTTGCAACCATGTTAGAATCACAAGTCAATGGCCACACCATCAAAACCCGGGGCAAGTGAAGGCTAGTACTGTGAGAAAGGATTGAGGGACAGTCCCTTTGCAATGGGTTCGGATGCCCGCCCCTTGGATTTCACCGTAGGCCACGTTATTACCAGGTTTCTGACTCAATGGATCCCAAACAGGGCTCCGTTTCCTTCAAAGGATTCCTCGCAAAAGAGTGGCTTCTTTGGTTTTCACGTGAATCTGCAGGGAGTACCAAAAGTGACCTAAAATAGAGACTCTTTTGGGTTGAGTCCAGATGTGTCTAGAATACAACCCATTCAACTTTAGGGAGTTCGTTCCATCTTTCGGGGTTCACCGAATCTTCGACAGAGAACCTCACTTCCTGAGTTCATGGACTTTATACTTTTCGGGGCTCGACTACAGTGGTAAACACAAAAAGTTTGGGGACTTTTTTGGACCATCCACTCGATCGGAAGTGAGACCACGGGGCAGTTCGGTTGGCCGTGGGTCAACACCCATGGTACCATTTTGGGGTAGGTGCACCACCCATTTTAGTCCATTTTAGTGGGGATTGGGGCACGGGGTTTTGACCCATGTTCAGTTCTTGCCGGGTAAAAACTTCACCAGCGCGTCTCCCAGGATCTCGCAAGTGCGCACCGCTTCCAGCAGCGCCAAGTCCCGCTTCAACCCGGCGGAGGCGTTCCTAGTCTCACTGCCTTGCCTGGAAATTGAACTTTTTGGGGCTGGAGTAGTGAAAAAGCCTACCAAAAAGCGACGGCTCCATGTTTTTCCGTTGGATGGTCGACTTGATGGGTCTAAGTGGGAAATCGCATTGGTTTTGGGAATGAACTGTTGCGCCTAAGACTCAAGGGAACCAGCGACGGTTGGATGGTTAGTCATTCCCTCATTCCCTATTGAAAACAGCAGGTGGGTCTTGAAACGGGAATGCGACTGCGGGAAATCCGGGGTGGGGGGGGACGCATTTGGGGGTGAAGCCCAGGGCTGAAAAGTATGTGGCGGACAATTTGGGGGAAGACGACCTTAAGATATTACACTTGTGTGTGTCACCTTTGAGCAACACACCCTTTTCCAGCAATCATGGAAGTGCACAAGGGGCTTGTTCAAGAGGATAGTAGTCTTCCCAAACTCTCCTGTCCACTTACATGGCGAACCAGGCAGAGAATCTGGAGGGATCATTTCGCGGGAAGATATCCTTGTCAATATATTCGTTTGAAACAGTGTGGCCTTGTGTCCTGGTTTGGGGGGGAGTTGGTCCCCTCTTTTGAGGGTTGATTTGCCACCGCAGGAAAACACAGCCAGTTTTGGGAGTGGTTTCGATTTCCAAGGGATGTTTCCTAGCACAGGGGATACCCTTTTGATGGTTGGCTTACCTTTTTAGCGTGCGCTTCGTGTCCGCAGGTATTGACCTGACAGATGCATAAGGGGGCGTTGTTCGCCCAGGAGTGATTCGGATCCCATCTAACATGGGTCAACCCCCCAATCAATGTCAACCTGGGTTTGTCCTATCAATTGGGTTCCCACTGACACCCAGAAGGTATTTCAAGAACACATTGGACTCCTCTTAAGAATCAACGGAATAGTACTGGGAAGCTAGTGCCCTGTGCAAACTACCTCTGACGGCAAAATCTAAGCAACAATGAAATCCAGGCACTTGTTCCCACGAACATGGCACCAGACGGGGGGGAATGATCATAGGTGTCCTTTTTGGTTGTTTTGGTCGAAAAATAGATGGCCCTGGTTTACCTGGTGGCTTAATCATCTACTAGGGCCATCTATTTCCCCCAAAAGGACACCCATGGAAAGGATGACTCCCCAAGGAGGTTCTTGGCCAAACCCCAGGTTCCCGTGCTTCCGCGTCTCGGTCGCTCGAATCAGCTGGCATTCGAAGCTCGCTTCGCGAGGCCGCGCGCGCGACCGCGCTGGCCAGGGCGCTGGCGGCGCGGGTGGGCGGCAGCCGAGCCACGCGGAGTCAGCACTGAGTGGGCGTAAATAACGCGTGAAACCAGCTTCTGGTATATTTTGAAAGGAATTCCAACACTGCATTTGCTTCTGTCGCAGCGTCTTTGCAACTCCTTCGTCCTTCCATCGACTTGAAGGCAGGGGACATATTCATAAGATTGCAACGTGGTGCATAGAATAATGACAATATACTGTAAATCCAAATATTTGTACAGCCTGGTCTTTCTTTCTTTCACCTCTTGTCTCGTTCTATCCTCATCCCTCACTCCTTTTAACAGCCACGGCATAGAAGAGTGGAAGTGAGTGACAAGAGATGAACAAAGGTACATTCCCTTTCAAGCCTCGACTTGCTAAGGAAAGAAGGACATGGGATGACATCAGAGAATAAGCCATTGATTCACGTTTATAATTTATGTTCCTTCCCATGCCATCTCAATTGCATCCTAACACAGACTAAGAACTCGTCAAGATACCAAGATAAAGAGAAACATGGAGTTACATAGAATAATTCACCTGGCCTCCGTGAATGCAGATAAGGGACGGAGTGATCCGATGCCTGGAGAAAGCTCTTGCATGCGAGAGATGTGCCAGGAAAATTGCAGAATCTGAAACCACAAAGTCCTCGAGGAAAACAAAAAGATCTCCCAGGCGAAGTTTTTGGGCATGACAAAAAGGTTTCTTGCAGGACTTTCATGTTTTTCCTTATTTTTTTTCTTAATGGTTGTTATTGTTTTTGCCAATGGGAGGCCTTTCCGGCGTGCTTTTGGTTTTGCAAATGAGATGATCTTCAAGATTGGTCAACCACATGCACATGAGGAATAGGTTGCCTTCATCATCGATTTCACACTTGGCACCCCCAAAAAAAGTCATTCAGCGCGGTGAAACAGGCGGCCCACCCCCTCCGGGGCATAGTTCTGGAGCCCTCCAGGGGAACCCCAGAATTGTGGCGCTCTTTTTGAGGGGCCCCCTTACCAAGAACCGTCTTTTCCCGTGTCCCTTTCAAAGAGCCTTACGTGTAAGACAAGACACACTACAACGTGCAATAGAAGCCATCTCAACCCTCGGTTGGTCTGAGTTGGCCGGTGCCCTGTATTGCCCTTTGTGGTAGGGATGTATCATTGCCGACTAGGTTGCCATTTTCTGTGAGTGGCCACGGAACTCCCCCGAAGTGACCCAGAAATCTCAGCCTTTGGCCCGCTTTGACATCGCAAGGATGATTTGCCACAACGGGCCCACTTGGGTGTGGCTCAAAATCAATCAGCTGGGGTTACGCGGGTTTTAGTCTTTGTTTCCGTATACCAAGCTGCCGTTGTGGGGATTCCAATATTTGAGCCGCAGCCACTTACCACAGCCCATCTCCTCAGCTCCTTTTGAGGGTCACTGGCAACTGGGTATCGCTTCCAAACCAAGAAGCCCTGGGTTGACAGACCTCGGCCCTTTGAAGTCAACATAATACTGGGTTAGTTGCCAAGCAGCACAAAGCATCAGGCCTGAAGGTCCCACATGGGAGGTTGACCATGTTTGAGCTTGTTGCTTATTGTGCAACTTAAGACATCTAACTTCTCACTTAGTTTGGGCATGAGCGTGTTTGGGAAGATCATGTTAGTGATCAACAAGAGACAAGTTCGGACTATGTTGGGCCAATCCAAAGTGAGACATCCACAATGCCTATCTTTGGATGCCACGTCGATTCATGGCTGCGCACCCAGGTTGCCGTGTTGACCTGGTACAACGCACAGGCCGGGTTGCTGACGCTGGGGTGTGCCAGTTTATTTCAAGAAACTCACCAGAGACTTTATTGAATGTTGGGAAAACATGATGTTTAGTGGCAAATGATCAGTTTGGACTTGGTCTCGCCAATCCACTCGGGAAGTCAGGAAAGAAGGAATCTTGTCCTGGGCGGTGGGCGCAGCACTTTCCTCTTCGCCGGTTGAGTGACAAGTCAGCATAGATCACATTGATTTGCTTTAAAATAGTGTTAATTTGAACAAGCCGGAAATTCAATCAACAGCGCAGGTCAGTTAACATGACGATTGCAAATGGGTCTGCTTCGCCAGAGCCACAGGGAAAAACGTTCTTCCTCCTGAAGAAGGCATGACACGCAGTAGGCACGAAATGCCACACCTATGCCGCAGCAGGAATGAATCGCAGTACGCACGAAATGCCGCACTGGCAGAAAACAACAACGCATTAGGCATGAAATGCTGTCTGCATGCTTTCCAGTGAGCTAGCCAGGGTAACCATGACCGCAGGGCAACATGCAACATGAGCTCCGGTTGGGTGAAAGTAGATTGCACAGGACAAATTCAGCGAATTGTCAGTAGTGGTGTAGAAACAGGGGTCAAAGCAAACCCTGGATTCCTGACATGGAAGCCACAAGGGATCACAGTTGCCAAGTGGCGCCCGCTTTTTCCTCTTTTTTTTTGCAGAAGGGCTCCCCTTAAGCTCAACCAACCAACAAACGGATGCCCTCTTTCCCCTAACCACTGGGCATTTGAGGGATGGTTCATAGCCACTTCCCTGAGAACCGACTTCTCTCGGCCCTTCAGGTGGCCCAGCTCAGCGATGCCTTGCAAGGCAGCGGCGTCTACTGCGGTGGCGTGGTGTCCTCCCAAGGCAATGCGCCTCTGACGAACCGATGCGCGCGTTTTTCGCTCGTTTCGCCCAGAGCTGTCGGAGCGTCCCCCCCTCAAATCCATGAAAAGGTACCCATATTCCCACAACTGGAGGGGGTCGCGCGTTTTTCGGTCAGCAGAGATGCCTTTGAACAAGTTATGGCGGCCATAAAAGAGATTGATGTGAAGGTTCCCTTCTTGGTTCTACGCAGTTCAACCTCGCTTCAGGTTGGTGAATGGATTCGCACAGATGCATGATCCATATGCTGTTGCCGTTTGTTCCAGTTCCCCTCAAGGAAGCCACACATGAAATCCTCCAGTCCGATTCAAGAGCCATTGTTTACTCAAACTGCTTGGCTTTCCCTTATTTTTCGCAAACCAACCACACTCCCCCTTGAAATGCGGCCAACTGAATCGACACCCATCCCAAAGAATGCAAGTGCTTGAACGGCCCCGTTTGGAAGAGCCTTTTTTTGGGAAGGCGTATTAGGGCCACCCACCCAACCTTGCTGATTGGAGACAACTTCATCCATGCGAAGTGATCTTCCCAAGAGTGGCACTCAGTGCCTAAATCAACCCGAACCCCAAACCCACCCTAAACCCACCGTAAACCAACCCTGAACCAACCCTAAACCAACCCACCAACCCTAAACCAACTCCAAACCACACCCCAACCACCCAACCACCCCACCCCAGGGTTGGGGGGGGGAGGGGGAGGTTCACGGCCTGGAACATATATGTCAAAATTAGGGCACTTTCAAGAAGGCTGGTCTCTTTTTGCCGTCCTTTCATAAACCAAAAGGGGGTCCCCAACCCCCCCCCAGCTATCACCCCAAAGAAAATGCCTCCCCCTCCCCCCACGAACACACAGCACATGCCTGGAGCCTTGCCACTCGAATGGCCCCAGCGCTTGGCCCAAAAAGCCGCCTGTCCCGAGGAGTGGGACTACGTGCTGCTGAGCACGGTGCGCAGCAGCCATGGAGGTTTGGGCGCCCTGGAGGACGAGCACTTGTTGGATGTGGCCCTCACAAGGGCGCGCAGAGGCCGGGAAGGTTGTTTTTGTTTGTTTGTTTTGTGGTTGATGTTTTTTTTTTTTTGTATTGTTGAATTTGTTGTTTTTGTTTGATATGTTTTGTTTTTGAATTTGGGGGAGGGTTTGAGTGTTTTCTGGGTTACTTTGGGTTGCTTTGGGTGGTTTTGAAGGGTTTGGGTCGGTTCTGGAGGGTTTTGGAAAGTTGGGGGAGGTTTGGCGGTGTTTGGGGAGGTTTGTCGACGGTTGGGAGGTTTGGTGGAATCTGCTCTCACAATGGAAGCATGCGAATGCGCCGAACCAAGAAGGTCCCGTAATTTTGGGACTTGCCAAAGATACCTGGACCCTCTAAAAGAAACAAAGTCTTGCTGCCTGTGCTCTTTGTGTTCGAGCGAAGCTTGCGGATCTCAGCAGAATTGCATGTCATCGTTTGTTTGCATGTCAGCCAGGCCTGCTGAACAAGTGCCGAGAATACAGCTGGGAAACTGGCAGGAAGTCCGCGTGTACTACGCAGCACTAATTTCCGCAAACAGAACAAACCAAAGCCCCGCTCTAAGCCTGTGGTTCCACGAACGTTTTGGTTCGTTGAACGCGGCACTTGTGGAAAGGATGAGCGCTGTGCTTTGCTGATTTTGGAGAACCAGAATCTGTTCTTTGGCATCTAGGTATGCCATGGTCCATGGTCAAAGACTTAGGGTGATGATGGTCATGAAATTGCAGGGATCCGGGCAAGACTGTGCATGCCTCAAATTGAAGGACCCGGCCCTACTCGGTTTTCTCCTTCCGAAGATAGGGAAGCCTGAAAAGGAGCAATCCAGAGGGCTCCGACCCCATTTTCCCGCGCTTCCTTCCTGTCTTTCTGAGGCATGTGCGTGCTGGGCACTGCCAGCACCTTGCGGCGCATCCACGCGTGGTCTTGCTTCCTAGCGCCTCTGCGGTGCAGTTAGAGAGGCTCACCGGGGCACGGGAAGACTTATACGGGCGCCTTTCATATGTGCCATGGTCTCCGTTCACCTGCGGGCTCCCCATGTTACAAAGGCGAATTCTAGCCATCTCACCGTGCGAGAGCGACCCAAGACTCTTTTGCAGAAGACCACCGCATGTTCGTCAAATATTTTGAGCGCCGTGATGTTCCATGGGATGGCATCCACATCAAGATCACCAAATCCGTTTGGGATGTCCATCCGCTTAATTAATTGACAGTGCGTAGTTTAGCTTTCCTGTCTGTTGGGTGCTTCTGTTGGAACCAACAGGACAACCTCCGTTTTCGGGGTCCCCAAAATTTCCGAAACACCCATTTCCTGGCAGGTCTTTCTCTTCCCCTGGTTTTATTTGCAAGCGATTTGGCTCAAGGACCACTGCGAGAGTCGGAAGCTGGTGACTACCTCACAGCCCGTGGTTCTGTGACTCGATGGCTCGAGCTCGTGGCTTGGCTGAAAGAGTGCCGACTTTGGCCGTCGGCGTCCCATAGGCAACCAGGTCACTGAAAAAGAATGAGAAGGTCAATAGAATGGAATCAGAAGGTTCAGTGGAAAGGAATGAGAAAGCCTTATCATTCCTTTCTATTCACCTTCTTCTTTTCTATTTCCTTGCTTGTCGGATCAGCCTGCAAGGAACGAATCGATGATGGACGTAACTTGTCGTGGTAGCATTGTCATGGCAGCGACATTGCGTGCCTGTCGTTGCCGCCAAGCATCGAAGTCGGGAGAGGTTGCGGCTCCTCTTCCGCGGGCCTCCGAGCCTCTTGCTCCCCGACGTTCCTGGACTAGTTTTGGGCAGACAGTGTTGGAGGGACAAAACAAATCAACTTGTGGTTGGCCAATCGACTCCAGAGATGCGTTTTCAAGTGGACCAAACAAGTGGCCCTTTCAAATCTACCACCCAAGCTTGATTATTGGATGTCCTTTGGTGGTCCCATGGCTGGCAAGGGATTGGGAAGGACCCAAGGTATCAGCAGATTTCTTCACGGAGATTGCAGGAAAAAGTTTAATACTTTCCATTCTCAGATACCCCTGAATTGCTGACTTGGCCTGGTTTGTGTATTTGAATTCCTTCTTACCGTGTAAATGGGAAGCCACCCCGTAAACTCCAAACCAGCACTCCAAACCACCAGCAGGAATCTGATCAGAAACTCTGTATTAATATATATATATATATACGAAACCCCAATCTCGGGGGGTCCATTTCCCAAGTTGGAGGGGGACCCTAACCTGTGTTGCGTCCGGGATTCCATCAGATTTGTACGCCCTAGTTATCTCCAGGTCTGTGCCAAGTGCCGCGCAGCTGCACGAACCCGAAAAGCATTCCTTGGTGGTTTCTTGGTGCCCGGAATGGATTTCACATGATTTCACATGGCAGACAAAAAGCACTCCTCAGGGGAATCTCCTATAAAAGATGACCCCCATGTTGAGATTGATTTTCAGGACAGTCGCCCTGCATGCGTTGTTTTGGCAAGCTCGTTTTTGGGGCTGGGACAACCTGAGTTACGCCTGGGGATTTGCCGCAAAAATCAAGTCTTGGCTTTGGCCGGAGCAAGTTCAGACTGCTCAACACAAGTGTGTGGTGGATTGCTTCAAACAGTGTCGATATTGTTTGTATATACATACTTTTGTCGTCTTGGAGAACAGGAGAAGCGGGTCAGTTCTGGTAGGGGAGGGCGTTGCAATTCCGAGCCGGCCCCAGGATAATGCGGAGCGCGGAAATCCATAGACCGCGCCTTCGTCCAGCCCAGCCTGCTGTCCTTGACTCCCTAATGGTTTTCACGAGCCCTGGCACATGGAACCGGAGGAAAGCCAGGACCCCGAAAGACCAGCATACTCTTGCCACCTGCTAGATTCCATCCGGGAGGGGGTAGAGGTGGTGTATTTGCCGCCGTGAGGCCAATCATCAGGCTGCCACCCAAGCGACGCTTACATGCAACATCATAAGGAAACAACTAATTGCTATAGTAGTATCATCATAATCATGTCTTAGCATGTTTTTTTCCAAGTATCCCGCATCACGGCTCTCATTTTTTAGGGCAACGGGCAGCAACATACACAAACATAGCACATGGAAGCACATGGCCTGTCGGGTATTTTTCTTTGTCACAGATTTGCCAGAGTTAGAGTCCTGGACCATTGCGCAAAGCTGTTCTGCATCAGGATGTGGCCTCCTGCCAACCAACGCTGTGCTTTACTGCGCACAAGTGCAGAATCCCAGGCACTGCGCATCATATAAGAGATTAAAGCCATTGTTCAATTGCACAGCAGTCCAAGGCAATACACAATCCACATGCGCAAAGAGCGAAATCCTGCATTGATAGCTTATCACGTCAAAAAAGGCTCAAAGTGGCAGGACAATTCAGAAGAGTGCTGGTTCTTTCATCAAGCTCATTGCTCGCCGGGCAACAGTAACAGATCAAGAACAGCAGGTTGTCGCCAGACACTTTTCCATGCGGTGTAGTTCGCATGCCAATTTGCGGCACAGAACTGATCGGAACCGATCGCACGGGAATTTTCGGTGGCCAGGCGAGACTTGGCAATCGCCCAAGAAAGGCTGCAGGATGGTCAGCTTGGGACTTCCTTCCTTTGAATGATATAGGGAAGCTGCACAGGCTCGAGCTGGTTTGCAGCCTCGCCGAAATTGCGCTAGAGCTGTCAAGGAATTTACCTTAGCTCCTACAAGACAGAACTTATGAAGAACCATTTGAAGGTTGCCAAACTCTTTGCCTCGCCAACAAGCGTCAGCTTGTGAGCCTTGGGGTTCCGACACGGCTCTCGGCATCTTTCACAAGGCAGACACTTCAAAGCGAGGATTCCCTGCAATGATGGTTTTTGGTGTGCCACAGAGAGGAAAGGGAAGCCAACCATTGGAAAGGCATCAATTCAAAAACAAACACAGCACCCAGAATGAGGGATTCCTTGTCAAGGCGAATAAATGCCAAGCGTTGGGATTTCATGTTGCGCAATTCCTCCTTGCCTAAAATAGTGCCAGTCAAACTTGGCCCAATGTTCTTTTGCTCTGCGTGGAAGTGGTTCAGTCCATGAAATTGCCTGAGCGGCCCTCAAAATAAGATAGCCCCAGCAGATTGGCATGGAACTCCGAAAAAGCCTTCATTTTCAGAGGAACCTCTTGAGGGAACACCGATACTGGCAGTTTGTTGCTATTGTGGTTTATTCCAGCCTTGGACGGGCTCACATCTGCCTTTGCCTGTTCGATTCACTTGTGTCAACGAGATTGTGGCCCTGAATGCTGGAGCACTGGAGCGTCATTTCACAGTTGCATCCATTGCCAGCATGCACTGCCCCTTGCACCCTCCCTGCGCAAGGTTTGCAGCATCTAGCCTACAAAAACATGACCCATATATGGCCAAGCTTTTCCTCTTGTTTTTTGCTTGGGGGGGCCGGTTAAAGCAACCCCACGGAGATAACTACATGTCCCTATCTCACGACACACCCAGATTTATCCATGCACCGTGAGATAAGCCGTAGCAAAGCATGGCCGAGTCGGAACCTCCCGCGGATCAGAACGCCCTGCGCCGTCAAAACGAAGTCGTCGCTGCGAAGTCCGCGGGCTGGCGGGAATCCCCGAAGCCAAAAGGAACATGGAGTGCCATTTTGAGGGTACCCTTATCGGCGTTGGTTTGAAGAGAAGCCACAATTTTGGGGGATCCCCTATTTTGAGACACACCCACATCACGATTTGTTGGTTTCCTAAATTTCAGACCAGCCCACATATCCCGTAGTTTTTTTCTCTGATGTTTCCAGGTCCTCAGAAAGGGCAACCAACAAGGGGATGGGTCTTTGTGCTTTTTTAATTCTAATTTTAAAATAGCGTTGTGACAGCGTGAACTTGAATGTTTCTTCATTCACTGATCGCACGGCCAAGTGAGAACGCGTGAGTCCTTGCATTGGTAAGTTAAATTGTCCATTGCAAACTGCAGAAGCAAGAATTTCTTCATCGAAACCATGAACCAGAGGGTTGGATGAACGGGAATTCCTACTTAAACGCATGGGCTCCCTTTGGCACGGGTCCTTACATCAACCCTTTTGGCCTGTCCATTTGTACATGTCTTTTCCCTTGGTGCTGTTTGCTTGACTGAAATTCGATTGAGACTACGGTTCTTGTTCAGAGTGACCATGCACCAAAGTTTCCCAACAGACCCCTAGACTTAAAGGCTGAACACATGTAAGTATAGGGGCTACATGATTGTTAATAGTATTCCTCTGTCAAAAGTACATGACTGTTGCATGACTAACGTATGGTTTTGCAGTAGTAACCCCACAACCCCCTTCTAGTTATTGAGGCCCCGAAAGGTACACATGCGCCCATGGCCATGTTGGACCCTTTAAGTTTTTCCGATGGTTGCCGGTCAGCTCACCATCGAAATCGTTCGCCCGAAAACTTCGGTCGTTTGGTCGAGCACAGGTGGCAGGTGATACCGAGGACTTGAAGTGCGAGATCTCGCCTTTGGTCTCCTACGACGGGGAGGACGCCTGTGCCAAAGAAAAACAAGGCGAGTTGGTTGGCGCCCGAAGACAATTGTTGGGGCCCCTGTTGAATTGAGTTTTAAGCTTCGCAAACAATTATGGACCAGAGATCACTCATGTTTTGGTGGGGGGGGGCCAAAGGCTGAAGGAAAAGAGGGTATTTGTTTCCATCATGGGGACCTGATTTCCATCTTAAGAACAACACTGTTTTGGAAGGGTCCGTTCGGAGCCAGGATTCCTATTCAGGCAAACGCCACCGCAACGCAACGCTTTGGGCAGATTGATTCAACGAGATCATGGCGGGGTGTTGCGAGATTTTTTCAAAGCTGATGTCAGGGCCTAGCTCAGGGTGACGAGGCATTTGGATAGGCAAAAGGGCAATTGGATCCCAACGACATTGCCACAAGCACGAGGAATCCGAGGGCTAGATGCGTTGCTCAGTGGATTTCTAGCCTTTTCTCTTGTTGTTTGGTGGATTCTCCTCTAGCAATAGTCAACCCCAAAAGGGGGTTCCAGTAATTTTTCTGCCATGGTCACTGGTTGGGAGCTGGTTGAGCGCAGAGACCGCTGAAGGCATGAAAACGGAATCTTGGTCCACTGCCATCACACCGTGCGTGCCACGAATCGTGTGTCCCTGTCTCGTGATTGTTGTGTTGTTTTGCTCAAGGTGACAAAGAACTGGACAGTGCCCACGGCTGCAATAATGTCCCGCCCAACGCCACAATCCGTTTCCGCACTCCGTACTCTGTACCAACAGCTGCACAAATAGGTGTTTTGGGGATTTGTCCGTCCTCAAGTGTGTGTGATGGGCTCGTGTTGGTTGCCTCGTGACACGCTTGAGTGCTGACAACTTCATTCATTTGTGCAGGGATTGTCAGGGTAGCGGGCAGGTGATGAGTCGTTCTTTTAGAGATCGCCTTGGGTTACGCACGACCA